AAATCCCATATGCATGTGATAAAAGTATTTGACTGTACAAGTAAGGAAAGCTGACGATTGAAAAGTTAAAGTCATCACGTTTATCATAAGGCTTTGTTGTTGAGATGGAGGAATTGCTAAAATTGGAGATGCTTTTACTCTGAAACCTAGATTTTGTGGGTGTCGTAATTCCATTAACTTCTTTTTCTAGTAAAATACTCGTATCCAAATATGAAACAGATATACCAGACTCTGTGGTATCTTTATGTCAAAGCTCAACGGGATATATCGTATCGACATAAGAATGGAAATACCCATTGTTAATTGGCACTACGCCGGCGATATACCTGTATCTAAATGTCGAGTTGAAAACCACAGCAAGTGGGTTTTTTTTCTTTTTACGTATAAGAATTTGAACAAATTCTGCTTCGTATAAATACCAAAAAATAGGTTTGCTAGTACGGGGCGCAATAACGGGGTGCAATCATACATTAGAATGTTGACTAATGTGTTCCATACAAATTGTTGGCCATAAATCTTCATACTGAATTGTTAATCAATTTTTCCGTTTTCCTGATCATGACAAGTAGCACACGATGGGTAAGACCGGTGGACAGGGAATACCTACTCCTCCATGTCAACTTATCCCACCTCTGTTCCTTTTAACGTCCGTATTTGCTCTGTCTCCATTTATACATTCATTTTTTTTAATGGATCTTAGAGTTTGATAACTAATCCTTATATTTGTATTTCATTGATTAAACAACTTTGATGGAGAGAGAACGATTATAGGTATTTATGTTGTTCAATCCAATTCACTGAATAAAATATATTTTAAACTAAAATTTGGGGAAAAATCTTTCGAAATACTCTTTATTACCAAGTAGGGAAGGTATTTATATATAAGCAAGGATTTGAGTGATAAGGTCAGTATTTTAGACTACGTAGTTGAAATAAAGAATATGATTAAACCATGTTTAAAGATACTTTCTGAAGGCAAGTCTCAATGACATTTCGCCATATACTGCGAAATATCATGCAATTTAAATTCGATTCATTACCATCTTTAGAAAGTCAGTCATTGAGATGGTCTTAAATAGTTTGAGTTGTCCACCAGAATGTTAAAGAGACCGTATTAATCATCTGACTTCTAATAATAAACCTAAAAAATTGATATTCATTGCATTTACACTATCAGATGCCTAGCATTGTATACATGTACAATTGACGTCACAATAAGAAGACAAAATCAACAAAATATTCTCAAAAGAACCCTACAAAATGAAGTAACTGATGATCCTTTTAATGTACTTTTGTTCACAAGGAATTAGATATTTACATATTATCCAAGATCTAAGCCTACTTTTATACGGTTAAGTTATATATCTGGTTTGGTGGACAAATATAAGCATAGTCTAATTTATTTTCGCAGCAGGCAACTATTGGACAGAGAGGACTTTAAGCTGTTCACACCTGGCAGTCATTGCACCATAAGGAGTATATATATTTCAATACCTATATCTTAAGATATTGACAACCTACTTAGTCTCGTAAAAGATATTATTTTTCCAAACTACAAATTATAATAAGAACAAGAACAATAAGAACAAGATGTGTTTGTGAAACAAACACTGATGCCCCCGTATGGCAACATAGCGAAGATTAAACTTTTCATAAATGCAAATTTAATATATTGGTACCCAAAGTATTCTCACTGGAAATACAATTGTGAAATATGAAAGTAGCCCAAGGTTAAAGTTTTTTTCATAAATACGGAAATCTCCAAGGTCAAAGGTCAAGGTATCCAATGAAAGGTCTTGCCACAAAGAATACATATGTGAAGTAGAAAAGCCGTAGCCCCAACCCTTTCAAAGTTATGGCCAAGATTAAAAATTTTAAAAATTAGGTCACACTCCAAGCTTTAGGTTCAAGGGTCAAAATTCTTGATATCACAATATGAAAAGTATGAAAGCACTAGCCTCAACCCTTCAAAAGTTATGGTCAAGGTTTGTTTTTTAAAAGTAAGTGAAAAAGTAAGTGAAACTCCAAGGTCAAAGGGTCAAAGTTCTTGGTATCCAATGAAGGGTCTTTTTACAAGGATTACAAATGTTAAGTATGAGAGCAGTAGCCCTTACCGTTGAAAACTTATGGCCAAGGTTAAATTTTTTTCTTAAATACAGAAATCTCTAAGGTCAAGGTCAAAAGGTCAAAGTTGTTGGTATCCAATGAAAAATACATATATGAAGTCTTGGTGTATATTGTTCAAAAGATATAGCCAAAGTAAAGGTTTGGAATTTTTTAAAAGTGGGTCAAACTCCAAGGTCAAGGTCAAAAGGTCAAATTTGGTGGTACCTTAAGAAAGGTCTTGTCACAAGGCATACACATGTAAAATATGAAAGTAATAGCTCCACCAAATTAAAAGTTATGGGCAAGGTTAAAGTTTTTGCGGACAAACAGAGAGACATACAGACGGACGGGCACGACAAAAACTATATACCCCCCGAAACTACGTTTACGGGGGCATAAAAATATTGTTATATGAATGTTTGCTATAAAATGTTTTCAAGCAACGTCCATATGTATTGAAAAAGAACAACTTAATGCAAATTAGCGAGGACTCTGTTTTAAATCTTCATGTCATTTTGATGTTCGCTAACTAATACTGATCAGCCTGTCGACAGTTCTTCGCTGACTTATCGTTATCACAAAGGTGTAATACTTCTATAGAAATGAACATTTCTCTTTTGATTGGCTTGATTTCTATCATGTAGTAGTAATAATTACTTCTAACAGCACGCCTTTCCTTCTTCGTTTAGCAAAGATACTCCGCAGTATATATCAATTTGATGTTCTAGATACCATTATACATCTTTCCCCTGTTGGTATTCTAATACGAATGGGATTTCAGACTTTATATGAAGATTTATGAATATACTCTACATGCATTGTGTGTACTAAATAACAAATGAACTGTAAAATGAATGTTAACGTTATTGGCAGACCTGTTTTGTATTCATGTGAAAAAGAATTTATTCAAGCACTTCTGTTAAAAAAAGGCCAAAAAAGTATCTTGCTGTGACCTTCAATTCGACAATAAGATATATGGACGATGATTATCCATTTTTACGTAGATTCGATGTAATTCTTTAAAAGACACCACTGAGGCTGACAAAGGTTTCATAATTGGTCAATTTAGTAGACAAAAACTAAAACCTTACGATAATGATAAACGTAACGACTTCTGAATGAACTTTTCTGTCGTCACCTTCTGTTATTTATGTAGCAACATACCATTTTCACCTGCATTTATAATTTGTCTCCCCGTTTTATTCGATACTCAAATGCATGTTCTACGTAGGAACAATACAAATAGCAAAAAAAATGTCAAGCTATTGACAAAAAAATTATGATAAAAGGACATCAGAAGATTTGTTTCAGGTCAACATTTTGAAAATTGTATGGTCGATAGAATGACCTTGTTAGCAAATAAAATCAATCATAAAATTGAATTTTTAATAACTTTTTCACACTGAATTATCTACAGATTTTTTCCGTTTACTCGACCTCAGAAAAGAGCACACGGCGTGTGTGACCAGTTAACAAAGGATGCACACTCTTCCATGGCACCTGATCCCATTTCTAATGTTATTAAGGTCCTTGTGTTTTTTTTACTTCTAATCTGTACTGTTAAAATGGACTTTTGAGGATGATTTCCTTTTGTTATCTTCCTATTTTATTTTTTTAATTAGCCCCAAGGATGTTACACTCAGTTTTAGCCCCAATGGTTTGTTATACCCCCCGCTTGAAAAGTGGGAGGGTATATAGTGAACGGTATTTCCGTCCGTCCGTCCGTCTGTACGTCCGTCCGTCCGTCTGTTACGCATTGGGGTACCCATCTCTTATCCGCAACTCCTCTCATACCACTGAAGGAAATTTAATGAAACTTTCACAGATTCTTAATTACATATTGCCACTGCACCTCCTATTTTACTTTTTGATCTGACATATATTTTTGATTTTCAAGAACAAAACAAGGACACTGCCATTATATTCATATGGGAGGCGGGGGGTATCATTTAGTGAGCTCATTGCTCACAGTACCTCTAGTTTTAATAGTACTTTTTAAAATCATTCAGAAATCCCTGTTTCAATGTTGGCAAATGAAAAAGTCCTTGTGTTAAATCGTATTTCTTCTTAAAAAAATTCTTTAAATTTTTTTAGCATGTCCAAGAAAACAAGTGATCGTGTAGAACACCTTACTGTATTACGAATATCCTAGTGCGTGATCTTTCAGCTCTTCGACCTCCTGACTTGATCAATTTTCAATTAGGTCTAATTAACAAAACTTTAAATATTGTGCCATAATGGAAAAATAGTTGTGACATACTTCCGATTTCCGCTCACTTAAAATATTCAAAGAATATGAACTGAATTACAGAGAGCTTTTGGGTAATGACAACATATATAGTAAGGCCAAACAAAAAATATGTCTGTTTCGGGTAACATGCCAGAAACCAGAGTATACTATTGGTAGATACACAGTAAGTACCTAATATAAACTTAATAATTTTTTTTACTTCAATTATTTTGAATGCATTACTTTATTATTCAATTAAATGTTTCCCAATATATATACAGAGAACTGCACTCATAATTATATGGATTAACGTTAAAACAATTTTCTTTTTAAAATTCTTTGATAGACATGTTTTTACAGTCTCTGACACATATATATTATTGACTGCAATATGAGAAAAATGTATTAGTGAACATAAGCCAGGTAAATACTGAGATTTAGAATAAAAAGTAGGGACGGTGGGAAAAATAAAGTAGGTTGGGTTACCGTAAACATACATATTTTTTAGCCTAACCTATATAAATATTTGCAGGAGTTAATTTAATTTTCTTCCAGAGAGATGTAGAATATTTTACTTGGAGGGAAGTTAAAACTAACATCAAAACACTGACAAATAATAAATTGGATGTGGGTAACACTTCATACGTGAACAGTGTATACTTACTCCCAGTTAGACTCGGGAGGAGGGAGATCCCCAATGGTTGTCAGGGTCAGTGTAGACCAGAACAGCGAGGTTAAGTACTTCCGGGTCACTGATGCAAACTGTCCCACAGGTCTGGGATAGGACCAATCGCCTTCGAAGTCTTCTGCTTCAGATATCAAATAGTAGAAAGCTGCAAACCAATGCGATCCCAAAAACAGTATGTGCGTCAGGTTTGCCACTCGGAAAAAATTCGGAAAGTGAGTCCGTGTTTCCAGCAAGTGCAAAAAACGAAAACTTCGATAGACTTTTAGGAATCTTGGAAAACGCAACATAGGATGAACTCCAATGCTGAACTGGAGGAAATCCAGAGGGGTTAAAGATGCGAGATCAAGAACCAAGTCTTTTGTCCGTACATATCTCATTAGAAGTTTTTTGGAATTGTAGACCATAATGCCCTTGTCTAAATATCCAGTCCGAATCTGCACAAAAATATCGAATACATAGATACTATCACAAAAAATATCACACCCTATCCATACCATCATGTTTTTCTCTTGAATTTCTCGAAAAGCTTCCCGCGCGATGCATGTCCAGAGGTTGTAAAGAATAGAAAGAGTTAACACGCATAACCAGTAGAACATGAGATTGCCGTCCGGTTGGAGCACGGACAAATGCTTAGAACGTCTTTCGATTTGAGTTTGGTTGTTTTCTAATTGTTCGTCAATGGTTCCTACAGAGTCGGCGCGGTAAGGCTGCCTGGTTGAAAATTTCTTCAAGAAAGAATCATCTCTATTCAGACCTTTTTTCATTGACACCGCAGCGTTTGTAACACGCACAGCATGGCGAATACTGCGCCATCGACGTCCGACATTTCCGCTTGGTCTGTTTGATTGTCCGGGAATCTGAAGTCTCGCCAAATTGGGTGAATTTGAATTATTTAAAGAAGAAGAACTCGGCTTTCGTATACACACTTTGTCTTGGTTTAATGGTTTATAGGGAATGTCTACGTCCCCGTCACCTTTCTTGGTCAAAAGCATTTCAATACTATTCGTATGTGGTTGTTTTTCAGTTTTTTCTGTTGTCATTTTTGTAGTCTAAGGATTTTCAGCTCTGTGTATCCTTTTCTATATATTAAATAAAACGACAATTGTCAAACATTAAACAGTTCATATAGAAAAGTGCCCTATTTTGTGAAAAAGTGCAAACGTTTTGCTCCGTTACATCAGTGATCCGCTTGGTTAATAAAACATGTACGAGTGAAATCACTTATTTTCGTGAGGGGTTAATTTTTATTTGTTTTCGGGGTATGATACCCACGAATTCAATTTGTTTTCTTAAGTTTCTCGAACTATTTCTGATTTTACTTTTAATGCATTTTGAATAAATACAGCGAAGATTTTACATCTTTTTAGTTCTTACATATGAAGAATGAATTTTCGTATGTGAATTCTAGCGAATAATGAACTTAATAACACAATATCTTTGCCCTTTAATTTGTAAACACGTATAATTTTTCACTATATCCTTATTTCAGTTCAATAAATAATTGTATATCTTTCAGAAGAATACACCATAATTAAATTATACATGATTAATAGTTTATAATTTCCAATATGTACCTGACCACGGGAAATAATAGGCTCCTTTTGATGCCTACTCGTTAGCTTCTGCTTACATGGGTTAAAGCAGGTGGTGTCCGTAATATGGATTAATAACAAGTAAGGAAACAGCGATCCTAATCTGAAAAAAAAAATCATAGCACATTGTCCAAAAAAGAAAAATTCCCAGTTAAACCAATTTGATGAGGAGTTGTAAAAATTTATAGCCAGTGTAAGAAAACAACAGAAGTACTATTATACAGCTGCTGGTCAATCTATCACGGAAGGCTCCTGTTAATTAACTGTTGCGGGCCGGACTGTATGCTGGGCCTACGTCTGTATTCACTTGTCCATACGCAATCAATAAAGACTGGCAGTCCCCCTGGTCCGATGACCAAACGCTCATAAAAGATCAAAAGTCAGCCACAGATCGCTTAAAATATTTCAATATGTCTTATACAAAAATGTTGATAGGTGTCGATTTGAAGATTTGGCAATCTGAATATTTAGCTATAAAGCGGCCTCAATACCGATACACCACGCCTCGTTGCAATATTTGTATGTGTTTGGGAAATAGCGAAGGATCGGAATTATATTTTTTGGTGGAGGAGATTTATTGACAGCCTTTGGTATGCTATCCGTACAGATGATTATTTCTCTATGCGTTTCAAACATTAAACTAGAGAAAGGCAGGATCACTGCACGATTTTCTTGTCAGAAATATGTGTATTGATGTGTACATAGTGACCTGCGATGTTTGGTGTCATTTAATTAATAATTAGGTTATGATCTATTCTGAAATGTGGGTTAGGTTGGTTATCTGGCATTTTATAAATCCAGATGAGATTAGTTTCCCTATTTTCACACTTCCAGACTTGATTCGTATTTTCTAATTACGAAAATGGCGCTCTAATATTAAAGTCACGATCAGACGGGTGATCGAAGATTTAGGATTTGGTCATTTAATTAAAGAAATCAGTGAAAATTTGCAACGGGATTTAAAAAAAAAAATAAAATATAAAACTTATGATAGATATGAATTCGGTAAAACATGTTTGTCAACATAATTATACATGTACTTCAATATTGACCAGTCTGGGCATAATCTTTAGTGATGTTTGATATACATATACCATGGATCCCTCTGGCAGAAAATTCGTTAATCAGAAAATCATAAACAATGTATCTTTTTTATTATATATAGGTACATGTACCATGTTTTGTAATTGGACAGAGTGTTCTTTTTCCTATAACATTATTAATATCTTCTTGTAATTAATTTTAAAAATCCAAAAGAATTGTCTACATTGGTACATATAGTAATTATAGATTTCGGTAGAATGTTTCCGACTAAATGAAAAGATGTTTACTGTGTGGTTATTTATCATTGTCCTTTCAATGAAACTAGAGATTGGTTTACAAAAGGAGTGGTGGACAGAACTTTTCGTTTCAGTTTATTTATTCCTCAGTTTATATTTTATCTTATTTTACAAAATGACTGTATTTTCTATAATTAAGATACAATTATTAAGTTTCCTCTTAAGAATTAGTGACAATTTACATCAAAATCAGCTCTAAGACTTAATTTTTTGCCCATTTTTCCGTTTCAGCCTTTTGTTTAAGTATTCTGAATTTGAAATAATACACGACCGTTGTTTACTTAAAAATTTAAAGCAGACGTATTTATTTGTTTATAAGTTTTAACAGACTTTGAGCTTTGTACATATAATAGTTACAGTTGCTCTCAAATGTATTTTGATTGATTACTTTTACATAATCACATGGAAATATGAGCATTTATGATTACATATTCTGTAAAAGACTGGCTGTGACCAGTTAAGCATAATTAAATGAATTTAAACGTATGGTATTCAGTATTTACTACGATACATTTTGTAAATTAGAAAACATTTATGGGTGTTCAATAAAACGAAGTACCTCCAGGTAATCTTTGATTCAGTTTATGCTTAATACAACAGAAGCTAAAAAAATTACAATACTCTCGCTCTTACCTCTGTATTACAGGTAAATTCTCGTGAAATCGTTGGCGGTGATTTTCACATCTTATAGAAAGTCTATAAAGTGATAGTAATGACGGTATAATCAGAATACTGTGGCAGCGGAGACTGCCAGCAGATTTTATAGCGATAGAGTCAGGTGCCAAGTCAGTGTATAAAAAGAGGGGTTTTATCCGAATTGTTCGTACACGACAATGGGTCAAATCTCTGTATGCTGAGTGAGATATCCTATGATGAAAATAAAATGGGCCTATACCAGTTCAGTATTTCCCCCATTATGCGAAATAATTTTGAAATAAAATAAAAGTCCAAAAATATATATGACCAATGGAAAAAGTCAAGAAAACGAAAAGTGATTGGTCTCAAAAAATCTATAAATACGGACGGCCAAGAATTCAGAGGTGGGATCAGTTGCCTAAGGGGAGAGAGCACCCCCAATTTACCGCTCAAACCCGCCATGAGTCATCTATTGATCAGGTAGACGGAACGTATGGGCAGCGGAAAGGGCAAAAATTACAATAATAATATAAGAAAACAAACAATTATTTTAATTTCAATGACCATAAAAACTTAACAAATGATATACAATGCATAATCAACAGACCTTTTCGCAGAACAAATATACATTAAAGCATAACCAACGAACAAGTACGTAACAAACATACACGAATGCAAAACCAACGATCATCTTTGCAGTACAAACGTACATAAAAACACGACAAACGAAAATAACTTAACCAACGTGCACGCGGTAAATCTACTCCCGGCTCTCGACGGTCGATTTCTTTTTTAGTGTCGGCGCACAGAAAGTCTTCACACATCTCAGGCAAATTTCTAGGTTTAAAAAAATTCATTAATATATAAAAACTTTAACAAATTTGCGTACTCCCGGCTCGCGATTAAAAACAACAAAGTGAGGTACAGTTTATATTTTTTTAATAAATGAAAACCCTCATTTACATGCTAGATAATTTGTATGCACAGAAATTCCCCACGTATAGAATTGTATAAAACTCTTTGCCACATTATGTTTATGTTCCAAGGCTATTCAACATGGACGTGGTTCTACCTCGGATCCCCCTTTAATTTTTTCCTTTTTTGGGGGGTTCATTTATCTTAAAAATTTAAAATGAAAGAAAAGAATTTGCATAAAATGTTTTTAAAAAAAATATCTCATTCTCCTGAAGGCCGTTTCGTCATTTTTTCGTTGTTGTTACATAAGTTGGTTTTCCCCAAATCTTTAAATATTACAAAAATCTATTATGATAACTTTACATTACAGTGGCATATCATATGACAGGTACGTAGCAACAATTCCCAATTTTGAGAGTAAGGTCAAAAAAGGGTTATGTATAGTACATGTATATTAGGGAAAAAATTGGTACTGAAAGAAGTTGAACCTACCCCCCCCCCACCCACACACACACACACACCCTCTCACACACACACACACACCCTCACACACCCTCTCACACACACACACACACACATACGAGATTTTCGAGTTTGGGCTATATCATTTTAATTTCCTTTTTGCTTTTGCTTGTTAAGTTTTTAAAATCTTTTTTCTGCTAGATTGAATTTTTTTTCTGGTTACCCCCTCCTTTCAAAACGATGCTACGTGAATGTATAACAATGCAGTACTTTCATTTTGCATTATTTTACCATAAGTACAATGTTAGATTTAGCTATTTTTATGAAGATTTTGATAAAAATCTTTTTTGAAATCAAATCATTTTGATGTTATGAATTTTTATAGAATTTAATTGTTCTTTTTTTTATTAACACCACCAATTTTCACTGAAATACTAATTCAATCTTTTTGAGAAGAAATATCTTCTCAATATCAATACCTTTAATATCTTTAAAGATACATGGACACAGATTTGAAGTTAATTTTACTTCGTCTTAAAGTTATTGAAACGAGATTGCCACTTTTCCTAAGTATTAAGAATAAAATTAAAATTTGTGAGAGTGCAAGGATGTGTCAATCAAACCCGTCTAAAAATTTGAAGTTTTAATAACTTTTAGATGAAATAAGATTTTTAATATATTTTTTGTGTGAAATGCTATTAAAATATATAAGTCGTAATATTATACAGAAAATATTAACTTCAAATCTGTGTCCATGCACCTTTACTATCTACGACACTACGTCTCTCTGTATCGATATCCGTTTTTGGTTTTCATATTTATGACGGAGTACTACATTTACCGCTTTTTGAAAGGTGGTACTGCTGATTCAGTAATAAATACGCAAATTTGTTTAAGTTTTTACATATTATTGAATTCATTTAAAAAGAAAATGTGCCTGAGAAGTTTGAAGAGTTTTCATGCACCGACAAAAAAGAAATTTTAAAAAAAAATCCGAGACCGTCTGGAGCCAGGAGTCGGGAAGACTAGATTTACCGCGTGCACGTTGGTTAAGTTTTTTTCGTTTGTCGTGTTTTTATGTACGTTTGTACTGCAAAGATGATCGTTGGTTTTGCATTCATATATGTTTGTTCCGTTCTTGTTCGTTGGTTATGCTTTAATGTATACTTGTTCTGCGAAAAGGTCTGTTGATTATGCATTGTATATCATTTGTTAAGTTTTTATGGTCATTGAAATTAAAATAATTGTTTGTTTTCTTATTATTGTAATTTTTGCCCATTTCCGCTGCCCATAGAAACGCTTTGTAGTAAAGTAGTATGGGCTAAGAGCAAAGGCCTAACAACCGGTATGAAACATGTCAGACAAAATACTACCCAATAATAGGCTATGTTTGATAATAAGTTCATTAAAAAAGGTCATAAGAACGAACGTAGAATTAACAAAATGATGACTATAAACGAGGTTGTTGAAAAATCAGTGAATGGCTGTCTCTGTTTATAAACTAATCGATTCTAGATTATCGAACAAGTAGAGCTTTTCAAAAAAGCTAACCGTCTTTAGTAACAATTTTAAACAGTAAACAGATTTACACTTAACAGGCCGTATAATTCTTTTGAATTTCTTGATTTTGTATTTCTAAATTAGCTTTTTACGGGCATTAGCCCTACCATGGTTGTCGCTCGGTCATCTCCGTAAACTTTGACTGGCCGAGAGCTTTCGGCAAACCTCGGCTGATTCCCATTCACTCTTCAAACAAGAAAGGGGAAAAGAATAATAACAAATTGTAAAGCCTGCAAGCAATAACTATCAAATTTTATTTATAATGAAATTAAAGAGACCTTTTTATTTATTGCTATAAAAAATATCATGTTATTAAGAAATAATTACTGCTGATTTTGTTGTTCGTTTTGTCATTTTTTTAAGATTGGAAATGTTGCAAAATTGTTAAGTTACGAAAAATAGATCATCAGAAAGTTATCTCCCTTGCCTTGAACAGCATTTCATCCAATGAAATAATTGAAAATTTTCTCATCATGCAATTTCTACCAATCACAAAAGAGAGGAAGTGCATAGTCCGAAGACTGTAAAAAACTTCAACTATACAATACCGTCTTCCAAGGAAGACGGTAATAAGAGACTTACGTAGGAACCATATTACTCCGTAAATAAAGAAAGGTGACTAGGAAAAGGCTGATCCGAAGTCATCTTGTTCGTCATACAATTTGTTGTTAAATGGACCATTTGGTCTTTAGTCAGAAGATATCCAAATAAAAAAAATAAATGTTGCAGACTCAATAGTGTCTTTCATTTCATGCTCATTCGGATATATTGAATCGACGCACGAATGGAAATAACTATTTTTATTTGATAAAACAACAATATAGCTGAAAGGCCTTGACAAGTGTTTTATTCTTCCCGTGTTTATTTTTGGCTATTAAAGAAGCCCGATTTGTGTCCATTGGAATTCCAACAGTTTGTTAAAAGATTTGATCTCTGAAGGCTATAAAGATGTTGTCAATAAGGAATTCCAGTGTCCTTTTATCATCAGTTTTAGAGTACTTGTGTGTACAATCAGTGATTTTTAAACAAAATAATTTTATTGATAACCAATCAAATTGAAAAATCTTAGCTAAGTTTTTCAGACTTCATTTTAAAAACTGGCTATTAAAGAAGCACAATTTGTGTCCATCGGAATTCCAACAGTTACCCGGTGAGTAGCCTAATAATAAGAAATACATATTAAGATGATCTAGGAATAAATGTTAAAATGAATTGATGTAGTAGATTCAAGTGTTGCAAAATCTATATATGTATCTATCGGTAGATCAATCGATAGTGTAATTCTTCATATTATATCCTTATATGTAATTTGTAAATTAATAATTCTTCACATATTTAAGAGGAAATGAGCGCGTTTTATGAAGAATGCAACAACTTTTGGTCAACCTACATGTAGGTGATGAAAATTTCTTAAAACAAAAGGGTATAATCATTACATTGTGAACAGTTTTCGATTAGATAATTATTTCCGATTTGTTTCGATATCCCAGCAACCTTTGTCAATTACAATATTCTGTAGCAGGTTTGATTTTTTTTTTGACTATGAAAGGCTGAAAGGTTTTAGTCAAAGAGGCAAAATGGAAATACATTCCTTTGACAATATGATATTATTTGTTTAGACGAGATTGATTTGATGATAGAATTTGTCCGAAAATCCTGATCAACATTTTTTAATTAAACGTATGTGCAGTTTACATAGTACAAACAACAACATGATTTTGTTACTAGCTGCAGAACTGTAGCTCTTCGATAATAAAACATCGACAGACCGGAGAACTACAGTGTCACCCATTGAAAAAAGCGTATACATGTATTTATTGCGCACAAAAAAGTGCGCCGATTCTTGATTTATTTTTCCGTGTTTTTCAAACTGCCATCTCAGAATATAACCAACCGTGTGTTCCTAACATATTCTTATACTATTTTCACAACAAAAAATTCCTTTTAACCCTTGTAAATAGCCATCCTTGGCTTGAATTGGAAGTCATCGAAATTTTTGTTTATGTACACTGCCATTTTGGACGGCAGGATAATTCGGTCCAACAGACTTCGTGCACATATAAAATATTAGGGTATAGTTAATAGTGGTCAATGGAATATATTTAAATCGACCTTTGTACAGTTAAGGTAAGAATTTTAAAAACCATTAACCTAAAAATAAGCGCAACTTTCTGTGTGCAATAAAATTACTTTTTTTTCAGTGACACTAGCCCTCTGGTCATTCATCCCAATTTTTTCCAGACCAGTGAGCTACATGTCTGCCGATATTTTGTTACAAGATAATCCGGGATATAGTCCTAGACTACAGTCCTATTTCTCACGTACACTATAGCTTCTCATTAGAAATAACTTTTCATGGTAAATTACATTTCATTTCATTTTTCTTCAAATCATATATTTTTAAAAAATTCTCAGATTTGATTCGATATCACGTATAGCTGAAAGAACATAAACTTACTTTGTCTTTTGCTTTTTAAGGTAAATTCCGCTAGTATATGTATGTGTACAATATTACACAATGATGAAGATAATTTGGCATTTTCTGTGTTGTGTTTACAGCATTACTTATTGAGAAATGACCAGGTTTTCCATTAAATTCTCCAATTCTAGACTTGTATGTACACAATATTCAGTGGAGTATGAAAAAGCCAACAAATGTTGTGTGTTTAAATTCTTAAAAGGAAAATGAAAATTTCCCTATTTAATTAAATAAATTCAGTGCGTTCATGTACTTCATATGCGTGTACATGTAATCTCTCTCTCTCTCTCTCTCTCTCTCAGCACTTAAAGAGACCATAAAAAGTGTTTCCTGCATTTAATTTAATGATTCCAACAATAAACATCTGTTATTACTCTCTCTCTCTCTCTCTCTCTCTCTCTCTCTCTCTCAGTTAGGCAACTTCCAAAAATACATGAATTCTTCATTTTCGAGATATTTTCACCATTTGGACCAATTCCGACCATTCTGGAGACAGGTACTTTTGATAAACATTCAATATATTTCTCAGTAAAATTAAATATCTTAAGGTAGTCCGATCCTCAGGTTTATAAAATTAGCAGTTAAGAAATCAAAAATACTCACAAAAGTATCTCTGAATCCACAAAGTTATGCAAATTTATCCACAGTGTTACTTTAAAGTTACAGATTAAAGTTAATCATATAATATATTATAGGGAAAATTGTCAAATTTCCAACATTTTAGCAGTAAGAGCAAATTGGAATATATCAGCAATGCATTTTCTAATTGCAAATTGATCAACAAATATTTTTTAGGTTAAAAAACGATAGGTATCCAGGCATTCAGAGAAACTGTCATGATTTTTATAATTATTTGGTATTTTTTGTCTTCTATTTCCGTCATGCATTCTATAATACATAGTGTAAAAGGCTTTTGCTATCATTGCAAGACACCACAAATCACTTACTATTTTTATAACATTCTAAATAAGCATTGGTATCTAAGGCTGGATAAAAGAAAATCTTATTTCTCTAATATTAATTTTTTCCATTTTATAGGGTACAAATGTCAACTTTTATAAGACCTTTTCTAAGACTTCCAAAAACCTTGAATCTTATAAAGATGAATAAAATGAAAATTGTTGCATGAAAAAATTTCATTTTCAAGCTTTATTTTGATGCATTTCAAATTAAATATCAATTTTTGGAGTTATCCTTCCTGGCTGAGGATCGGATATCCTTAATCATTTATTTTTTTCCCCAGATATATGCTTAACACAGCTAGGAGAAGGACATGCAACGAATGTAAAAAATGTTAATTTTTTGGTGAAGTCAATGCTTTTCTTGGGGTCCCTTTCATTTATTTGTCTGACTGTTGTGGAGATAAAAATAATAATGCTTTATTCTACAGGTAATGTTTTGTCGAACACTTCCGCTTGAGGCTACTCAAGTCTTTTTGACACAATCCCTTGCTTTGATCCTAAAAAGTTGCTTAGTTTTCGAGACTTCTTTTTTGTTTAATCGTGAATGAATTAAAATGAGTATGTCTTAGTTAAGAGGTAAGAATATAAAATAAACATTTTTGTCTTGATCAAGTTTCACATGTGAGCGTGTTACTGAAGTAGAGTGTTTAATCCCATCTTCTGGTAAGCTTTGATAAGTCAAAAGGCTCGTGATGAAAATTCCGTCAGTCAAGTTTTATAGCAATTAACATTCAGCATATACCACTCTTTTTCAAAACATTCTTAAGCGTCAATTTGCAGATAACTTACCAAAGAGGTAGCTCAATAAAAAAAAAAGTCTCTGTTTTAGAATACGTGAAGCTCCACAGTTCTCGGTAATTATTCAAACTTCCACTCATGCAATTTGTTTATAATAAATTCCAAGACTTGTCACATGAAATTGATTTCATTCCTGATATTTCCTAGTCATATCTTTTGACGTCACCAGACCATGAGGATCGAGTCTTTCTAAATTACTTTAAACGCAGAAGCGAAACCAGAAATATTTTCAAAGCGATAATATAAATATCTTTATTGAAATGATCTTACTTGATATTATGAACACATATTTATTCATACGGAAGTATATGATAACCGCACAAACTATTCACGAGTTGACGAATAAAAGAAAATCAATTGCCCTTGTTTTAAGGGACTGTCTCAAAATTTTGAGAGAAAGGGGAAAAATAATTAAAAATGGAAAAGAGCATTTGTAAATTTTGTGATTTAGCTTAAAAATTTGCTCTATTCAGCTCGTTCAAATGATCTATGGTTGTATCAATTATAATTTACGTCAAGGAACTGGACTTGTATCATATAACTTTTTTAATTAACTTTATATCGAAAATTATTTTAAACTTTTTTAATGGAATGTGGTTAGATATTTTTACAGAAACAATTTCAAAGAGAATGGTTAATATTGCAAAATTTTACAAACATCTTAACTTTTTGGTCTTAGTCGTAAGTTCGTTTGTAAAACGAGCCCCAGGACCGTTAACAGCCAATAAGGAGGAGGAATCGATTTAATTGACAAGAAAAAAGTCTTTTGAAGCGAACGATGTCATTTTAAAGTAGGTTAATGATTGATATATTAACAAATACGAGTTTGAAGTTAGGGTGCCTGAAAATGAGTTAGGTACCTTGTGGTAAAAATAAGTAGGGGGTACCCCGTATACGAAACAAGTGCCCGTGGGATGGACTCTCAAATTGGCCTATATATACTACTGACCAAATGCATCCATGGATCAGAACTACATGTGAATATGTCAATTGGATATTGTTATTTTTTTTCTTGTTATAAACGCTTATTATTAGTAATAGAAAGCCTAACAAAAAAAAATATCACATACCCGGTAGTTAAGCTCAGTGAGAAGAAGTTTAACGAATGATAATCGCTTTTTCTACTAGTGATAGCATATGATTTAATGAATACTTTGTCATAAGTATACGTACAGTAGGACTATTTGACGTAAATTAAGTATCAGAAAAGCTGCTACCCGTGTTTTTGGTACCTTGATCATAATTATATTTAGAGCTTCCGTCTTTGCACTTTATACATGTACTTCAAACACTATTACCACTCTTCTCACAAATAAAAGGGTAATGTAAATAATTGTTCCTTAAATCAGAATAAAATGAATAGTTCTCCTCTTTTGCCCACGACCATTTTCCTTCGTAAAAAGACAATAGTAATTTGATGGGTTTTGGTTTCGAGGGCTTCAGATGTAGCCGGAAGTTAGTGTAGAGGACTGGAGAGCCGTCGCCATGCGTCAAACTGGAATTCTGTCCAATGTGAACAGAGTTTACACGTATTTGCCAAGATCTTTGTGGAATTTCTAGATCTGAAGAGAAAAAATATTTTTTAATTGAATAAACTTAATATACGAAGGGGAAAATATTTTTGTAAATTTTAAGTATTTTCATGTCAGTTTTGGAGATAATTCGTTTTAATCCTCTAATTTCATATCATTATACTTCAAGCTACATGTATGAAAGGTTGCAGCATGAGTTTATAATTCAGAAAAAGGGGTTTTCTTTAAATATTATAAATACTTAATTAATCTAAAAAAAACTGACTTCGTTTCCTTTCAAAGTTTTTGTTATTACCTGGGTGGTTTCTAACTGTACCCAGTAGTTCATCATAATTGCTGCCATAGGTAATCATTAATTCTGTTTTGGGAGCAATATCTCTGGGAACTACATAATACACATTCTCTTTGCAAACCACGGGTAAAACATTCTCCTCGGCATCTGTCCTTGGGCTGTTAACGTATCGGAGCCAATTACTCTGGGTAGGATTTATACCGTCCACCATGTACACATTCTTACCTATGTTTTTCTGAAAGAAATAGGAAAAGTTTTGCTAAATTACATAATATATGACCAAAAATCCTCAAAGTACTTCACTTTTTTCTCTCTTTCTTTTCCACTGTTAATGATCCTTGAATAATCTGTTTGATTGAAAAATGTGCGATTTAGCTCAGCTTTCAGCAAACGGGGGTACACTGGAAATTTCAGTATGTAAATAATAACCTCAAATATACATGTAGTATCGCCTTTGACCTAATAATAGATTGTATTGATGACTATAGTCGTTTTATCGACCATAGAACTAAGTTTTGAGAAATAATGACTTCAAACGAGACTGTTGATAACTTTGTTTCATCAACTTGTTGGTTAAGAGCATGGTTTTGCGAATAGAATCAACTGGAAGACACAAGTTTCAATGCAAATGATAAGGGTATACAAAGCAAGGAAGGTTGGTGATGAAAAGTTAGAAGTTATCACGTTCATCATGTTTATCGTAATGTTTTGTTGTAAGATTTCCAATGATGTCTTTTTCTAGTAAAATATCCAGATATGCAACAGGTGTATCAGACTCTATGGTGTCTTTTATTTCAAGTTCCTTGGAATATTATGAATCAACATATGAATGGAGACAACTATTGTTAATTGATACTACTTCTGGATATACAAAATCTAAATAACAAGTTGAAGGCCATAGCAAATGGTTTTATTTTCTTAGGTAAAAGTTTTTGAATAATTATATTCTGCTTCATAGGAATGAGAATATGTCTGCCAATAACGGGTCGCAATTTATTCCAATTTGAATACCAACGGATTGTTGTAAAACCTTATCTTCAAAACATAATAAAAAATAATAACTATTCTTTTGTTTTGTAAATAAAGTAATTTAGCAACACATTAAAAGCACAATAATGAGTATTTAATATAGTAATGATATTATTCTGGATGTTTAAATAATGAATTCGTAAGTTATAAATCATTGAAATGGCCTAAAAAAAACTTACAATCCATCCGTAAGAGGCATCTCTGACTTCGGATATAGGGACTAGTTTTCCTTCATAGCTTCCAAGGATTGTTTTCTTAGGTATAAACATCTCTGTCCACGCACCAAAACCCGCGTTAGGAATCGACGAGTTTCGGATTGAAATTCCAGGGGGTGCTGTCAAAAGAGCTCGATCTTGTTTACCCTTAGGGACCTGTGTTTTATAATAATTATTACGAAAGATATGGTATACATTTATATTTTTTCCATCTTCATCCGAGTGAGTTCACATCAAAAATTTTTTTAAAAAAAGATAGAATTTCATATAATACCTTAAGAACTGGTAATATGTTAAACGTGCTTGGTTGAACAAGACCAAACGCACCTAGTCTGCAAACTGGAAAAAAATTAAATAGTTTATTATCTTTATACATACTTATATTATTTAGTATTTCATCCAAAAAAAGTTTTCAGATATTGGAAACTTAAAATTAGGGATAAAATTTATTAGGTATAAAGGATGACTGCACTTAAGGATTTGCGAAATTTGCGTCAAAATAAACTTTCAAAACAGACATTTTTCTTTTAATTGCTGTATTTTATTTACAATTACAATGCAAAAAGTATGTAACTACGATGTACAAATCTGTTGTCTAAAGTTCTTCAATGTCTGTAATATAAAATTCATTTTTTTTTTTTGTCATTTACGTTCAACCAAACTTGGTACAAAGCATCCTTGTGAAGGGGAATTTAAATTGTTAAAACTACGTACTGTGTTTCATGATATAGTATGATGGCAAAGTCCATGTTTTGCTGTGGCCGGAAAACCCAAAATATGAGTCGGATCAAAAAGTAAAATAGGAGGTGCACGATGGCAATATGTAATAAAGATTCTGTGAAAGTTTTCAAATTTCATTCAGTGGTATGAGAGGAGTTGCGGATGATTCCCAAAGCGTAACAGACGGACAGATTTAATATAAAATACTTTTAAGGGGAGATACACAAAAATAGGGTTGGGTCATTAAAAAATCTTCTTCTCAAGAACCACTGGGCCAGTAAAGCTAAAACTTATGTGGAAGCATCCTGGGGTAGTGTAGATTCTAAATTGTTCAAATTATGGGGACAATGGGGAATTGTTTTACATAGAAATATATAGGAAAAATCTTTGAAAATCTTCTTCTCAAGAACCACTGGGCCAGAAAAGCTGAAACTTATGTGGAAGCATCCTGGTATAGTGTAGATTCTAAATTGTTCACATCATGAACCCCGGGAGAAGGGCGGGGCCACAATGGGGTATCAAAGTTTTACATAGAAATACATAGGAAAATTCTTTTAAAATCTTTTTGTCAAGAGTAACAAAGCCATAATTGATCATATTTATGTGAAAGCATCCTCAGGTAGTGTAGATTCAAATTGTTCAAATCATGACCCACGGGGGAAAGACAATGAAAAGTTTTATATAGAAATATATAGGAAAAATCTTTGAAAATCTTCTTCTCAAGAACCACTGGGCCAATTTCGACCAAACTTAATACAAAGCATCCTTGGGTGAAGGGAAATATAAATTGTTAAAATCAAGGGACATATTCCCTCGAAAGGGGGGATAATCAAGAAAAGACAAAATAGGGTTGGGTCATTAAAAAAATCTTCTTCTCAAGAACCACTGGGCCAATAAAGCTGAAACTTATGTGTAAGCATCCTAGGTTAGTGTAGATTCTAAATTGTTCAAATCATGACCCCCGGGGGAAGGGTGGGGCCACAATGGGGAATCAAAGTTTTACATAGAAATATATAGGAAAAATCTTTGAAAACCTTCTTCTCAAGAACCACTGGGCCAGAAAAGCTGAAACTTATGTGAAAGCATCCTGGTATAGTGTAGATTCTAAATTGTTCACATCATGGCACGCCACAATTCAAAGTTTTACATAGAAATATATAGGAAAAATCTTTGAAAATCTTCTTCTCAAGAACCACTGGGCCAGAAAAGCTGAAACTTATGTGGAAGCATCTTGGTATAGTGTAGATTCTAGATTGCTCAAATCATGACCCCCTGGGGAAGGGTGGGGCCACAATTGGGAATCAAAGTTTTACATAGAAATATATAGGAAAAACTTTAAAAGCTTCTATGGGCCAGAAAAGCTGAAACTTATGTGCACATGGAAGGATCATGGGGTAGTGTAGATTTCAAAATGTCTAAATTATGATCAGTGGGGTAGGGTGGGGATGCATTATGTATTACAAGGGGAAAATCTATGTTTCACAATGTGGCCCATGGGCCTCTTGTTTACTGACTTAATACATAGTCAGCGCATGTTTGTCTATTATTCTCCTTTGAACAGTAGTTGTATATTTGCTTTTGTAATGTTGTGTTAAAAGGAGATTAATAGACAAACATGCGCTCATGGTTTAAAAGAGAAAAAACTGCTTCTTCTTACACTCGCTCTCTCTGTTGTAACCAAGGGCTGTGACACGTTGAATATTATAATTCACCACGTGATATCTTTCCTCAGGTAGTTTTGTGAATACAAAATTCCGTCACGTGACATTGGTAGCATGTTTTGTGCTAACTAGGACACTGTGCTCGAACATTAAATAGTCAATATTCTTTATTTACATGGATGCACTCATACTTTTAAAATCTTTGTATATAATGCATCTGTGCCATACAGAATAAATAGAAAGATGAAAAATAGAGATTTCGTCTTTTTTAATACAAGTCATTGTTATTCATCCAGTCTAATTTTAGTTCCATTCTTACAATATGTTAGCTCCGCCTCTCATACATACATAATGTTCAATCAAGGGCAGGTAAGTGTAAATGATCTGTATTTGGAAAACCGTAAGGACAAAAATGTGAAATTAGTTATTAAATTACAGTCTAAAATCATTTTTAACATTTAAATTGGGTGTCTAATTGACAGACCTCTGTAGTAAATATATAAAATTGAACTTGGGTCAACAAAGATCTACGGCGTTGTTATCCTTTTTTTACTAAGTGCTGTATTTTATTTCAATATGCAAAGCTTGACTCCAAAGTTAGAATATAAAATTCATTTTTTTTGTATTTTTCATTTACGTTCAATAGATTATTGTAGTAGCTACGTACTTGTTTCATGATAATATTTCAGTTCCTCTTCTAGCTCTTGAGGAGACATCACAGCTTTTATTTTTTTCCTTCTCTTGCTGTGATTCTATGGAGATTTAATAAAAATACTTTTAAAATACACATACCCGCCGCTTAAAGAGTTATTATGGGGATAAGAATTGCTTGTCAATCTGTCTGTCCGTGCAAACGCGTCCGGTCTATAACTTTGTAAGATAGATATGACTTGTGGTTACGTCATAGCCTTACAAATGGCCCTTGTAGAGATTCAAAGTCAGAAAAGACAGAAAAGTTGAAAATTAGTCACAGTTCATAGCTTCATTACTGAGAAACGTTAGGTCATCTGTGCATAAAGTTTAATTATGACGCATCCTTTGGTCAAGCACAGTAAAAAGGAACACACAAAATAAGACCATACCTATGGCACGCCAAATTCACAAAAATGAGCTAAACATAGTTTCACAGTCGATAAACTGACTGTTAACTATAGTTAACAACGTCAATCTATATTTTACATCTGTAAACCATAGTTAACGCGATAATCTATGTTTCACAACCGTAAACTATACTTAACACCGAAAACAATCATTTGCGATTGCAAAACATAGATTATCTGATAATTACAGTTTCACGATTTGTAAACTATAGTTTACAAACCGTTAACTATAGTTAACGGTCTGATAAATATAGTTTCACAATTTGTGAGACTATGATTAACAATTCTTAACTATAGTTTACGATTGTAAACTATAGTTTACAAACGTGAATCTATGTTTATCAACAAAATCTATTGTTAACGCTTTATTCAGACAGATAAACTTAGATTAGCATTCGTAAACTATAGTTAACGACCGTTAAATATAGTTTTACAGATGAAAAGTATACTTAATGAATCGTTAACTATACTTTACGAATCGTTAACTATACTTAACGAATCGTTAACTATACTTAACGTTTAACATACCGTTTAAATAGTTTACGGTTTGTAAACTATAGTTTACAGTCGATGTTTATCAATTGTGAAACTTTATCTCATTTTTGTGAATTTGGCGTGCCAATTGTTAACTATATAGTTTACGGTTTGTAAACTATAGTTTACAGTCGATAAACCTAGTTTATCAACTGTGAAACTATGTTTAGCTCATTTTTGTGAATTTGGCGTGCCTTACATACCTCCTCGGATATACAACTTTGAAAAGACGTACAGACCTGTTTTTTCTTCGGCATGCCTCGGTCTGAAAAAAATTTTAAACCATGATTAGACTTATGATTTGGAGTAAAAACATCTTCCTGTATGATATACCGGTATAAGTTTCGCTCTCTAATTTTTATTTTAAAATAGGTATATGACTTTTTTTCTTATTTTAATTCTCAAATAAGAATTATTAAACGGCAAAGGGACCCAAATATCAACATTAATACAATTTGGAAATGTACTGCATTTTTGTAGTCTGTATACCTTTTGTCATTTTCAAAAAATTGTTTCACTGCACATTCTCTTTTCTATTCTCTCTACTTTATACACATATAAGACCATATACTACAAATATTGAGAATTTCCATTACTTTATATGATGTACCTATGTATATAGTTAGTAGTTACCTTCCATATACCGGGTCAGAGCTCTCTCCTCCTCGGCCGAGTCGATCTGCGCCAGGGTGGAGCCCATCTCACGACAAACCTCCACCGACCTATTGTAAGTGGTCAGCTCGCTGTGGAAATTGTAGCACCCTTCATGTAGACCAACAAAAGGTTCGGGGCAAGGCAAAGCGTGGCAGAATGTGAGCACTGGGGAAAAAGTCAAAAGCATGGTCATACACAGATCGGTAAATGATGCACTGAAAGAGTTTGCATCATAATATACATGTGTGTACCGTGAGGTTACCACTATGCAAACCGCCTGAATTCAAAGCATAAAGGCGTATACTACATGCATGTATACTTATATTCATCATTCAAAAGACAAATTCAAAAAGCGTAAATCTAGTTAATCATTCGAAATGAATACTTACTAATAAATAGGCACAGAAATAATCCATAGAACACAGTTTGCATGTTTTCATATAAAATAGTTAAAACATATATAAAAATGAAATGCAAACGATATTGACGATTTTTTAAATGTTAAGTACACACCACACTGAAATGATTGACACCTCACTAGATCTCTAGAGCCGGGTGTCCGCTCGATGCCCGAGGTGAACATGATCAGGAAGTTGGGGCCATATTCTAAACATAAGCATAAGACCGTTGATTCAAGTTTTCATTGATTTTTTTTATTTATTTTTTGTAACATACCAATTACTTTACATATTTTTATATATAAACTTGAAAATAGTAACTTTTTTCCACGTAAAACAACGTTGTGTTTAATAAAATAGTGATGAATGGAGGGGAAATTCTTATAAACATATGTAAGAAACATTTAATTTTAATAATGATTACATTATAAATGCAAGTATAGCAAATGCATAGTCCTAAGGTATTCAAGGTCAGTTCTACCAAGAGACTGTCAAAGTGCATGGTAATTAAGATCATTTACAACTAAATGTTATAAAATTGAAAAATATTCACTATACAAAGATACCATAATGAATTGTTGGCGATTTTTGCGGTTGTTTTATAATAAAATACTTTTAAAAAAACATATATAATAATGACATGCTTCCTTTAGCTGAGTATTGTACTTGGCGATTCAGAACATGGGTTGTTGTGTGTAACCAGAGTTACGATGTCCACTCTGAGCCTAAGGAAAGAAAGACCAGGAAGTAGGAGAAATTTTCTACACAGAAGCATAAAATCATACAATCATTTCTGTTTTGAGGTCAATACGATGATTTAGCCACCTGAGGGATACCATATTCACCGAGTCCGAAGGGCTAGGTGAATATTGTACTTCGAAGATGAAAAAACCATCGCATTGACTAAAAAAACAGAAATAATTCTATCATATGACTCCATGAGGAAAACGATAGAAACTTTGTTAAACAACTTTTGCCATTTGTTTTACATTTGCTGATTTCATAAACTCAATGAGAGAAGTTAGGTTAAACTTAATATAACCAGATGTACCATTTTGGATTTTTAATTAAGAAATCTATTCTAGGTAGAATGTTAAAAAAATGATTAAATTTCAGGCATGTTAACCAATGTTGAAAATGGTGAAGGGGGCATTATAAGAGAAAAAAGTAACCCCCCCCCCCCCAAAAAAAGTGGAGAATTCTACAAACTTTTATTTAATGGGGTGGGTGGGTTGGGATGTTAGAGTTTATCATATGGGTGCAACTAACCTTTTAACATTTTTATACTACATGAAAAGCAAAAATGTCTGCACAGTAGGGATATGCTAGGAGGGAGAAGGCCCCCTCCATCCCCATCCCCATACATATTTAGGAAATTCCTCCACTCAATCTACATGCCACATTGTTATGTTCAACTGAGTGGAAGTCCTGTGAACTATTTGTATCAATTTGGAATTTCTAAATCTGTTTTTAGTCCAATATAGAAAAAATAAATCCTTTTATTATATGATTGAATAATTTCCATCTCTCTGATAGGCTGAGATCCAACTATGTTAGAAAAATACTACAGGTGAATATAACATTTATTTCCTCCACATTGATCTAAAAATAGATTGGGAAATTCCAAATTGATACAAATTGTTTTGGAAAGCTATTTAAACGACTGTGAATTTTTTTTTCATGTGAAGTAAAACATAAGCGAATATATATTTTAGGGTGAGAGTGGTAAGAGAGGATGCAGGGACCCCCCCCCCCCACCAACACTTTTACTGAACAACATGTTTTTATTACTTTTTGGCTGTCAGTTTTCCCTGATAATACTCCTTCCTTTAAAATTCTATCCTATAAAAATACTGACATTGTATTATTTTTTCATGGCAACTAAATTTGATAAAAAAACATTTCAAATTGATACGACTGGTAAGGTTTATTCACATTTTAATTCTGTTTCTCTCTTGTATTGGGCTAGGACTTTTTTAAATGCAAGTTAACAAGTAATGAGCTGTATCATTTTATCAGTGAATCATATAATAAAACAATTATTGCTGTTTTTTTCAGTCAATACAATGATTTAGCCATCTTCGATACTTCAAGTAATACAGCAATAATTGTATAATGTTCACCTGAAAAGTCATCTACAGGTGAATATAACATTTTCTAATATAGTTGGATCTCAGCCAATCAGTGAGATGGGGATTCTTAAATCATATACTGTAAACAAACTTTTATTTATGTAACAAAAATATCCACATGTTTTGCTACCTTCATTCATGAATATTTCTTGTCATGAACCAATACTTTAAGTAATACACTTCAATATTTATGTAGAATGTTGCCTCACAAACATTATTAGTCCTTGATGATTTCCATGATACTGAAGTATCATGAGGTGAAGATGTTCTGAATAATAGTTGGTTTACAGTTATCATCTTTAGGATCTTTGTCAATCTGTGGTTGTAACAACTGGTTGTAACAAAACATCATAACCAAAAGCAGGCAGATAAAACAAGAGATTTTAATAATCTGTAATTATAGAAAATATTTCAGTGATAACATGTATTACAAAAAGTCCTGCAAGCAGTACAAATTTCGTCAGCCTCCTCTCTTTTGCACTATCATTTTTGTATTTTTATAATGAGTGAAGCCCAGTCAATTAGTCTGTACACAATAACTGATGACTTCATGAGAGTTTGAGATGATGTGAGTGGTGTGCTGCCTCCACGACAGTCTGGGGTACCGGTCGACGGACCCGGGGATCACCAACAGGAACATTCAAACTGAAAAAGAAAAAAAATCAATCGTAAAAGTCACCTTATTTACACAGCATTACTGTAGATAACTAAATTTTCACGACGCCTTATTTTAACAAGATAGTCATTGACTAATTAGAATGACATTTTTGCGAGCTCATTGTCTCGCATAATTATGCGAAAATAAAGTTCTTGTGAATAAAAAGTGATTGACAGTATTTGTTTACAATTAGTGAGACATAATTTTCTTGAATTGTTGTTATTCCTCTATACAAGAGGCCCATCGGCCACGATCCCTCACCTGAGCACTGTGGCTAGTAAAAAAGAAGAAATTGGTTTATTATTGAATAATTTAAATCCAAAAGTAGTCCCATGACCAATCATGGCTTTGCTATTCTTGATAAGATGATTTTTAAAGAATTTTCCTGTATATGTCTATGTAAAACTTTGATTGGCCATTGTGGCCCTGCCCTACCACTGGGGGTCATGATTTGTACAAACTTGAATCTACACTACCTGATGATGCTTCCATATAAATATGATCAATTATGGCTTTGTTATTCTTGAGAAGAAGATTTTTAAAGAATTTTCCTATATATTCCTATGTAAAACTTTGGTCGGCCATTGTGGCCCCGCCCTACCCCTGGGGGTCATGATTTAAAGAAAATTGAATCTACATTACCTGAGGATGCTTCCATATAAATATGATCAATTATGGCTTTCTTATTCTTGAGAAGAAGATTTTTAAAGAATTTTCCTATATATTCCTATGTAAAACTTTGGTCGGCCATTGTGGACCCGCCCTACCCCTGGGGGTCATGATTTGAACAAACTGAAATCTACAGTACCTGAGGATGCTTCCATATAAATATGATCAATTATGGCTTTGTTATTCTTGAGAAGAAGATTTTTAAAGAATTTTCCTATATATTCCTATGTAAAACTTCGGTCAGCCATTGTGGACCTGCCCTACCCCTGGGGGTCATGATTTGAACAAACTGAAATCTACAGTACCTGAGGATGCTTCCATATAAATATGATCAATTATGGCTTTGTTATTCTTGAGAAGAAGATTTTTAAAGAATTTTCCTATATATTTCTATGTAAAACTTTGGTCGGCCATTGTGGCCCCGCCCTACCACCGGGGGTCATGATTTGAACAAACTTGAATCTAAACCACCTGAGGATGCTTCCATATAAATTTGATCAATTATGGCTTTGTTATTCTTGAGAAGAAGATTTTTAAAGAATTTTCCTATATATTCCTATGTAAAACTTTGGTCGGCCATTGTGGCCCCACCCTACCCCTGGGGGTCATGATTTGAACAAACTTGAATCTACACTACCTGAGGATGCTTTCATATAAATATGATCAATTATGGCTTTGTTATTTTTGAGAAGAAGATTTTTAAAGAATTTTCCTATATATTTCTATGTAAAACTTTGGTCGGCCATTGTGGCCCCGCCCCACCCTGGGGGTCATGATTTGAATAAACTTGAATCTACACTACCTGAGGATGTTTCCCCATAAAGTTTCAGCTTTCCTGGCACAGTGTTTCTTGAGAAGAAGATTTTTAAAACATACCACCAAATTTTTATTAATTCCCAATCATCTCCCCTTGAATGAGGACGTGGTCCCTTATTTGAACAAACTTGAATCCCCTTCATCTTAGGATACTTTGTGGCAAGTTTGGTTGAAATTGGCACAGCGGTTCTTGAGAAGAAGTCCAAAATGTGAAAAGTTTACAGACGGACAGAAGGACAGACAGACGGATGACGGACAAAATGTGATCAGAAAAGCTCACTTGAGTCTTCGGCTCAGGCGAGCTAATAATCATAAGGAATACTTTTATACGTGAGAATGAAATTTTTGCGCGCTCATTGTCTCACATAATTACGCGAAAATAAAGTTCTTTTGACTAAAAAGTGATTTACAGTATTTATTTACTATTAATTTCAATTGACTGAGCCACAATACTTACTTTACGTTGGTTCTGTTGTTGACCACCAGGAGTGGGTTGACTTGACTCAGTATTTCCTCGTTGACAGAGATTCCGTCCAGATACTGTTTCAGTAAGCTCCTCAGCTGTGTGTTCTCCTGTACAAGTGTCTGTTTCTCCTTGTCTAGGGCTAGCTTATCCAGGGCCACCTTATTGTAACGCTTCCAAAAGTTCTCCAGAGACGTAAAGTCATGCATTATCTGAACAAGATAATGAAACATTATTTACTTACATGTCAAAGGGTAAATTGAAAAAAAATTATTTTTGTAAAATTTTAAGGTAAATATGATATAACATTGACAATGCCTCTTCCTTTGTGTTTTTCTGTTTATCTGCTGTTAAATGATTTTGTTTTATAGTCTATTTGTGGGTGACTTTGTATTACATGTTTTTAATTATGTTTGGTTTACTTAGTCTTAATCAATTAATTTCACATAAAAGTTAAGTAAAGATAAAATTTTAGAAATATCAAGTTAAGGGTGTCCTTGAACACAAACATTGATCTTTGATGCAATATAAATCTCTAAAAAAAAATTTTTAAAGCATGTTGAGGATATATATGTGAATAATTTACATATGCTAAGTTCTTCTGTGTAAAGCATTCATTCTGTACCTACCAGTGCCAGTTTTTCATAGGGAGGCTCCTGTATGGCCGCCTCTACATCCTCCTTCTCTTCCTGAGTGAGCGACGAAGCGTAAAATGGCAGGACTTTCTCCTCCTCGGTCTCTAACCGTCTACACATCTCCGTCATGGTGATCACGTTCTTAACCTGTATCATATAGCCAGGGTCAGACAAACCTTACATATCTAATGAATTCTAATTTCATTTTGAATATGAATTTCTTGAACTTCATGATTAATCATTTATTTTACTGATGAAGTGGATTCATAAAATGCTTATATTTAATTCTTTTATGAAGAACTTGTGCATATGCAATGGGAGATAACTCCTCTCCTTATGGCATAACAAATTCAGTGTAAATTGTGCGAATACATGTAGTAATTAGTAGTCTTGACACATATCCCAACAAACAATACAAACAGTTTACAAAACACAGCATATGAGAGTCTGTTAATTAACCAAAAATTAATTAAATTTTTCCAAATATTAAAAAAGCCAGCCTCTGGCATTATGAACAGCAGATTTAACATAAACAAAAATCAAACTTCTGAGCACAAGCGTAAGACTCAAACATTCCATATGCTGAACACATACTTACTTATGTGTAAGGAACCTTTGTAAAAATTACACTGTTAACAAAAAAATGTTACCACATTGGAAGTCTCTCAATGAAGACCAAAATTAGGTGGTATGTAATATGTATACATGTATTATGATTGTTGTTTAGCAATGAGAAGTGGAGACGCAATATTTTATTTTTTATCTTGTTAAACTAGTTTTATGAGATGGTGGGTATTATGTGATCATGTTTCCAAAATATTTTTTTAGATGACACTTCAAAACATTGTAAAAATCAGACTGAATAAAAATGTTATTCATCTGGCTGTATTATCTGCATGTGTACATGTGTTATCACATGTGAGTTGTGAACTAAACACATGACATGTGAAATATACAAATATGTATTTCTATAACAGCTTACATATCACTTCCTATGTTGTCATTGTCGACTGAACCATAGCAAAGTTGTAAACTTAAAAAAAACATCATACAAAATATTCAAAAAGATAACATATTTTTTCAAATGTTTCATCAAGTCAAATGATTTTTTTAAAAAAACTGTATATGAAAGAACAAACTGACTGGCACAATATTTTAAATCTAGAGTATTTTAAATCTATGAAGAATTAATGTTCAAAAACAGAAATCTTACCTTTTCTGTTTTAGACTTGATGGTTTTAATGGCTCCGTTGCTCTCGATTGTCATTTTGGTCAGTTTAGCTCGTTCTCCCTCCCTCAGTTTGTTCATTTCAGCCTTCAGGTCTTGGAGGTGAGCCAGCATTCTCTCTCTTTCCTTTACAATTGTTATAGAATATATGTAAATTAAAAGGTTTAAAACCAAAAAATGTTAGTTTAATCTGGTGATTTGACACGCTTTTCAATATTCTAATTGCACCTACTAGTTCATATTTTAAGAGTATTATGACATAATTACTGTGTAAATTAAAAAACTATTTTATTTTGTTTGTTAGTTTTTTATACTTACCTCTTTAATTGATCGGTTTCTTTGCTCGTTTTCTTTTGCGTTGGCTGCCATCTTGGCTTTCAGTTGAGCAATATTTTCCTGCAATTGTTTTCAAACACATAATTTCAATTAAAAAAATTAATATTTTACAGTTTAACTAAGATAATGTGTAAAGTAATAATACATTTAAAAGTTGTACTTATCACAATCTTACAGAAATGCGTTGAAGTTTCCTCATCTGGAAGTCGATTTCCTGAGCGGACACATCATCCTTTGCCTTCAGTTCTTCAAATGCTGCTTTTCTTTCTGCATTATTTTCCTGGTAGTTTTTACGAGCTTGTTCAAATGCATTCCAGTAAAAGTTGAATTTTTCAGTCAGCTGATGTCGCAAGCCATGCATTTCTTCCATATCCTACAAGAAGATTTATTAACTAATAATACATGCATGCTATACCCAATATAGCTGGAGTTGCAAACGCATACTCCCACCTTACAACCTGTGTCAAATTTCTTTACATTTCAACACCCTAGATATAGGGTCCTGAGAATAACTTTTGAATCTTTATATTTACTAAGCCTAAAATCAAATACATGTAATGTATTGATTACCGTATAAGTGGAAATTTTAGCGAGACGCAAATTTAGCAATTTGTTCTTAAAAATTGATGTTTTATTTTTAGCGAGATGTAATTTTAGCGATTTTAAAATGCTCACTTAAAGAAACAGTTACAAATAAAATGCAACTAATTTTTAGTGATATTCAATTTTAGTGATCTCAACACCCTTGCTAATAATGCCAAAATAAAATCCTTGCTAAAATTTCTACTTATACGGTATTTGCAGATGTAGGTAGACTTACTTTATTGCGGATTTCATCCACCAGACTCTGATAATCCGACTTGGCGTCCCTCTCTCTCTCCTGGAAATTCTGGTCCATTGCAAACAGAATGTCTGAAATCTCATTCATCTCTCTACTGTGTTGATCCAACATGATGGCTCGCTCCGTGTCGAATTCCTCAGTAATCACACCCAGCTCATCCTCGTACTGCGTCCTCAGGAATTCTATACGGCTTCTGTGTTGATCTGCCAGGAGGAATGAATGTATAATATTTTTTAAAAACTTTGGTAGTTTTATTTTGGTAATTCTTTATTAATTGTGCATAATGATGCACGTTCCTATTTCTAACAAATCATAATTGTATGAAACAAAAAAGCAATGAAAATTGAAAAAAAGTATCGAGCTTGAGAAAGAAGCATGGGGGGGAGAGAGAAATTAGAACAAATTTACAAAAACTGAATTGTATTTAATGTTTAAAAAAAAGTAATGTACACACCAATAAGGTTATCTGTACTCTGTAGATGGGCCCTCAGTGACATTGAATACTGCTCATCAGCCTCCTGTAAATCTTTAGCCAAAGCTTTAATGGTGGCATCCTTCCTGTCTACGATTCTCTCAAATGTCTGACTGAGAATCTCCAGGTCTTTTTTCAGTTCTTTGGACTTGTTTTCTCTCATGATGTTCCTCCATTGATGGTTCAGCTTATTGATATTGAACTTTGTGGATCTTTCCTCCTTTGTTAGTTTATCCTGGTTATCAAGGGAAAATATTAAAAATGTTTTCAATGAAATAAATGATACCAAGGTTTGAGTGAAATACACAAGTGTTGTGTAAATAATTTCCCAAAAAGTTGAACAATGTAATTTGCAGAATCATGATAGCTGCAGAACTGTAGCTCTCCGAAAAAAATATATTTACAAACCAGAGAGCTACAGTGCTACCCAATCAAAAAACTGTATATTTATTGCGCACAAAAAAGTACTAATTTAAAAAAATTCCTTAATCCTCTAATGACTATCAAATACATGTACTCTCTTAGTTGACATCTGCACCAAGCGTGTTTGAGGGAATTATCTTGCAAACCAAAATGGCAATATCAATAGGCGAAATTTTCGATCATTTCAATATCAGGGCCAGGAGGGCTATTAACAACAATTACAAGGAATGTTTTGTTGTGGAGACAGTGAAAGAATATGTTAGGAACACATGGTTAGTAATATTTTGAGATGACAGCTTTAAAAATATGGAGAAATAAATCGAGAAACAGCTCAGTTTTTTGTGCACAATAAATATAAATTTTTTCAATGGGTGCTCTGCGGTCTGTCAATATAAATTTTTCCGAGAGCTACAGTTCTGCAGCTAGAATCATGAATAATGTCCAAGGAAAAAAAAAATTTCAATTTCATTATAAACATACTTTACTGTTTTTACCCTTGTAAATGAAATTTATTACTTACTTTCAGAAATTGGGTCAACATGTTTTCCTTCTTTTTCCTAAGTTCTTCCTCAGCCAGAGCTTTCTGTTCTTCATATGCAATCCTCTCCTCTTCAGTCATATTTGCTAGCTTGCTCGACTTCTTCTTTCCCCCCTTCTTCTTTCCACTTTTTTTGCCTCCCTTCGGCATGACTGCAAATAACTGTAATCTCATATGATAATCAGAGTCTCGTGATTATGTTTATTATCATATAACCCATTCAGTCTGTATTAATTATCTTTCAAAATGTGAGTGTTTTGTTTTATTTATCAAAGATTGATTGATTGATTAAATTAAAAACAATCAAATCCCACATTTAATGCTTTATAAAATATAATTTAATTTTTTGGATGGAAAGGTAGAAGAGTTATGTCCCTTAAATGCTTTCAAGTATATGTATTATTGTTTGTTATACACTATATTAAGATTATATAGTCATTGATTAAATAACTCTAAGTGTGTTCGCCAAGAATTGCTCAATATTAAATCCAAATAAATGGGCGTCTGCACAAAAACAATTCAATATAGGAAATAAATATACACAAACAGGTGCCCCGACGTATTTTCTGGGAGGAATCTCTAAAACACCACAGTGAAACATTCAGGGTTTTTTAACATTATTATATTAAACTTTTAATTCTTACAACCCATTTAGATATTTTCTGTAAAGTAATTTTGCTAAAGATTTTAGAAAATACTTACTATATCAGTATCAGCGAATGCGTTTGTTACACTTGGTTACAACAAATCTATATCTCACAGACGCTTGGAACTGTCTTGTCTTGCTAACCGTAATATTCTGTTCTATAAAAAGCATTTCAACGCATGTAACTTCTTTTATTAATGAAGAGTTTAATGAAACATGGTTTGCTTTTAAAAACTATAAATATTGTGTAATTATAATTAATTTTATTTTGTTTTTAAACGAAAAAAATTATCCGGAAATATATATTCCTTTTTTGTAGTTTTTCTGATGTATAATTTCATAAAGCGTTTTAGTGCCCTTGTGTACTTGTATCCATGGTGTTTGGGAAAACGGGATTTTTTCTTTGCTGTTGAGGTAGTGATGCTTCTAATAACGTGATGATCTTTGCTTTAAAGGAATTTGGTTTTCTTGAAAACATGCGAACACACATTTTGATCTTTTTTTAATTTGAGTTTTTGTAACTATATTTTGAAACTTATGAACAATTAAGCATTTCTTAACTGAGGCAGAGGAAATTTGGGCGTAATATGTAAAAATAGGTGTAGATCTACATATTTATTAAGTTTATCAAGACCCAAGTACCTGTGCTTGGTTCAAGACGATTGTGATTTTTAAATTATAAACAGATTAAGTTTGAAATATGAATATAAGTGATGTACAACAACTAGTGCAACTTTAATATATGCCAAGAGTTTTACCTGTAACAAGAAAAGAAAAAAATGTATGGCTGGACTGGGAATTGAACCCAAGATGCCTGCATTACTAGTCAGGTGCTCTACTAATCTCAGCGAGATGGGTAGAGACTAAAATTTTTGTACATCAGACCAAAATTTTAGTCTCTATCTCGCTGAGATTATATATAGTGCTCTACTATATAACTAAGCTACCCAGGTCGATATCCACAGGCCAAACCAATACATTCCTCCCTCCTTAAATTGTCTTTGTCCTCAAAGACACAATCGAAGGTCTTATTAGCCCATGCCCCCTGGCAGAACTTTCACCTGCAAGTCCAGTAGTTGTCAACGGCACCAAAATGGCTGTACCGAAAATTCAACTCAGGACCCCTGCATCTATATTCAGATGTTCTATCAACTGAGCAACCCAGGCCAATTTCCACGGCCTAAACCATTGCATACCTAATAAGGTGCAAATAAGTTATGCATGGTAATAAACAGTTCGATCGAACAATTACACATCTGCATGTGTACCTAATAGGACACATCTTCTTGCTAAGTTCATGTGTTTTACGTGTAACAGTTATATTGTTACCAATTAAATCCATGACAGTACTAAGATTCAGCTGTAAAAAAAAAATGTACCTGGCTTTGATCATACCGGTATATTATGAAATCAAATTGTTAAGTTCACTGTCAGAATGATTTATTGCACACTTTTTATTTTTCAGAGAAAGGTTTTATTTTGACATAAGCAACTATGGGACCTAAAAAGAAGGGAAAGAAGTCTGGCAAACTTGCCAAAATGACAGAGGAAGAAAGAATGGCTTATGAAGAACAGAAAAACCTAGCAGAAGAAGAACTGAAAAAGAAGAAGGAAGATATGTTAACACAGTTTTTAAAAGTAAGAATTTAAAAAAAAAAAAGATAGTATGATTCATGAAATTGTGAACAAACTAAAATAGATAAAGAATGGAGAGTAATTAGATTAAATTGTACTGTACATTTTTTTTGTATCCATATCATAAAATATATTATTGCTTTAAAAGGATAAATTGGCCAAAGAGGAGAGAGCAACAAAGTTCAACATCAATAAGCTGAACCATCAATGGAGGAACATCATGAGAGAAAACAAGTCCAAAGAACTGAAAAAAGACCTGGAGATTCTCAGTCAGACATTTGAGAGAATCGTAGACAGGAAGGATGCCACCATTAAATCTCTAGCGAAGGATTTACAGGAGGCTGATGAACAATACTCTATGTCACTGAGAGCTCATCTACAAAATGTTGACAGTCTCATTGGTTTGTAAACAGTGTTGTATTTCAGCACACCATTGTTAAAATGGAAATTCATTTATCAACTATTAGCTGAGAAATATCTTGATATAATGGAATTTTACATGACTGTACTACCATATCCATTTAAAAATACATTGGACTACAAAACACACATTGATCTTTCAAAGTTTAAAGTCATTTTATGTAAATGCACTCATTTGAAAACTATCACTTATTCTACAAGCAAAATAACAAAAGGGTATGCACGAATGTTGGAATAAAGTTTACAACAAAAACAAATCGAACAATACTGTATAGCAGGTTAAAATCGCGGTCGGAAAAGATCGCGATTTGTTCAATTTTCAGCAAATCGCGGTCGTGTGTATTAGCGGAAAGGAAAAAACCATACATTTTTTTAACAGTACTTGCAAGCATTTTTCTTTAGGTATATATTGTGTGAACCTTTATTTTCAGTCTCTATCTTACGAAAGTCTGTTCTTGTATATAGCGCATATCAGACAGGAGAGGCAAGTCTATATATTGTGTCAATTTTGAGCCCGATTAAATAATAACGAAACACCGGACTGATCCCGATTTGAAGTCAAAATAATGTTACGCATTCAGAATATTTTTTATTTCCGAGGCCAAATAAAAAAATATATAGTAGTCAAATTGTTGAACTTTTAATCATATAATTGAAATTAATTAATTGTCTTTATAATTACCCTGTTTACTTCGCAAGTGCCTTGATTAAAGGTAATGACTGAGTGATACACACGGGTGAAATTATACAAGCTTGTTAATTACATTGCACGTTTACTAGATGGCAAACTACCGTAATCGTTAGCTATAGAAATTAATAAGCTTTACAAAACACCAACAACTACGTGTTTGTATACACTCTCATAATTATAATGACAGTCTACATCTAATCACAGATGATAATAAAATTTCAGTTTACCCTTATAAATCTTTTCAAGAATTATTCACTATATGTTGATTTCGCGGAATTTCTTTTTCCGCGAATATAGCGAATATTAACTCCGCGAGTTAATTTCCTGCTGTACAGTATACGTAAGTCTTATGTGTCTACATTTTTTATACATAGATCAACAGAAACTGAGGATTAACAGTCTACAGCACGAGTATGAGGAAGAGCTGGAAGTAATCCGCGAGGAGTTTGACACAGAGCGCGCCATTATGATTGATCAGCATGATGTGGAGATGAATGATGTAGCAGACATCTTGTTTGCCATGGAACAGAACTTCCAGGACAGAGAGAATGAGGCAAAGTCGGAATTCCAGAGCATGACAGATGAAATCAGAAATAAGGTAGATAACTCATGACAGATGACATCAGAAATAAGGTAGATAACTCATGACAGATGAAATCAGAAATAAGGTAGATAACTCATGACAGATGAAATCAGAAATAAGGTAGATAACTCATGACAGATGAAATCAGAAATAAGGTAGATAACTCATGACAGATGAAATCAGAAATAAGGTAGATAACTCATGACAGATAAAATCAGAAACAAGATAGATAACTCATGACAGATAAAATCAGAAATAAGGAAAATAACTCATGTCACATGACAGATGAAATCAAAAACAAGGTAGATAACTCATGTCACGTAAATAAAATCAGAAACAAGGTAGATAACTCGTCACATGACAGATGAAATCAGAATAAGGTAGATATCTCAGTCACATGATAAATTAAATCAGAAATAAGGTAAATAACTCATATCATACAGCAAATGAGATCAGAAATAAGGTAGATAACTCAGGTTTCACAACAAATAAAATCAGAAACAATGTAGATATATAACTCATGACAGGTGAAATCAGAAATAAGGTAGATAACTCTTCACATGATAAATGAGATCAGAAATAAGGTAGATAACTCATAGCACACAACAAATGAAATCAGGTAAGAGATAATTTTTGGGCATATCAGTGAGAATCAGAAATAAGGAGATAAGTCAAGTTTAGAACATGACAGACGAAATCAGAAACAAGGTAGAAATCAGAGATAAAGTATCTGCTTGACTGCATGGCGTCAATATTCTTCCATATGTATACATATCAATATTTTGAAGCATTCTACATGTTTAAATAATGAGTTTTAAAACAGGCTTATAAGTACAGAACCAGTACAATAAAATATCTATTTCAATTCATTCAGTTGAATTTCATTGAAAACATCTGTGAGACATAAAACATGTGCACGTAAATCTCTGTTTTCATTCATTATAGCACATGGAAGAGAAGCATGGTCTCCACCACACTTTGCAGGATAAACTGGAGTTTTACTGGAAGGAGTTCAGTAATGCTCTCAAAATGTATCAGGAAAACAACCAGGATCGTAAGCTCGCATTCGAGGAACTCAAAGCCAAGGACGATGATTCAGCTCAAGAAATAGACGCTCAGATGAGGAAACTCACTCGCATTTCAGTGCGTTGATTTTTTAAAATTGTTTATTAAAAATATAAATTATAATGAATTGTGTGAATACATTTAAAGTAGAATTGTTTGATAGGTTTGTGTTCTTTCTTTAGGAACAAATTTCTCAGCTGAAATCAAAAATGGCATCAAATGCCAAGGAGTGTGAGGAAAGAAATCGTCAGCTGAAAGAGGTTAGTACATGTATTTTATATGTAACTGGTACTTTAACAAAAACAAGATATAAACTTATGCTTGAATTTTAAATCTTTCACATAAAACTGTCATGGCAAACTAATTATTATCAGGGACCTATATACTACTCTAAGTATATAGGTCCCTGCTATTATCTTTAGAAAGAATAAACTTAATTGTGTTAAACTCTTATATATAAAACTATAGGCATGGTAAATTAACTACCATCTTTAGAGAGATCTACCTGAAGGATAATGTCATTGTTAAAAATTATATCTTTTTAGGAAAGAGAGAAGATGTTGGCACATTTCCAGCATTTAAAATCCCAGATGAATAAGATGAGAGATGGAGAGAGAGACAAGCTCACTAAGCTTACCCTGGAGAGTAACTCGGCCATTAAAGAACTGAAAAGACGTATAGAAAAGGTGACACCTTCGTACAATTATAGCATGCAGAGCACATGTCCATTATGAATGTAGTTTAATACTTATATATAAACTGAAGTTTCTTACATGTTTTATCTTACAGTTACAATGTATAATAAAATTGGGTGAGATGAGCCGTAAATTTGAGACAGAGGAAGAAAAAGTTCTTCCATTTTATGCCTCATCTTTGACACAGGAGGAACAAAATGATGTGAATACTGCTATTTTGGAGAAACCAAATGAGGAACTAGTGTCTGTAAGTCTGTAAATCATTAAGTGACAATTTTCTTATGATTGAAGCAGTTCCGGTAGCTTCAAATAAATGCTACAACATTAAATTCTGTGACTCATTTATTGGGTGTGTTATAACTAGTATCAAACTACATCATTTGATAAAAAAATACATACACTCATCTTAGGTATAAAATAAGAAAAAATGGAATTCTTTTTCAGGTGATGCATGAGTACAGTGCTCTGGAAAATTTCTGGAAGAGGTATAACAAAGTTGGCCTGGATAAGTTAGCTTTAGACAAGGAGAAACAGGGTCTGATGGTGGAAAACCAACAACTGAGGACCCTACTTAAACAGTACTTAGATGGAATCTCAGTCAACGACGAAATCCTCTCACAAGTCAACCCACTCTTCATTGTCAACAACAAGACAAATGTCAAGTAAGTCAACACAAGTCAAAGAAATCTTCTTCATAGATGCTGTAGAATTCTATCATCTTGTTTTCAACATATAGGTTTTTTTTGTTCAGGTTTTTAAAAAAAAATTTGAAAAAGATGGATGATTTTTCTGCAATTTAATTTTTTCCTCAAATTTTGATTTTTAAAAATTTCTTATAAATATCTTTGTCCTAAGTGTTTGTTTTATTTGCAGATTGAATGTCCCAGTAACCGACCCGCGAATTCGACGTCCTGTGGCCCAGACTGTCATCGAAGCTTCTCATGCCGTCAAAAATATCCTGCCTTCCTGAAAATCTTTTTTGTCCTCAGTTTTTATCATGAAACTCAGAAATACAGCACCTACACACTTGTTTACCAGTGTTGGCGTACTCATTAACTTATTAAGTGCTTTAAATTGTGATGTCTGTTTTGTTTACAAGGAATTCTGGTTTTACTTCAAGCATGTTTATGTATACATTACAATCTAGTTAATAGAGGACCAATGGTATTTACACTTAAATAATCCACAAGTATTAAGATCATGATCAAAAAGTAACTAATGTGTTCAATATAGAACTTATACTGTAGACTAAAGGATAACTTGCATAATACACTTGCCACTTGATACAGTCAGTATTCATTAGAAATGTTATAATTCCAGCATAATTTATTATACACAGTATTTAGTTATATTTCACAGTGCCAAATATCAGACATGCACTTTAATGATCTGAATTTATTTTTTGTATTGTTTTACTGTAGATTTTTTAAAAATCTTATTTATATTTTGCACATAAAGAACCTTTAATATGTACATCCCAAGTATTTTGAGTTGAGAGAGTTGTAAGAATCTTCAGAACTTATATCATTTGAAGAGAACTGCTTTATTGATTTATTTTCAAGAGTTTTTGCAAATATAACTTTTTTTAATCAGTGTAAGAGTGGATTTTTTTCCCCTGATGCTTTAATATAAAACCTTGCCACTGCTTGAGTTTGATTGCCATATATATCAACTGTGTTGGAACTTTCTTGCCGCTGTTCACTCTACAAAAGTGTGCTACATGTTACCTTCATCTATATTGTTTGTTTTAACTTGTTTTACATGTCTTTTTTGTTGTGTATCTGTTTTGTTGTGGTTTTTATACTTTTTTTTTCATTTATACAATATCATTTATTAACATAGATCTAATAAAGAAAAGAGTACTCCATTTTATATATTAGTCATTATTCCTAACAATTAATTCTTGGAAAACTTGGGTTTACTTGCTGATTTTTCAAGTTTGACAGAGACACGGTCGAGGAGGGGGTGTTTTTGGTACTGTTCTTTCATCTTGTATTTTAAAAAAAACCATTACTGAATGCAGTGGTCAGTCAACCACGGGTAGAGAGCATAATAGACAACAGATAATATCCACAGGGATAATGAACTAAAAAAAAGGTAAAGACATCAAGATATTATCATACCAGACCTGCCAACCAAAATTGATGCTGTGGGGGGTCATGACCCAACATTCAGAATTGAAATGTTGGGTCATAGCGCGCGGCGACATTTTTGTTGAGGTTTGAGTAACAAAATGCTCCCTAATTTTTAGGCATCAATGCAAACAGTCAAACACATGCATGTATATGTTATATTTTATTGCAGACTTAATTTTTACTTAGGACAGGTTACTTAAAATTGCTTGTATAAGAACACTTTCAGATTGATAGTAAGATTCAGATACTTTTAGTTCAATAGAATTTTTGCAAATTAAAAATTTAAAAAGTTTCTGGGAAACATTTGTTAGATTCTACAATAATTAATTTTCAACATCAGACCTGCCAACCAAAATTGATGCTGTGGGGGGTCATGACCCAACATTCAGAATTGAAATGTTGGGTCATAGCGCGCGGCGACATTTTTGTTGAGGTTTGAGTAACAAAATGCTCCCTAATTTTTAGGCATCAATGCAAACAGTCAAACACATGCATGTATATGTTATATTTTATTGCAGACTTAATTTTTACTTAGGACAGGTTACTTAAAATTGCTTGTATAAGAACACTTTCAGATTGATAGTAAGATTCAGATACTTTTAGTTCAATAGAATTTTTGCAAAGTTTTAAAAATTTAAAAAGTTTCTGGGAAACATTTGTTAGATTCTACAATAATTAATTTTCAACATATTACAGAATCAGAAAATTGTAATTAGACATTTAAATTGAAAGATTAATATTGAAAAATTGCTGCTGCAGGGGGTGGTGGTAAGAAATATGTGCCATCTAATTTCCTATTATTAATTTTAAAACACACACAAAAAAATCAAATGAATCAAATACTACAAAATAAATTATGAAGGATACCTAACACCCCAAACAAAAACTTAAAATCGTTAGAGTCATGGTGTGACTGACAAGTGGGTATTCCCTTGTCATAGCCATTTAACAAAGAAACACAACGTACAATACTACATTTTGGAAGGGGGGGGGGGGAATTCAATATTCTTCACGTTAGACCCTTTTGCTTTATCTTAATTAATATCATTTTCTTTTAACCACTACACTTAACAATAATTTCAATATACAAGAGCTGATAAAATCAGCTGATATATGAGAGCTGATAAAATCAGTTGTTATCAGTTATGCTTTGTAGTTTCGTTTTTTTACTTTCGTTTTTAAAAAAACGTTTATCATATCATTGTATTTAATTAATTAATTTCTGTTTTTAATAAAATGATATTTAATTGACCTCTAAATCTATGTGGTTCACCATGCATATACCCCTTCAAATGGTTACGTATAATCCCCTAAATGCTCCAGGCATATTACCTGTACAGCTGTGTCAATCTGCGATCAAGCGTGAAGTGATTTCCTGTGGCTAATTAACAGTTTTTTTAACACCTCGGCAAACAAAGATACTAATCTGTGTGCATTGAATAAACAAGATGTTCATATCCTGATTTATAAAACACAAATCGGAAATTTTAGGATGAATTTTCAGATCTTTCTTGTTAGACAAACATGCTTAATTAATATTGGGTCAAAAAATTTGGATGATCGATTTTGCGGGTGAAAACAATGACACGCCGCGGGTCATTATGAGTGGGGGTGAGAGGTCAATTTTGCGGGTGTGACCCACCGAATGCGGGTCACTTGGCAGGTCTGTCATACTGAAAGAAAAACTAGTGAGCTAATTGAGACATGATAGAAATAAAAAAAAAATGAAATTAAAGCAAGAAAAATGCATAGTATGAAAAAGTAGAGACTGATACCGTATAGCAGGTACATTTGGCTTAGCTTATATTTACTACAAGCAAAGGTACGTGTATGCCAATAATTTCGGCGTAACTTTTTTTGGTAGACACCTGTTCAATGACGCTGTAAAAGAAAGGAAGTTCATATTTTGAATGAGTTATCCGTACGTTTGATTTACATTTGATAACGATTCACACAGGAGTTTTTGTAAATTAAACTAATACTAGATGAAAGATGTTACATGTAGTACATTGTTATACAGATCAAAGTAAACTTCTTTTCGTTAATAAGTACTTATACGCAAGGGTGCAAATTTGGTCGAGGCTTGCAAATTTAGGAGCCTCAACTGAGCGATTAAAATTTTAGAGGAATGCTTCATAACCGCTAAAATAAACCAAAATTAACACCCCGTAAAAAGTTCCCGCTATACGGCATTATGGGGTGGGGGTATAAATATAAGAATTCTTTAAAAACAGGTACTGTAAAATAACATTTTCGTGCAGTCAATTTTTTCATGATTTGAAAAAAGACTATGTTTGTTTAAGTAATGAGAGTTGATTTCGTGGATGAAGGATTGCTGAAATATATGTATACATATGACATTTTACAATTCATGATGGACATGAATTTGTGGGCCACTATATCTTAATTCATAATTCGAGAATAACGATTTAAAATTCAACCCCACAATATATTTTTTACATATTTCCAAAGTACAGTATGTTTTTCTTTTCACTGTTAGTGTGACACTGAGATTCACAGGATCAGGAGTGAGTAAAGAAAAGTATTTAAACGTAAATAATTTTGTACTACTGAAAATGCAAAAATGTTTGTAAATGTAAAGAACTACGAATGCTGGTTAAATCTCGATTCCCGACTACATTTTACGCTCATCTAATTCAATATCACATGCATTTTATCATTGAAACATAGATGATTATATAAAGAATAGTTACGTGTAATTAGTAATTGATTTATTTATTTAAAAGCAGCATGAAAAAGTAAATTGATTTTTTTTTTCTTTTTACAACTCTTATTCACGAGGGAGGGGGGTGTTAAAAATTTATCCTTTAAATTCAGGCTTTAAAAAAATACCATATGTTGAAATAGGAATGGAAATGGGTAAGATTATACGTATAAAATGTATAATATCAATAAAATACATATTTTAAATTTGTTGTGTCAATTGAAATCAGAAAGACATGAACATTTTTGCTGTTTTTGTCTGTAACATAGCCCCCTGTGAAAGCGGCACACACACACAAAAAGTTTTGGTATAATTTTGTGATGAACTCCATAATCCATGTACCTGTGAAAGGAAATTTTTGTTTCAGTGGGGCGAAAGATGCTTTTAGAAACATGTTCCTTTTTTCCGTTGATTTCAAGGGAAAAAAAAAAAAAAAAAAAAATTTACCAAACTTATAGACTGAAGTTCTGTATCTCATTTTCCTAATAAGCTATATTTTATGAAAAATCACATGAATATCTCTATATTTGAATACGTTAAATTTTGAAAAATGACTTGGAGGGAGGCGGTAGAACAATAGTGTCGTTGGAAGTTATTTGAAATTACCCCAGTTTACCATATTATCCAAGATTCAAGTGCTTGTGATCAATCCGGATATTGTTTGTCTGACCGTTGGTTTCTTAATTTTATATTTACTGGAACTCTCTTGTGTACGAAAAGTAAACTTAAGACAGAAATCATCGAAAGTCGGAAAAAGATGCTGAATTTGGGAATTTTGTAAATTTACTGATGTTTTCCAATGTCTGAGTCGATATCCTTGGTAGTCTTACGACTCGAAATCGAGACTGGATTTCCCCTTACCACAGATTTAGAGTATAGAGGTATTTATCATGAATAGCTGATTTTTTTTTTTTTTGGTATAACGTTAACCACACTTATTTATCTGTCTTCAAACCTTTCATACTAAAGGAAATTCGTCGGTATCTAGGTAAGGTGTCTTAAACATTATTTCTCTAGCACCAGATTTTGAAATACTTGGTGAGAGGGAGGCAGCAAAACACAAAGCCAGTTACGCCGAGGCAGCTTGCAGCTCTAAACAGGATTTTTCTCGAGACCTGTTGATTCAGAAGTGCAGAGGAGAGAGGATACTAACAGATCTGACAATAGAGACTTACTTAAATGGTTTGTCAATTTATAAACAACGTTATCAAAGACATTCGACAATGTCATCACTTTAATATGAATAAAAAAGGAAATATTTACAATGAGTAGCCAAGTACATTCAAGCATAAAATCTAAGAGCTTGATATATAAGTTTGTTGCATTTTTCAAGTTTTTGAAATGCTCCTTATTCTTTTAGACATGAATAACCAAGCGGAAAAAAACTGGAATCCTATGGAAAAGAACAATACAGAGACTAAATCAAAGAACCCAGACATTGGTGCCTTTTCTCGGGAAGGCTCCATTACATCTAATGCGTCAACCTCCAGTGGAGAGAAAGCGGCATCAAAGGAGGTGTGTTTCCAGCCTATTGATGATAGCGATGACAGCCCTATGCCAAGCCAGAGGGGGGAAAGGCCACACAGTGGGGGGAGGATAAGGGGCAGCCCCCATGATTCTCCCACAATACAATTCTTCTCTGGGAACCCTATGGTTGAGAGGACATGTGGGATTTTACATCTGTACAAAGACAAGTAAGTCTTATAAACTATTCAATGTCCACAGGTCATATATTATACATTTATTACATGGCTTGGAGGGCAGCATACCAGATTATTTGCCCCAAGGTGACAGGAAAGCCCTGGAGTGTAATTTCGGCATCGGGCGACATAACACTCCATGGCTTTCCTGTCACCGAGGGGCAAATATTCTGGTATTGCTGTGCGAGAATGAAGCCATGTAATATATGGTATATAACATTTTTAAACATTGAACCCTAATCGATCATCAAACATTTATTGAACACTATGTATGTACGCATGTATGTTGGGTATAATTCCGAAATATCCCGTCCTGTTTCATTTCAGAATGTTTTCAGTATGCTGACATTTGTGTTGATAACCTTTGTTGTATTTAAGGATTTTTTCTCCTCAATTAAATTATCTAATTCCTCTGAATTCAAATAAACAAATCGCAGACGTTGTCCCAAATTTTTAATTTTCGCAGAACTTTTACGTTTGCTTAGCAACTGCCTCTGTGAATTTTGAACCCGACGTATTTAATATGCAGAATGATTGCCTGTGAGGGAACATACCTGTGTTCAGGAGGGCAATATAACTGTTTCCGGTGAAATATAACTATATCCGGCGTGATTAAGCAGTTTTTCAGGATGTATGAATAAAAATATTATATCTGTGATATAATGAGAAAATTATTCAAAAATGTTGTATTTTCTGTTAGATTAAAATTAGAAAGTAAACACTGTAACTATAATTATAATGTATGCATTTTAATGAAATGGTTTCAGTGGTGTACAGATAACATATGCTCACCAGAACCCCCAAATATCCATGTTCCCAGTATGTTGACATTTTTTGCAGTAAGAAGACATCCCTGAAGGATGAAGTTCCAAGGAGTGAACTGATTTGTATGTTAGCAGTACCAGCAGCGTACACGATCCATGATCTGGTTAAATTCACTGCCCCTGTTGTGTAAGTAAGACACACAAGACTGTCAGTGACAGATTGTTCAGTTTCAGTTTGAAAAGCATGACTTTGAATTTGAACCAAACATGTTTTCTGTTGTTTTATGAGTAAAGAAATCCTATATTGTAGTGAGGGTATTGAGTACATGAGAATTATCAGAGATTCCACCCCTAACCAGTATATGGTTCTTATAAAGTTCCACAAACAGAGACTGGCTGATGAATTCTTTAATACGTACAACAATGTGTCCTTCAACTCCATAGAACCAGACATTTGTCAGCTTATCTATGTAGCCAAGGTGGAAGTCATGAAGGACTCAGAGGTAGGTAGCAAGTACTCATCATGTGTCAGTAATTTACCATGTATTATCAGTAATAATGAGAGAGAAGGCTGGATCTATCTGATTTAAAAACAGTCCATCAATTTACCTGGTGTCTTTGATTTTCTTATAGATGGTGTCCTGGAGTATGTTGCATAAAAATGTTTTTAGATTAAATTTAGTTTCCAGTGTGTTTTGAAATAGACTGATTTTGGGATTTTTATTTTCAGGGAGCTTGTTTACCGGTGGCTGGTCTGACAGAGCTTCCTAATTGCCCTGTGTGTCTGGACAGAATGGTACAAGAAGTTACCCCAATTATTCTTTAAGTAGAGTAACAATTCAAATCATATATCTTGCTCCCCAAGGAGCAAATAATTTTTTTGTTAAAAAAAGTAAATTAAAAAGTGCTTCTCAATTGTCAGCTAGTTGTTCTTTTGCAGGATGAATCTGTGGATGGCACCCCAGTGTTAACGATTTTGTGCAATCACACATTTCATGTCAACTGTCTGGCAAAGTGGGGAGACACCAGGTGAGATTTAACTAATTAATGATGTCCTCATATTACCAGTGTATACATGTAAAGTCCTCATAATACCTAGTGTGCATGGGAATCAGGAATACGAGTGAGACTGTATTTATGTGAATTGTAGTTGTCCAGTTTGTCGGTACTGCCAGACCCCCGAGGAAACAGCTGACCAACGCTGTATGACCTGTGGCTCCCAGGAGGTCAGTAATCACTCTAAATACTGAAAATTAGAATTTTATACTAGTATTTAGTATTTATATGAATTTTGAATTAACTGTAGAGCAAAGCATGTTTTTTCCTTATAAATTCTGCATTTTAAAATTTGTTTGAAGATATACATTTATATGATTACTTGCAGAGTTTATGGATTTGTTTAGTTTGTGGGAACATTGGATGTGGAAGATATGTTGACCTACATGCATACAAGTAAGAGGCAAGCTGTATTCAGTTTTTGTGATTTTGTTGAAAAACAGTTGAGAATGATAAAAGTTATTAGAATTTGTTATCTTCTATTTAAGACATTTTCAAGAAACACAGCACACATATGCCATGCAGTTAGGTAACAGTAGAGTGTGGGATTACGTTGGGGATAATTTTGTTCATCGTTTGGTTCAGAGTAAAGGTGATGGTAAACTGGTAGCTGTGGAGGACCAGCAAAGCTCAGAAATGGATGGGAAGGCTGACTCTCTATCGTTGGAGGTAAGAAGAGTCCAACATTTTAACTTTACTTTTTTATATTCTAATCCTGATATTCTGATTCTCATGGACTCGAGATTCGAGTTGCTCCACATTTTGAAGAAAGTTAACTCGTTTAAAACCAGTTATTGAGCCAGATTTTTGAGCAACCAGTCTAGGTGTCAGTCTAGTTGCCCTGACTGATAGAATTTGACTAAACTTCAAATTTACATGCAAATTAAGATAAGTTCTAAATGTAGTGCTGTTTTTTTTCTGAGAATGAATACATGTATGAGTATATCTTTGCCAAATGATATGATTCAAAAGTAAATCATTCAATATGCCTTAACATTTTTATGTAAAATATATTTTGCTATTATGGTAAATAATTCTCAGTTGATTTTTCTGACAAGTACTGGTTGAAACATCTTGTATATACTTATTTTTTAGTACACATATCTCTTGACAAGTCAACTTGAACAACAACGGAAATATTTTGAGCAGAAAATGGCACAAGTGGAGAAGAGTGCCCAAGAAAGAGTAAGATTTTTTATAACTCATAGGTCAAGGTCAAAATTATTACTTGAAATATGGTAGACCATAAAATCTCTGTAGTACTTTTTTTTTAAATTAAATAATATTTTCAGGCTGACATCTTGGATGTAAAATATAAAGCTGCTACAGAGGATTTAGAGAGAGTAAAAGTTGAACAACAAGCTTTAAATAAGGAAAAACAGGCTGTGGAAAAAAAGTGTTCACATGTAAGTAAGCCATTGTTGCAAAGTTGATATCAATGAAGAATTGCTATTATGAAATTAATTTTAAAAAGGAATGTACAAAGATGATAAACATGCTCTGTAAATAGATGTACAAATGTTATATTTATGTTAAGTGGATCTAAAAATAACAACAGTAGGTTGGGAGAAACAGAGATAATGTGAACAAGCTTTGTATTTGATTTTTCCCATCAGCTGCACAGTCGACTGACATCGGCTCTGAAGGATCTACAGGAGGAAAAACAAATGAACAAGTGTCTGTTAGAGAACCAGCAGGTCTGGCAGAAAAAGGTCACGGTGTTAGAGAGTCAGGTCCAGGACCTCTCACAAAACAAGGAACAGGTAAGTCTCTATAGTCTCTATAGCAGAAAAAGGTCACAGTGTTAGAGAGTCAGGTCCAGGACCTCTCACAAAACAAGGAACAGGTAAGTCTCTATAGTCACTATAGCAGAAAAAGGTCACAGTAATAGAGAGTCACACAAAACAAGGAACAAGTAAGTCTCTATACCAGAAAAAGGTCACAGTGTTAGAGAATCAGGTCCAGGACCTGTCACAAAACAAGGAACAGGTAAGTCTCTATAGTCTCTATAGCAGAAAAAGGTCACAATGTTAGAGAGTCATGTTCAGGACCTCTCACAAAACAAGGAACAGGTAAGTCTCTATAGTCACTATAGCAGAAAAAGGTCACAGTAATAGAGAGTCACACAAAACAAGGAACAAGTAAGTCTCTATAGTCTCTATAGCAGAAAAAGGTCACAGTGTTAGAGAATCAGGTCCAGGACCTGTCACAAAACAAGGAACAGGTAACTCTCTATAGTCTCTAAAGCAGAAAAAGGTCACAATATTAAGTCAGATCCAGGACCTCTCACAAAACAAGAAACAGGTTAGTCTCTATAGTCTCTATAGCAGAAAAAGGTCACAGTAATAGAGAGTCACACAAAACAAGGAACAAGTAAGTCTTGTCTTTTTCTGTCATTTTATTCTTTATCCTTAAGACAAATGCATAAAATATAATGTCAAAATCTGTATTGTAAAGCGCTTTGAGAAGCATTTATGCTAGAAAGGCGCTTTATAAAAACAATCATTATTATTATTATTATATTTAAACGAGGAAGGATTTAAAAGGCATTCAGTAGTCTTCATGATGATTACTTTACATTATATACATGTACTCTATTAGGCCAGAATGCATCTTGATGGGTTAATTTCACATTATGTTTAATAAACATTTAGATTTATTAAAGAAAACAAATCAATTTCTGTGGTTTTTCAGGAAATTCAGGAGTTGAGGGAGCAGTTACGAGATGTGATGTTTTACATGGGAGCTCAGCAGAAGCTGTCTGAGACCTCAGAAGTGTCCCAGACAGAACTAGAGCAGAGTCAGGTCATAGTCGGGGCATCTGGAAACAGCCCCTCCCCGCGCTCCAAAAAAGGCAGGAAAAAGGAGAGGTGAACAGGTGCCCCCCACAGAAGAGCAAGTCCTTCATTTTCTGCAATATTTCTCTGTGATGTGATGCCCTCACAAAAAAAAAAATCCAAACTCAAGAAGCAGAATATTCCAACCGTTTTCTGTAGTTTGTGTCTTATACAAGAGTGCTCATGGAGCAGATTTTATTTCAAGTGTTCAAGCCTGATGTTATTTTAATTGCTGAACAAAGATTCATTAATCTGAACACTTCTTGTCCACTATATTGTATAGACAGCTTTGTTGTTGTTTTTTATTTCTGTATGTCAGTATGTTGATTGTATGTCTGTGACGTATTTCATTACAAACTGTTTGCCTGGAGCAAAGAGAAACTGCCAAATAGAGTCTGTGATTTATATGATTAAAACAATTCATCTACATCTTTGTCATCATCTTTAGTGTTTTCTGACAAACACAACTAAATGATTTTGATTTAGAAAAAAGTGGGTCTATTTCCTCTTTCCTATTCAAGGCCATTTCCAACCTCTACATCATAAGCAGCAACATATATTCAAATTGGGATATTTCAGATAAAGATTTCAAAGTTAGGGCAAGTCTCAAAGGGAGTTCTTTAACTTTAGCTGGCTACTCATCAAAAAAAATATACCGGTATAAGAAGCAGTGCAAATTTTAAGAGCCAGGCAAATTCTTTTAGTTGCCAACTCTATAAATTGTAATGTAATTCTAATGATTGTACTTCAGCTGATATCATGACAACATACCTGTTCAAGTATCACATGGGGAAAAAGTTTCCTTACAAGAATTTTAATAAAGACTTAAGTAGTCAAAAAAAATCCCTGTTATTAAATTTTAAATCTATTATATCAGCACTGGGATATACCCATCACATTCGTTACACCTGACTGCTTTATTGACACGGATATGGGCATAGAATGGAAACGTGTTCCTGCTGGTTATCTTGCATTGATTGCATTCTATTGCAGTTATTGTGTTCGTATACTGCACTGACCTGTGAATCTTGTAAGGTTTTTATGATGAGCCGAAGGCTTGAGCTTTTCTGAACATTTTGCGAAATTAAAACCACTCCAATTTTGACCAAACTTAGTACAAAGATTTTAAATTGTTAAAATAAAGGGCCAAGTCCCCTCACAAGGGGAGATAATCAAGAAAAGACGAAAATAGGGTGGGGGCATTAAAAAAGCTTCTTCTCAAGAACCACTGGGCCAGAAAAGCTGAAACTTATGTGGAAGTATCCTGGTATAGTGTAGATTTTAAATTGTTCAAATCATGACCCCCGGGGGAAGGGCAAGTCACAATGGGAATTCAAAATTTTACATAGAAATATATAGGAAAAATCTTTGAAAATCTTCTTCTCAAGAACCACTGGGGCAGAAAAGCTGAAACTTATGTGGAAAATCATGACCCCCGGGGAAACAATGGGGAATCAAAATTTTACATAGAAATATATAGGAAAAATCTTTGAAAATCTTCTTCTCAGAAGCAGAAAAGCTGAAACTGGAAGCATCCTGGTATAGTGTATTTTGTTCAAATCATGAGCCAGGGGAAATTCTGGGGAATCAAAATTTTACATAGAAATATATAGGAAAAATCTTCGAAAATCTTCTTCTCAAGAACCACTGGGCCAGAAAAGCTGAAACTTATGTGGAAGCATTCTGGGGTAGTGTAGATTTTAAATTGTAAAATTCATGACCCACAATTGGGAATCAAAGTTTTACTTAAGAAATATATAGAACAAATCTTTAAAAATCTTCTTCTCAAGAACCACTGGGCCAGGAAAGCTGAAACTAATGTGGAAGCATCCTTAGGTAGTGTATTTTAAATTTAAAAATCATAAATCCAAGTTTTACATAAAAATATATATCTTAAAAAATCTTCTTCTCAAGCACTGGGATATGCTGAAACTTATATGGAAGCATCCCTGGGTAGTGTAGATATTAAATTGTTAAAATCATGACCCCTGACTGCCAAGTTTTACATAGAAATATATACAACGAATCTTTAAAAATCTTCTTCTCAAGAACCACTGGGCCAGGAAAGCTGAAACTTATATGGAAGCATCTGTGGGTAGTGTAGATATTAAATTATTAAAATCATGACCCCTGGGGGTAGGGCAGGGTCACAATAGGGAATCCAAGTTTTACATAGAAATATATAGAACAAATCTTTAAATCTTCTTCTCAAGAACATTGAGGAAAGCTGAAACTTATGTGGAAGCATCCTGGGGTAGTGTATTGCAAAGTTTTAAAATCATAAAAGTGAAGGGGTAGTGGGCATGATAGGTATAGCACTGACCTGTGAATCTTGTAAGGTTTTTTTGTATATTTCTCCCCTGCTGTGGAAGAACATAATTTTTTTTGTTGCTACCGACTGCTATATAGAATACATCCATCTAAACAGGTGAGGGTTCATTAAACCGAACAGCGACCCTAAGTGAACAGCTTCTATAGATTATCTCAGATATGATGTCTTGAGTGAAAGAATATGGCGTACAAATTTCTTTTACAAATGATGTTCAGCTTCAATACATAAATTACATGCACTTACATATGTTGCAATATGCAAGTTTTACAGAAGTAGGAAAGTCTGCAAAACTAGAATGAGAGAATGGGTTGTCCAAACCTTGCAACAATAATTTTTTTTTCCTAAAGTAATAGAAGTGTCATAAACAATTACAATCAGTAAGAAAGACCATAAAATCCCACTCAATTTTACCACTTCAATGTGCATCATTGTAGAGATTTATGGATAAAATAATTTTCAAACAGTCAACAGTGAACTTGTCCAAATGACTTTGGGTCAATGTTCTGAACACTTCAAGTTGATAATTTTTGTGTTAGGTATAAATTTATATTCCAATATTTCTGGATAAAAGGTATAGCCTAGACAGGAACTACAATTTTTTCTGCAAACGTTATATAACCTGCCCGATGGATTAAGGATTAAATCAGAAAACTAACACAAGATTTCATTCTTTATTACAGAAAAGCAATGAGATAAAATGAACATGAACCACAAGCTCTTGGCTTACTTTCAAACTGAACATGACTAAATTGACAAATCTGTTGCCATAACAAAAAATAGCTGAATATTTATAATTATTTCTTTTTCATAAATATAAAATTACAAAACTTTACAATTGCAATGGAGAAATTAAACTAAATAACAGCAACTATGAAATCACTTGAAAGAAGTGAACTGAATGTACCTGGTGACATTTCTAGTACATGTAACTTTCATGTTCAGGACACATGGAGGATTGTTCTATTTATAATTATGTACACATATTTCTGTCAAATTCAATGTGGAAAAAAGCATTATAACTACAAAAGTGATTTCAAAACATGCATTTCAAACACAAAATTCAGGCATATACTCTTGTGACTGAAGATTTAAGGATCTTTTTATGTAAATTTCATATATATACAAAAATAAGAAAACTCTAGCCAAAGATCAAGGGTAGTGTAATTTTATCTCATGACAATCCTGATAAACAACATTTTGCAAGGTTTTAAATGTCTTCAACATCAAAACATTTATTTGACACGAAAACTTGATGATCTCATTCTCCCCTCACTGTCAGTCTCACTTAAGCCTCATACATACATGGAGCTCTAATGCATCAAAATACTTCACCTATCCCCCAGCTTTAGTCTGGGAGCCATAACAAATTGGTCCACATATTGACATCCTGAATAACGAGTCATAAATTATGTTTAGTATAAAGTTTAAGAACTGAATGGTTTATAAGGTTGGTATGCAGAGACATATATTGAAAAAGAGAAATTGGTAATCGGAAAAATATAATTAAAAGCTAAAATATTTTCATGTCTGCACTGTGAATTTGTTGAAAACCAATTTGGATCTTGCACAGGCCTGTATCATTTTGTTATACTCTAGAAATGCTTTAAGATATGAAAACTGCTTATAATTTGTTTTCTTGACTGGTAATCTATACTATTTCAGGAATTGCTCACAAGTAAATAAATTATAATTTAATACAAAAGACTGTTTTAATAATACAGTCAACTGTACACAGTAAAGAATCTGAATTTGTCCTTGAGTTACTTTCTAAAGTATATGAAAAATGAAATTTATTTCTCCCTCTACTAACTTCACCGCATCACTCATGAAAAAAATAACATATACATGTAGGTACATGCAATATCAACAGATTATGAAATTAGCACTATTAGAAAAATGTAAATTAACCTTGAATCCAACATAACTGTACAACAACAAAATAATCTTTGCTTACTTACAAGACCTATCTACTTCTAATGTTTTCCTAATGCTTCATTAGCTTCATGGATTTATTTTAACTTAATAAAATCAAATATTTTTATAATATCTCTCTTTTATCCAATCTTAATTTATAGCAAAACACATCCAACTGAAAAAATAAAAAAAAATTCTACAGCAATAGTTTCCTGAAAAGTTTACAATCATAGATCAAATGCTGTCAATATTTTTTCCCCTTTCTATTAAGGGAGTGAACTGTGTAAACAAAGTGGGGTGTAGTTAAGCTGCAAAGTATAAAAGTATCATATAAATGACTGAGTATCTTAAACACAATAAACTGAACATTTTAGACAATTTGCCCATCATGTTTATGATTGGTTATTATTAAACACGTAGTTGTATTGACACTAGCCACATTTATATATAGCAAGATTACACAGTAAATTGCACCATATTACGAAAACAATATGTCTCTTCAAATACATGTAATATTTCAAATCACTAAAAAAGACCTTGATATACATCTGAAGCAATACTGTCTTTATATAAATGAATATGAAATGCTTGGAAATGACAAATGATATGCCACAAATATGAAGTACATTAAAGAGGTTTCTATAAACAAAACCACAATATGCATACACATGTATATTACAAACATACACTTATGAATTTTTATCAATAAAAATGCTTCGACATTTTTTTCTCTATGCACATATATAGAACACTAAATACCCCCAAAAAAGCAAAAAATATTTACAACTATACAGAAGGGCAATAATTAATATAGGGTGGAAAGTGAAAAATTAATCAAGGACAGGAAAAAATATCTACATACTGACCATTTCTAACGCATATCTGTTTCATCCAAAATCATTTGAATAAAAGAAATTACCAAATTGACCTAGTTCTATAAGGCTGATATGTAAACATCCAGCACATAGGACTCTAACACTGCACACAAAGTCAACAAATCTATATGTACATTGTAAAGCAACAAGATTAGAACAACCAAAATATTGAAGGGAACAAAGATTTATAATAATAACTATAATACAATATTTACAGTGGATGACTTACAATGTATAACATTGATTTACAATATCAATAAGAAAAGGAACATTTCAAACAAGAAGAAAAAAACTTATTTACAAGATCATTTATTTATATATATGTACAAAAGTAGACAATCACAATATACATTTTCATTCCGTTGTTAGCTACACATACACAGTTTTTTTTTTTAAAGTTCAAATAAGGAACCGTATCTCTGTTTAAAAAGTACACATTGGCAAAAAAAATTATATCAAAAATAACAAAGACCAAATGAGCAAAATGTTGAAAATATACACTATACATGCACTTGATTCAAGCATTCTCTATTTCATTCATCATTTCAATCAGCAGACAGCATTCATTCCCTGTATAAGTACGTATCTGGACTAGCTTGTAAGAACAAATCACTGTTCAGGTTAGACACAGTGTTAGTAGACACAGCCTGTGTGTATCGCTCTGACCCAGTGTTAGTTAGACACAGCCTGTGTGTATCGCTCTATTTCGTCTACCGTCATTACTCTCTGTCCCTGGGTAGGCAGGGGAGGCATGTGGGGAAGAGGGGTTTTAAGGACATCTGTACCAAACCATTTCAGGAGATTTGGTTCATTGCCTTTATTGTTGTTTGGGGAAATTGGGCCATTTAGTACTGTGAACAGAAACAAACATAACATTAAATACATTATACTTATAGTGTATATAATGTCAGAAGTCAAAGCTAATGTATGCACCAATCGTGGAACTTGTCATTTGTATGCAAAGCTGTGGATGCAGAATAACAAACTATAATCTATAAGTTTTCAGATTTGCTATGCTAAATAGCTAATTAGGAAGTACAAAAACATTTAAAATTCGGATATTTGTTTCTTCTGCACATAAAATAAATCAAACCATAAAACAAGATAAAGAACACTATATACATAGTTACATTTACAAACCTATGTCATTTAATACATCTCACCTTGCTTTCCTGGAGTCAAGGACCTGTTCACCATGGGAGTGTTAGTCAGTGCCCGGGGAGCTGAACCAGAGGCAGGGGGAGTGTACACCCCTCTTATACCCTGTAATCTTGGATCCACTATCCGCTGGTGCTGAGCTTGCATGGCCATTTGGTTCAGATGTATCTGGTTCAATGTGTTAACTACAATATTAAGATTACATTGAATGAAATAATTTACCTTACTGTAAGACTGATTTACATGTGTTCATATACACACAAGAGGTAACAAAGCTGTCTTTTAATTTCTATTTAACTTACCTCTAACTGTTGTTTGAGAGATGTTGCCTTGCATCATTTGCTGCATCAGTAAAGGATTATGACCCACACTAACAGGAGGCTGGAGGGGGAGTCTTCCAGTGATGGGGATACCCATGGGGAGACCTTGTGGGGTCCCTACTGAGGGACGGGTCAAGGGGTTTGGTGAAATGACATGTCTCTGCTGTAAACGTACGTGCAAGATATTCATTTCAATGCATGAAGACAACACATTGAAAGAAAGGAATAGAAATTTCAAAGACAAGTGATTTCAAAAACACAAAACTGAAATATTTCTCAACTGTTGAATCAAGAATTTAAAAATAAAACTTGCAAAGCTTTAACATCTGCATAAAAATGTAAAAAATATAAAAAAAAATATAAAAAATAAGGCATTATCTCTTGTACTTTTACTTAAAGACCAAAACAGAATTATTGTAGATTGTAATATGACAGTGGTGTGATACCTGTAGGACTTTACTCAGTTCTGCCCCGGAGGAGGAGATGGGTGTAGCGCCTGAGCCTATGATTGGTCGCTGAGGGGGAGTCTGAAGGTCAGGCTTCACCATGTTAGGATTGGAGATCTGGGGACTCAAAATCTTGTTCAGCTGAGTTGGGTTTTGTTGGGGAAGTGAAGAATTCACAGTCATTCCTAAATAAAGACAGATTATCATAAAATATCATATCAAAGAATTAAATTTCCATATTAATATGCAAGTTCTAATCTGCTTTGAAATACATGTTATAGTATCTCTTATTTTGCATAACAGATCTTAATTACAAGTATTTGTACATTGAATAATTCTTTATTTTAAAAAGTTTTGAAACTATATGTGCTAAAAAATTTTCTTAGTTTGTCATACCTTTAACTATTGGCCTTCCTGCAGCCTGCATGGTCACAGCTGAAGATAATGGAGTGCCCATCACTGGTCTGGCCTGCTTCAGTCTGTCGGCAGCGATCATTGCTTGGATAGCGGCCACCTGATCCACAGCAGTCATATGCTGCTGTACCTACAAACAGACAAATAGGGTTATAAAAGGTTCCTTTCTGGTGAATTTAACTTTGCAACATTTTCCGAACAAAATGCTTAAAGCAATCAATAAAGTAATTTGGTTGATTCCTTGTACTCATAATGCAACATCATCTTTACCTGATCAACAGAGTTGTTTCGGGAGAACTGTGGTGAGTTTTGATTGGCCAGTGAAGGAGGGCCATTCTGATTGGCCAGTGAAGGAGGAGGAATGCTAAGGTTTGGCATTTGATTGTGAGCATTGATGGAAGCTTGGCTTGTGCCTGGGGATACAACATTCTGCCCCAGAGACATGGGTGGCTGACTAGAAGATTGAGAAACCTGACTCTGTTGTTGTACTGTTCGGAAATTAAACACATTCTGATCCTGTTTCTTGCCCTCATTACTTTGGTCGTCTGGCATTACCAACTGTTTAACAGGTGGGGTTCTTTTGTCACCTACATGTACAAAAATAAAATTGTCAAAGGAATTCTTTTTAATTTGATATTTACAAAAGCTTTTATCTTTGCCTTAAGACAGAACTCAACAGAAATATCAAAGCCTTGGGTACAATTTTTATCATGTATATTACCGTCACTTCCATCCATTTTCTGACCATCTACTCTCTGTTTCTCTTTCTCACTAGCTTTGTCAGAGTGCATTTTTCTCATTACTGAAGTTGGGGTAAAAGACGCTGTGACAGATGGTTGCTATGAAAATAAATTTGAAATTAAAGCTTCTTTTATACGTGTAAATGTACTACATAAAGTTGTAAGAGAGAGGATACATCTTTACATTCAAAGGTAATAATTTGCACCTTAGAAGCAGACATGGACTGTGGTGTGGGTGTGCTCAGGGGGGCTGAGGATTGCGGGAAAGATGAAGCTGGAGAAGTTCCACTTGGGGCTAAACAAGGGGATGCAGGACTAAGCTGCTGGCCTACTGGGGCCCCTTTTCCTTGTGGAGCAGGAGGATTTGGGGACTTTCCTCTGCAAAAACAAATCATGACATTTAATTTGTTTAGACATGCCATCCTGTTTTAAACACCTCCAATTCAGATTTTAACTTCCCTATCATTTTCTGATATTTTACGAACTGTTCTCATGTTCTTACCTTTCTTGCTGTTTCTTGATGAATCTCTCTTTCTGGTCCTCCAGTTGCTTTTTTAGGAGGGCAGTCTGCATTATGGCCTGTGTGTGGGCAATCAGCTCCTGGGGGCTTGGCACACGAGGCACAACAGGGGGTCGAATTGTGGCTGTACCAGTGGACTGAATAAGAAAATTGTTTCATTTTTCATTTCTTGAGAGAAAATTGTTCTTTGTTCTCAAAAGTAACTAGAAAACTGACCAGTCAGCAAGGGCCCCGCCATGGGGTTGAATTATTAAGGATGCAGCTTACGGAATGATTAAAAACTATACGATGAATAAGCAACAGCAACTGTATTCTTAAAATTTCAAGATAATTCCTGAATATCCAAAAACCTGTAAATATCCTTAATTGTATTTACATTAGGCAGTTAAGAACAACTTAACATGAATGTATGTTATATAAAATGCCAGCCTTCATTGAATGCAAATATCATGAAGGCTTGACCTTAACTTCAAAACAAACAGCAGACAAAGGTTTTCATTAATCTTAAAGTGACAGATGAAGACAAGCCTACTAAATTTTCAGCAGCAGGCTAGATAATTAATCCCAAGGGATTAATTGTACCTCTCTCATCATTTTCTTCTAAAGTTACAATAAGAACTTTTTCAGTAATTATAGAATGAGGTTATTATCCAACTATCTGTTAATATTAATAATATTCTTGAATTTACATAAAGTAAAAAAAGTAAAAATAAAAAATATATCTTCTTTAATCTATTTCTTGTTTTTAGAATTCAATGAAATCATAACTATTGTGTAGGGTATTTTAACAAAAATAAAGTATAAACATTTATATTTAAATCCACATTTCAGAGTGTTCATAGCATTCCAAATTGACTTAACTTCAAAACAAACTTCATTTGCAGACAGAGGTGGTAATTAATCTCAATGTGACAGATAAAGATAATGCTTTGGATTTTCTGCTAATTAATCCCAAGGGACTCCTAGCAGCATTCAGTTTACAATGGGAACAGTTTCAGAAGTTATCTCTCTTTGCCAATGCATTCTTATATAAAGTTAAGGAATCTACCCCACCACCCCAGCTTTAAACCAGGGGACAAAGAGAAACAAATTAAGCATCAAAAGATGTCTGTCTGCCTATTGAACTACCATACCAAATTTGATCTTAATTGGGCAATCATAAAAAAAGTTATTGGAAAAAAACCAGAAAATTTGTGGACAGAAGAATGACAGACGGACAGATGGACAGACAGACAGAGTGATTACTATAGGGCACCCGCAAATCCTTGCGGGGCCCTAATTACTGCGGGCAGAATATAAATTTCTTCAAATCAAAAAGTAGTGGTCAACTATTAAATTTTAAATAAATAAGTTATTTATGGGGGTAATAATTTGTGTCTGCCATTAATTATCTTACCACTTTTTGGTGAAATATAAATTTGCAGCTCAAACCACAAGGGTCATGGCAGCTGATTAAATGTTGAATTAAACCCCTTATACAGTATTTTGCATTTATATGTGTATATACTTGTATGTTAAATACATAATTTTACAGTGGCACATATCTTACAGATAAATTGGTAGCTGCCTGCATGGAAACAGGTGAGGTTTTTCCTGCTATTTGTGACGGGTGGATAGGTGAAGGGGCACTCAGATGCATGGGTGGCTGCTGACTGAACACTGAAATAATAAATATCATGGTATTCTGTAAATCTATTTAGCTTGTTTCTTGCTGGAAAGATTTAATTTTCTCTTATGAATCAATTTACAGCAAAAACTGTGGATTTAAATAAAAGCCATCCTTACTGATAGGAGAGGGAACTCTTGGAGACCCTGGCTGGGCCAACAAAGTCTGCTGAATAAGTTGAGGAGAGGCTGCTCTGGGAGATGGGGTATTCTGCATCAAACCAATAACAGCTGCCTGGCCCGGGTGTGGGGCCAGGGGAGAGTGGACCGCTGGCACATTGTGAAGGGGCTGTGGAGGTTGCTGTGGGGGTGGGGTAGGTGTGGAGGGTTTGGTAATGATCGTAGGATTTTGTTTGATAAAGTTGGCCAGTGCCTCAGAGCTGTTGGGATGCTTAGGCTGGGTGGCTCCTGCAGAAGGTGGGGTCTGCTGAAAGTTCTGAGGGGGTTGTGCTATTGGAGTGGACTGGTTGTTTATGTGAACACTTCCACGCATGTGATTTAGAGTCTGCTGGCGAATTTGAAGCTGTTGCTCCTTATTTCGCAACAAAGCCTAAAGATAATTGTCATTAAAGCTTTTTTATCATAAATCTTCAATTTTAACAGTCATTAAAAAATATCAAAACCCATATAAAGTGGAACATGAATATTTTTTGACAGAAAAACCATACATGCAACTTTAATTTGTTAAATATATGCAGTGTCTTTATATATCTTGTTTTAACTTACCTGAAGGAACTCATTCTGTGCAACACTGCCAGGGGTGAGAGGTTGTTGTCCTGTGGGTGGCATATTGTTGGGGGGAGCAGGGGGCTGGCCAGAGAAGATAGGAGACATGGTTCTCTGATCAAGATTTCGTCCAACCTGAGAAAATTCAAATGGTGATCCAAAGATTCACAAGTCATTTTATATATAAAATATACAGAAGGTAATCAAAGGAATAGGGTATCACCACTGATGATGACACAAAAACACCTGTTGCGTAGTAGAAAATGATGGGATTTATTGACATCATTCACCATTTACAGCGGAAAGCATTGCAAAGATTTTAAAGCCTAACAAATCTGATACCGATAAACACTTTATTTTTAACGTAATAGATCTAAACAAGGTCAGAAAACATGCTAACATATATTCACTCCTTAACTCTGAAAATGGTACAACTGTTGATGAAGACTTACAATCTGTGGCAGTTTGGTGGGAGACTCCACCGCTGCAGCAGCCCCAGCCTGCATCAGACTTAGGAGTTTGTTAAACGCAGCCAGATCATCCTGCTGATCCTTAGGAGACTGTGCTGGGGGAGGAGGCTGAGTAACCTTACGCTGAACTGATTGGCTTGTCACAGGGTGCTGTATAGGGGCACCTGGTGGGGTGTAAGTACGATTAGGGGGCTTCATGTCAGCTTCCAATTCCGCCACTGTCTTAAATCGACCAGGAAGATCTACAAACATCATGTCGGTTTTATTTCCTACTAATTACTAAAAACAGAATTCTAATTACAGCTAAATAAATAGGCTGACAGAAATTATTTTTTTCAAAATTTAATCTGAAAACAATTCTTGCAAAGCACCTCCTTTGGAGGTCTTATTTTCTCTTTTTTTCAGTATAGTTCATTAACATGCAAGATTTATAAATCCCATTTCTTTCAGATACTTTAATATGCACTTACTGAGTGGAGAGGCCACAGAAGGACTGCCTGTACCACTACTAGATGGAGTAGAACCCTTTCTTCCAAACAACAAAGCTTTTAGCTGTGCCTCTGCATCCTGAGCTGTCATACTGCTTGTACCTGTAGTACATGAGTTTTAAGTTATGTACAATAAGAAAGGCAGTTAATATTCCCTTAACATCATTTAGATTTAATAGCAATTTATTTTTAACAGCATCACTAATTTAGAAAAGAGCTGTAAAAGTGTCCAAAGTATACAACTCTACAAAAAAAAAAACTTACTACTCCTGTGAGATCTATCATGTGAAGAGTTCTGGAACAATGCATTCAGCATGGGACCTATTGTATTTTTCTGCACCGAAGAAAAGTCGTAACTCAGATGTTGTGGTTTGTCTTGGAATGTGCTGTTTGCCGATGTGGAGAAAACCGACTGGTGAGTGAAGGAATTGGCAGAGGGGGGTGGGGGTGAAGGGATTACTGGACTCTTAGAACCACTCAACAAATCTGAAGTATTGGAAAGATACAAATATACTGGTCAAATATAAGTTTATATTTGTAGCTGATTTTTCTCATATTCTTTGTTCACTGATTACTTGAATGTAACAGTAAATGTACATAATGCCAAGTTCTTTCAACTTCACATTTATCACATACAGGTACCATGTATTTCTTATAAAATCTTACCACTGAGGTATCCAAAATCTTCATCGATTGTTATACATACATGTACCATGTATTTCTTACTATATCTTACCATTGAGGTATCCAAAATCTTCATTGATTGAGGACCTCCTGCTGTTGTCCCTGCTGCTGTTGGAGAACCACTTACTGAATCGACTCTGGATTCCTGTTACATCAGCTGTAGGACTGACTCCATCCTTCAAACAAACCAGTGCACTTGTATTTAAATGCTTCAGATAAAACCTAATGACAGGGAATTAACAAGAATGTCAGAAATCAGACTCACAAACTGAACTTTTCTATGATCAATACTTACATTAAGTCCAGGCAAGTTTTCAATCCTAAAGAACTCATTGAAGTCAAACAGATTATTATTTTGTGGTGACTGTACATTAATACTATCTGAATTGTTGGATTCTTCAGGAGAACTTGGTTCATTGGTTTCTAGACTTCCATTTCTGTCTGTCACATTTGCCACTGAAAGAAAAGGAGAAGACATTAGAATCACACACTTAATAAATCCTAAGCATAAAATGATTATTTTCATTTCATCAAATATCAGCTATGTTACAGTACTAACATAAAATGAGTCTATCCAGTTTTTCTATATATGACCTCAGTAACCTCAATATAAAAAGCTACACCCTTGTTACCTGACTCTCCCTTACGATTACAGCAGTTCATACTCTATTTTACACTAGTCTGTCCAGTTAGTTGAAGCACCTCCTCAGTTATCTCAATATAAATACATGTAGCTACACTCCCTGATGATTACAGTAATTCATACTCTTTATACCAGTCTGTCCAGTTTGTTATAAAAAGTACCACCTCATTAATCTGAATATAATTAGCCACACCCTGTGTACCTAATACAATCCCAGGAACCTCAATTTAATTAGCCACCCCCTCGATACCTGACTCTCCCTGATGACTCTCTTCCATCTCCTCCTCCTTCTTCCGAGGCACTTCCTCAATCTTCTCTCCTCGGGTATTAGCCTCCTCTTTCTCCATCTGCCTCCAGTTGCCCTCGTCCTTCTCTGGAGTGTTGGAGCGCCGTTTGTCAAATCCATGGAGTTCGATGCGCTCGTGTTGACTGGTAGGCCCCTCTGTGAACCACTCTGGTTCCTCCTCCTCCCGACCTCGGAACGAGTCCCGCCTATTTCTGTTGTTATAATGTCCCCGTTCTCTGTAGTTCTGCTGTAAGACAATCACATGATGTGGGAGCTTAAATGTTTAATCCATAATGAATACAATCTCTCTTTTACATGTATATATGCTTTTAGAAAAAATCTACCTTCGAGAAATTCCAAAGAAGAACTTACCCTATCTTCAAACTCTCGTCTTCCAAATCCCCTATTTTCTCTACTTTCAAATCTGCGGTCTTCGCGATCAAACCTGTCACGGATGGCTCTAAAGTCTCGTTCTTGGTGTGCTGGTTCTCGTTCTCTGTCAATTTGGATACGTCCACTTCCTATTCTTCTAGCATTCCTGTCCCTACTAATAATGCAATTCAACTGTCAAACAATATCGGAAATTGAAGACAGAAAGTAATCTTACCATAATCAATGAAACTCTAAGTCTAAAATGAGAGTTCCGTGACTTTCGATCTATTTATAGAATTTATTGACCTTTCTCCATTTTCCTGCCCTGGGATGCTGATTTGCCGTCCTAACGGGACATGACTACTGACATGGCATCCCGTTCCAAAGCTTCGGCGCTGAGGGCTCAAAACAATTCCATCTCTATCATCCCTCAAACGCTCTTTAGGATCTGCAAGTATCAAATATCTTACTTTAGTCTAGTCATTCTACTGAAAAATGAGAACTAATTGCAACAGTTTATATTTTAATGCAGATTTGTAGATAAGCTATTAGTAACTCACATATAAAAAGTTTAGAAAAATTCACTCAGGGGAAAGTTGGTAAATCGAAAGATTAAAATTATGGATCATTATGAATTTAGAATTACCCATTTGCACACCGTACTTTTTCTCTATGTGACAGACATTCTGTATACAATAGCCAATTAGCATTAAAAGTTGTTGTTTTAACCTGTAGATTGTTATGCAATCAAAACTAAATCAAAAAATTTATATATTTTGATTTTCAAAGAAGTGAAGGTTTAACTTCCACACCGGCCAAATATCATCTATATAGATAAAGGTTGCAATTACCATTCATGTAAACAAAAAAGTATGGAACGCTGTTTGTATTCACAATATACATGTATGTGAAATTCCTAAATGTGAATGTGTTTACTTTTATTTTATTTGTAAACACCTGATGGACATTTATACCCCAGTAGTTTTGGAATTTATACACAAGAAACAAAAAATGTATGGAACACAGTTTGTATACAAAATAAGTCCAAACAGCCTTTTCTAAAGAATTCTGCAAGGAAGCTTATCAGACAAGTACATGTACAATGTATATCAGAGTTGTTACAATTGCATCATCACAGAATATAATTATTTTGATTTAATATCTAGAAAAGTTATAGAAATTTATCATTTTGAAATAAAGAGTAAAGAATTTATGGAATCACATGAACAAGATTTGATTTTATGAAAACGGTGGTATGAGAATGACATGTCTTGATTCATTTTGTAAAAGTTTAAAAATTACATGGATTCGCAGATTGTTTGATAGTTCATGTAAATCAGCCTGGAAAGAATTGCTAAAAGATTTAATTCCTGACATTAAATATTTAGTTATCTATGGTAGGGATTTTTCAAAAAAACTTAAGAAAGATACGGAAAATGTTTTCTGGAATGATGTTTTTTCAGCATTGTTGGATTTGAGATTATGTATTGATGATCAAACATCTATTTTAAGTCCCATATGGTATAATCCATCAATATGTATAAACAACAGAAGTGTTTGTTATAAGTCATGGCTGAGACAAGGTATACAATTTGTTTTTGATTTTTATGATATAAATGGGACTTTGTTAGGATACCAAGACTTTTGTAAACAATATGATTTAAAAACACCTTTTACAATGTTTTTAGGCATAACAAATTGTATTAGAAAATTACAATTGAATTATGATCATAATATAATTCAAAGAAATCAACCTTTCTTCCCAAAATTCTTACAAACAATAACAAAAAGCAAACAAGGTGCAAGAGATTTCTATGATGTTTTTATTAGTCAGAAATACAAAAAACCAAAAAGTGAAATGAAATGGGAAAACATTTTAGAACTTAATGTTGATGAATTTTGGTGGAAAAAACAAAACATTCTGTTTTTTAACATAACAAATGATATACAGTTAAGATGGTTCCACTATAGAATTGTACATAGAATTTTAGCTACAAATACATATTTACACAAAATTGGTGTTACTGACTCAGATTTATGTAGTTTTTGTAAGAAACACCCAGAGACACTTTGTCATCTTTTTTGGGAATGCGAGTGTGTTGCAGAAATTTGGGAAAATGTACTGGATTGGATGAAAGAACAGTTTGGAGTTGATATATCTCTAAACAAAGTTGATGTTTTGTTGGGAAAACATTATAAATATAACAATATATTTAATTTAGTAGTATGTATAATAAAAAAGCATATTTATAGAAATAGATGTAAAAAATGTGTACCATCTTTTGAGAGGGTCAAACAAGAGGTTATGTATTATTTTAATTGTGAAAAATATATTTATAAGAAAAATGGGGAAATGGACAGTTTTAAAAAACGATGGAATTTGATAATGTTTTAATATGATTAATATTTTTGAAAAAACAATGCAGTTACAGATGTACATCAACTTTTCACTGATTATATTAAGATTTCAGTTGTTAAATATTATTGTAAATATAATCATATGCATGTTATGTAGCGAAAGGTGTGTGAATGATATGTGAAAAAAATGTCCTGTCACATTATGATTGTGTAATATATATGTGTATTATGTATGTTACTTAGTGAACCCAGGGCCCCAACCCTGGCACTATTATATACTTGGACATGTGATGGGGCAATAAAAAAAAAAAAAATAAAAAAAAAAAAAAAAAGATTTGATTTTAAGGTCTCCAAGTTAAAAAAATCAAATATTTAATTCCATTCAGGTATCTCCGGAACTTAAATTTGAAGTGTGTGATTCAAACAATTTTTTTGCTCTCCAGATTTACTGCTTATTGCTTTTGTAAAGAGTAGCGAACCTTATATAAAAAGCCAATTGATATTGACCTTTTTTCTCTATAAAGATGCACCATGCATCTATTCTTGTACAAATGCTGCATATTATGTTTATAGTAATGGAAATAATTCAAATGGAATTGTTTAGACAGAATTAAATGCTTAAATGCTCTTTTTTTTAATTCTAAAAGTAACTTTTTAACAAAATATTTTAAACCCATTTTTAAATAAAATGTATTCATTTCTTTGCCCGAAACTGATATGTTTTCTTTCTTTGCCCGAAACTGATATGTTAACAATTGAATTTTCAATAATGACAAATTACAAAGTCATCAGGAGATCAGAAACTCTACAAAGCAAGAGATGAAGGATCAAACAACCTTTTAAGCAAATTTTGAATTACCGTAGATGGACGTGAATCTTTCTACAATAATTGTATATTGTTTAACGTCCCTCTCAAAAATTTTTCATTCATATGGAGTCGCCACCACTTGCCAGTGGAGAGCTGCACATTTTGTTCTATATACTCAGCACTTAGGGCCATTAAGCAGTGAGGGATCTTTTCGCGCCAGTGCCTACTGCGACACGGGACTTCGGTTTATACGGTCTTATCCGACCGGTCTCCATATCCCACAGTGGGATTCGAACCCGCGACGTAAGGATAGACTCCTTACTTCGCAACTCTAGAGCAGATGCTCTAACCACTACACCATGCAGGTGAATTCCTAGATTAAAGCCAAAGTTTTGTAATTTCTATTACTGTTAGGATAAAAATATTTGGGAAAACATAACAATAATACTTTTACATATGAATTTGAACAAGTAAAAATTGACTACCAGTATCTACCAAGAGTTTAACATTTAATTCTTCCTTGAAACAAATACTTGGCTTGCTCTCTTTAACTTCATTGCATTTGAATGTGTAAGTGCTTTAATTTGACCTTAGATTTTTTTTATCAATAAGAATAAAATAATCTACTGTGTGCTTTCAATTGCCCCCACCCTCTTCAAGTAACATTACATAGAAACGGTTTGAAATACATTAAGATTTAATAAGGGTGACAATATAATAATTATTAACTGTGCGCGCACATTTCACGATATTTTGTACTAAATGCAATTTAATTACTGTTAATTCGGCTACATCTTGATCAACAATGATCATTATCAAGGGATAACAATTTCAGATTTTATCCTAAAACGTGTCTTATCTTCATATTTGAGTATATGATTTACTCATATATCATATATGTAGTTGAGGGTATAATTACACTGAAAAAAATCTTGATATATTTTCTGGAATATCACCATCCATGAAGCAACAATGACTGAATGTTGCTATGTTCTTATCACACCGGAGGGCGTGGTTTCATTATATGGAGGGTAAAAAAAAATACATTGATCAACTTGATATGAGTAAGATAGCACTTTTATTAAACTCATGAAAAGAAATACCTTGTAGGGTACCCGGGTGTGGGGTGGGTTCAAGTTCTGATCAAGTAAGAACCCTCATACTAATTATAGTGTACTCTAAGCATTTTATGATACTGATGTTAACAGAGTATTTTTTTTTCATTTCTGAGCATTTTACACAAGTTACCAACCAATCATATCGCAGGGACTCAAAACTGGTGTCACATGTTGAAAGAAAATTTACTGAAGGGTGGACAACACAACTACAATGTAATCTATGGGGAACAGCTTTGCTGTGCGTAAAAAAAATTCAGATTTCAAATATTTTTTGACAAAAAAAAATTAACAACCTACCTAAACCAGAATAAAAACATATAAATCTATTTCGGGGAGGAATGGGTTTCTATGATATTTTCCCACAATTTTCTTCATATACGGGGAAAACCTTGCAGTTACAGGGGGGATTCAGTTTTTTTTTGGGGTGGGGGGGTGGGGGGGGGCATTTTCTCCTACTTTTTCAGAAAAAAATTCTTATTGGGGGATGTCCCCCGACCCCTCTAAATCTGCTCCTAATTATTTTCGGATATTACCTTTCATATGAATTAAAACATTTTTATTGTTTCTTAACTTTTGGTGATTGAGTATATTCGTGCTATACTTAGCATTGCTGAATACCGAAATTTTTCAAGTAAAATTCATTTATAATGTATCCATGGTTACCACCTATTTACATAAATCTTCTAAATAATTTCTTTGAAGCATTTATGGAGAATGCATTTTGAGTATGTGTGTAAACTAACGTAGTGACTGTATTCGTTTTTGTAAAGGTTCATTGTTCAAAAGAAGGTGATATTCTCAATTTATACTGTTTCCATGGCAACCAACACATATAGTAACCAATATTTAATTTTTTTCCAATTCAGTTTATTCAGTTAAGTTTATTTCGCTACTTAATTGTTTTTTTAAACCAACATAGAAGTTTCTACTTTACATTGTTCGTTTAACACTTAATCAGAGTGAACACAATACGTCCCAATAATGACCTCAATTTTTCAATTTTCCCATGTATAATTTTTTCTAAACTTTTTGTTATATATTCAGATCATATCATAGATTGATTAAAACTAAGTTTTGAAACTGTTGCAATTAGTTCACATTTTGATGGAAAATTTGATAATTTGACTAGACTACTTTGTGTACAAAGAACCATACAGAAGTATCTGAAAAGCTTTGTGCTAAACAAAAATCATATTCAATGGTGTTTATTACTGTTTACCTATCTTTCTTTCACATTTGATAAAAAATATTCCTTATGTTAAACATTTTACATAAAATGACACGCATTGACTTATTGTTCTTGACTTAGACTAATCTTTCTTATATGGCATTCAAAAGATTAATATACAATAAATTTTAGGAGATTAAAACAGATATTGAACTTAGATTATTTCTTTACCTGATGGTCTGCGACGATTCAGGCATTCTCTGTCTAACTCTAGTGGACGCTTCTTATCTCCAACTGTCATAGGTGAGTTTCCACGAGAAGTGTCGAAAGATCGAAACCACTTCTCTGGATCCCACAGTCCCTCCGCCCTAGAAATCAATCAGCAGACATAAGGCAGTGATCACATTACAATTTGGTTTAAAAAATTCAAAAATTCTAGCTTGCAATATGAGGTCATAATCATATCACTTAATTAATGCCTACATATAATCAAGAAAGTGTTTAAGAGTCAAATTAACAATAAAGTAATCTTTTGTGTCAAGCGTTTTGTCTTATATATATTGTGAAATTTCTGATATATGTTTAAGGTATGCTATACAATGAGTCAAGTTAAAATGTATCAGAAGGGGATTTCCTGGATTTTCCTTACGTGTCATGGTCCTTGGAAAGGCATGGAGGCCTTTCTTTAGCCAGCTTACTTGTAGATATATCCATCAACTTGTCCTACAAAAGTTTTCAAAGAAAGAAGACTTTAAATATAGTGTTATTTTATTTAGTCATAAATCCTGTAGTGCAAATAATTACATGAAACACATAGCATTATGATTTAGTTAGACTTTCTGATATGAAAAATATCCAGAGTTGTAGAAAACTGCCAGTTATGCTGGCAAAACCGATGAGAAACGGTGTGACCAGTAAAAACACAAACGTTTCTGTCCAAATGACAAGCCCCCCTTTTTTGTGTTTTGTTTTTGTTTTTCCATTTATCATCAGCGTACTTTCCAACCCAAATACTGTACATCTTTTATGCAATTGAGTAATACTTTTTCTTTGCACAAGATCAAGGCTACAGTGGCCTAAATGAAAGCAAAATTAGCATTGCCTCGTAACCAATTATTCAAAATTTTTTTTTTAAACAAAAATAATATTGAAGTTTATATGTGACCTAAAACAGCCAACCAGAAAGCTATAAAGAAATAGGTAAATCATGCAATAGAAAGTTACTCAAATGATATTCATATCCAAATTTTGTGTTGTTTTTTCACCTTTTTTGATAGGAAACAGACAATTCCTTTAATAAACACTGTATCTAGTCACAAAACATGGTGTATCCTTTATTACTCAAAAGGACAACATTAGATGGTTCTCTGGGAGAGTAGACCTGATTTGTGTACTTACCCTACTATACATGTACTTTGGCACTGGACCAGGGGTATCTGTCCTTGATGGCATATCAAAACTTTCTCTAGGTGTGTCTCTTCCATTGTCATCAGAATTACTAGCTCTCTCTGCTTCCATACTTGTCATTGTCAATGTTACGTTTTGAATAAGTTGTTTACTTGTGGAATTGCTAAAATGAAATTTCCTGGTTCAATAAAAGTGTAAATGTTCACTGACATACATAATATCAAAATATTTAATAACCAAGATAGTCAAAGCTTGTTTATATGACAATAAATGAATTTGAAAATGGCGGCCTTCTGCCTTTGTAGCAAAGAAAACATAGGTAATAAGTCTAACTCAGTGCATTTACTATGAAAATTTCAGAAAGTTCCAAATGTCATTCAACAACACATTTAAATTTAAAAAAAGAAAAAACATTGAAAAAAAAAGAGTTGAATTTTTTCATTATATGAATTAAAGTATTGGATAAAAAGTATCCACAATCTCAAAAATATTGGCTATGATTAATTTATTAGTTATTTTTCGTGTAACTTAATTTTTCTCCAAAATTGTTTTAGAATGATTCTACAATTTTCTGCTACACTGCAGGCATATGGGAGGCAGTCTAACTTTGGTGAGAGCCTGTCTCAAGACACTGATTATTCAATTAAGCAAGTTCCTCAATTTTTTTTCCCCGGACAACTCAGAACTGCATGCAGCTTCAAACTCACAAGCATCATCAGGTAATACCTCTCTCACAGAGAGATATCTAGGTAATCTTATAATCCCCTAACTTCTTAAAATCACTTTTATGTTACGGTAATGTGTAGTGTGAAAATTATTTAAGGAGTTTTAAGTGTTCTATTTAAATTTGTATTTTGCAATGGTGCTTTGTTGTAACATCTCCCTCTCCAATGAGCTTCAAAGTCATCAAACTTGTCTTGTAACTTTGGATGAGTGTCATTACCGCTTGGTGCTACATTTTCAAAATTTTCATTACTGCTACTCAGTCATTACTGTTACAAAAAAGATACGTTCTGCAACATTCAAAAAGTATACATTACCGCTACATTGCCTCTTTCGTAAGTTAGCCCCTTATTCATGTACAGATTAATTTAAAATACAACATATACATGCAAGTTTCTCCTCAGCACACTCATGTTCATATCTCCCAAATACTCCACTACTTAAATAATTACATTTTGTCTACAGACATATGTACTCATTTCTATGAGAATTAAGATCCAAATTGTACTTCACTAAATGTTGAGTGAAGTATGTTGTATGGAACTCATATTCCGTACCATTGTTGGCTATTTCGATAAGTAGCAGTAATGAATTGTTTTCCGCAATAGTCCTATTGATAAAAGTTTTATCAAAATTTATAAAAAATGTAGCAGAAATGATAACCTGAAAATTTGAAGAAATGTAGCAGTAATCAGTTGAAATTTTTGGCAGTGTAGTGGCAATGTTGACCTCCCATAACTCTGTCTACCTATTGATATAGTACTCACTATAGCATTGTACTAAATCAGTAAATGTCCAACATTTGCCAAACAATGAGTAAATCCCGTTTTCCAAAGATATGTACTGTAATTTTTGTTTTTATACACTGATAATCTGCAAAGCAAATGTGTAATTACCACTTTAATCATCAATGTCGAAAACCTATACTGAGTATACTCCTAAAACAGAACCCAATACACAACACACGATTCAACGTGATTATTATTGATGTGTTCTCACCTTTGCAAGTATCCGATGAAAACTACAGCTGTCAAGCACGACGGGTAACAGAATACGAGAAAAACCAGTTGCGAAAGAAATTGTGTTGAATACTCTTCAAAGAAAATAAACGAAATGCATAACTAGGTACTAAATTAAACAGAGAATACGTTTACAAATTTGAACCGCTGCAGCTAAACATCGGAAAATGTTGCAAATGCCCGGATGTGACATGCGCAGATCATGATGACCTTTGAGATGTGTAATAGTTTGCATAAGTATGTTAATGATCCATGAAGCTATCAATGCATTGAAAAATAATATATCTTTTACTGAATGAATGATAGCCAAACTTTATCAGTCTTGCAAAAGTTACTTAATTTTACATTAAAAGGTGTAGATTTAACTTGCAGACAACTCCTTCCGGGTCATGGCAATCAGAGGAACTACGAACCCGAAGTATTTTAATTATATTTTTAAAAGTTCTCTTTAAGTGCAATTTCATGCAAAAATAACCAATTTCAAGTTTTATTCATTTACGTATGTATTGTAATTTAGGAAAGAAAAATAAAATATTAAGCATATTTTTTCTTTTGTCCGGGAACGCGTTTTGGTATTAAAAATCGGGTTCGTTTTCCTTTCCCCAACTTACAACGTGAAAACTATTTGTGACTGTTGTGAAACTTTTCATTGAAAATGGGCATATTAGAACGAATAGCGGAAATCGAGTCAGAGGTAAAGCATGTTTGACATATAATCCATTCTTGTTTTTTTTAAATAATCCGTAAACTTTGTCTTTTTCATCAATAATCATCATGATCATGGCAGTCAGCAGGTCCAGCACAATACCCCGATAAAGGTATATAGCTTGATAAAGCTATATAGCTTTATCAAGGTATTCAAAATACCTTGATCAAGGTATTTTATGTACTGAAAATTCAAAAAAATTCTTTAAAAATTAATTACTGAAAGTCGAGTTCTGAGTTTTTGTCAGTAAATTCACCCATGCATGTAAAGTACTCAAACACAAACAAATCAGTAGAAAAACGTGTCGTGTGAGGAGACGTTATTTTATGCCTTCTTTTTGATACCAGAGTGTTTTTTATGCACGAATAGACACACTGTCAAAAACTCAGAACTCGACTTTCAGTAATTAATTTTTAAAGATTTTTTTTGAATTTTCATTACATAAAATACCTTGATCAAGGTATTTTAAATACCTTGATAAAGCTATATAGCTTTATCAAGCTATATACCTTTATCGGGGTATTGTGCTGGACCTGGTCAGGTTGTATGATTGTTAGTTTCACCCAAGTTGCAAGTCTATAGTCATTGAAAACAACCTGTCTCGAGACCGGTCCTGGACACAATAGGAATACTTCAATGAGCTGTAATTAAGCATAAAAATCTCGTACTCACAATTCTTTTCATGGATATTCTTCATACAAGGTTGACACTAGCCATTTAAGGCTTTAGTCCAACCAATTTCATTTGAGATTCAGCTTGGCTAGATATTTTGGCTGATTCCTTCACCAATTCTTGGACCAATCCTTCACAATTTAAGTCTGGAAATTCAGCCCAACTTAATCAGTTCGCTGGTCGTGGATATAATGGGGAAATTTATACCTGTGTTTCACCTGCTTCAGTTTGTCTCCTCAAATATCCTTTTAATTATGAATTGCCATTTATTGTGTTTTCTGTCCATTACATAAGGTCATTCCATCATTTTTGCTAGTTTTTAAGTTTGCTTTGATTCAAACTGCCACTTTTTATACTTATTTACATATATATAAGAGTTCCAATAGGCATTGGATGGTTTAGCCTTTTAATACATTGAACACAAATTTCTGTGCATCATTTTCAAGCTTCCCAAGGATGATGAGCAAAAATAACAATGGATTTAAAATGGATTCACTAACTGTACAAATTGTGGGAGACATACTAATTTAAGATAAGAACTAGAGATTTTATTTAAATAAATACTAGTTAGAAGGATGTTCATTGTTCAAGCTGCAAATTTGGAGCAAGTCAAACACAGGTATGTCCCGATTTAACCATGACGAGTGATCGGAATTGAGGCTGAATTTCCAGATGTGAATTGTGAAGGACTTCCCAAGATTTGATGAAGGTATCTGACAAATATTATAATTTAGCCAAGCTGAATCACTGCCAAGACTATAGTCCAGCCAGATAAGCAAATTTCTTGAAATCTCATGAGGGGTTTTCCAGTAAAAGTAGTAGAGAATTGTACTTCTTTAATTTATATGATTTTCAGAATTTTTGTTGAGTTTAATTTGTTACAGATTCTTTTTTTGGTTCAAATGAATTTTAAAATGTATTAGTCTGAGAGTAACTTACTAATGTTTGTGATAAACCATACTTCATCCTGTTGAACAGAATTATATACATTATAACACATTCACACATATATAAATACATGTATATCAACAGTGTGGCATATTATATGATTACTGTAAACCAACTTAATTCATGTGAGAGGAGTATCCCATGAGATTCACAACTTACTCTAACTTGCGAATATTAATTGCTGCTAAACATTTATTTTGCTTCATGTTTGTAGTGAATATTTCTTCAGTAGTGGAAATTAATCATTTAGGATTGATTTCAAACTGAAAGAATAGGGAATAAAAGATGACACAAATGATAACTGGTTTACAGTATTTAATAAAATTTGATTTGGACTCTCAAAATTTTTTTTTTATGAATAAACTTCATTTCCCCAAAAAGGAAAAAAAGTTGGTGTAATTAAATCAAAAGAAGCCACAGATCTGTAGCTCTCTGATTTTAACAACAAAAATTGGATAGATGACCAAAGAGCTACAGTGCAACCCACTGAACAAAATATATTCATTGGCCTTTTTTTAAAGATGGCTCGTACCCAGAAAAACAAAGCAACAAGTGGACATCTGGGTCTTCTTAAAGCTCGACTGGCCAAACTCAGAAGAGAACTCATTGAACCCAAAGGTGGAGGTGGGGGTGGGGGTGAAGGCTTTGATGTGGCAAAAACAGGAGATGCTCGTATTGGGTTTGTAGGTAAGATGAGAAAAGTTTCATTGAACAAAAGTAGGATTTTCATTTTAATCAGCATGTAAAGATGGGAGATAGATTAAAGATTTTATGGATTTTTTTTTTAGGTTTTCCCTCAGTTGGAAAGTCCACGTTACTGAGTAATCTTGCTGGGGTGTACTCAGAAGTGGCTGCCTATGAATTTACCACCCTCACAACTGTCCCAGGTGTTATACGATATAAAGGGGCAAAAATTCAGGTGAGAGTGAAAAGACAAAATATATATGTGTAGTAAATATATGGTTGCTTCTCTAATCTAGATGTTATATGTACCTTTAATTATTCAATATTTGGCTGATGAACATCAGATTGGTAAGATTTAATTACTGGTACTTATTAACAAGTTTTTCAGAAAATATTTTTTGCACCCAAGTTTGGCCCAGAAATATCAATTTATCGTCAGTATTTTATGATGTCAAAATCAAAAGCTTTTACTCTTATTAATGCTCATATAACTATCAAAATATCAGTGCATTAACCATTCAAAATGCAGATTACAAAAACAATTACATCAGAATATAGTCAATATATCATAAATTTTCATTTAGAAAGGTATGACCTATGAGACTTCAGCATAAACATCGTGTGAAAGTTGTTGTCTTAAAAAAAAGTATAAAGTATTATATTGGCTTAACTTTGGTTTTAAAAGTAGAATGAATATGGCAGAAAATAGAGAGTAGTTGAATTTTAAATATTTGATTTAGTCCTAATGCTTGGTGTTCCTTTCCTTTCAGTTGCTGGATCTTCCAGGTATTATTGAAGGAGCCAAAGACGGCAAAGGTCGTGGAAAGCAAGTTATTGCTGGTAAATAGACTTGTATATATATAAACATAGATGAAGAAACTTTTATACTAGTAATGTGTTTCCAGTAAATATCTTCACATATGGTCAGCTGTGGACACAAATGTTGTTCATTATACTCTGTACATTGTATTGTTTGTGTATATTATATTATACTCTGAATATTGTACATGTACTATGTTAGTGTACAATGTACCGGGTACAGGCATTGTACATTATACACATTACTCCATGCATTCTACTTTGTATATAAAACTCTGAACATTGGTCTCTTTACATGGTATTGTACTGTCTTTTCTGCATACAATACTCTATACATTGTACTGCACATTGTAAATTTTGTATTACAGTTGCCAGGACTTGCTCCTTGATCTTCATCGTATTGGATGTCCTGAAACCTCTACAACACAAGAAGCTGATCGAGCACGAGTTGGAGGGGTTCGGAATCAGACTCAACAAATCTCCACCAAATATTGGGTTTCGGAGAAAAGAGAAGGGAGGGATCAATTTGCAGACCCTGGTATTTATGGAAACTAAACAGAATTTGTATGGGAGATTCATGTAAAAAAAAAAAAAAAAAGTGATGACAAGAAAATATTTCTTGTAAGGTTCTTTAAAATGACAATGATTATGTTAAAAGAATATCTGCTGTGATAAGAGTTTCACTAATCACGTTATAAGCACATTGCCAATTTATTTCAAAATTTATAAAATGCATATTAGGTAATTTTTTGATAAAAAAAAAAATGCAGTAAAGTTATTTATCTACCCTAATGTTTTGATAAAAAAAAAATGCAGTAAAGTTATTTACCTACCTTTAAAACTTTGTTCAGACATATTGTAAATTTATAGAAATTCAACACTTTTGATATTGTTTTACAAGGTGACCCAGTCTGAGTTGGACATGGATTTGGTGAAGACGATTCTAGGAGAGTACAAGATTCACAACGCTGACATCGTACTGCGATCAGACTGCACCGCGGAGGAATTAATTGACGTGGTGGAAGGAAACCGAGTGTATATTCCCTGCATCTACATTCTAAATAAGATAGATCAGATCTCTATAGAGGTATGGACACATTACATTCTAAATAAGATAGATCAGATCTCTATAGAGGTATGGACACATTACATTCTAAATAAGATAGATCAGATCTCTATAGAGGTATGGACACATTACATTCTAAATAAGATATATCAGATCTCTATAGAGGTATGGACACATTACATTCTAAATAAGATATATCACATCTCTATAGAGGTATGGACACATTACATTCCAAATAAGATGATCTCTCTAGAGGTTTGGATACCTTACATTGTAAATAAGATTTACAGAGATGCATGTACAATAAACTTTCTTCAAAACAACACTACTTTCATTTATTTATTTGATACATGTATGTAGTCATTGATATGCAGCATCTGAGTAATTTACTAATTTTGGGTGAATAAAAAAGGTGTTATTGCATATTCGTTTAGCAATGAGTAAATCAGCAATTTAATTTGTATGAACATTGCAATCCTCTGGACTCTTATTTGTTAATTTGATTTTCTTTGTAGGAGCTGGACATTATCTATAAAGTACCTCACTGTGTGCCCATCTCAGCCCATCACAAGTGGAACTTTGACGACTTACTGGACAAAATGTGGGAGTATCTGGGACTGGTTAGAATGTGAGTATTGTATTTAGGACTGGTTAGAATGTGAGTATTGTATTTAGGACTGGTTAGAATGTGAGTTTTGTATTTAGGACTGGTTAGAATGTGAGTTTTGTATTTAGGACTGGTTAGAATGTGAGTATTGTATTTAGGACTGGTTAGAATGTGAGTATTGTATCAGGGACTGGTTAGAATGTGAGTATTGTATCTGGGACTGGTTAGAATGTGAGTATTGTATCTGGGACTGGTTAGAATGTGAAGATTGTATCCGGGACTGGTTAGAATGGGAGTTTTGTATTTAGGACTGGTTAGAATGTGAGTATTGTATCTGGGACTGGTTAGAATGTGAGTATTGTATTTAGGACTGGTTAGAATGTGAGTATTGTATCTGGGACTGGTTAGAATGTGAGTATTGTATTTAGGACTGGTTAGAATGTGAGTATTGTATTTAGGACTGGTTAGAATGTGAGTATTGTATTTAGGACTGGTTAGAATGTGAGTATTGTATCTGGGACTGGTTAGAATGTGAGTATTGTATCTGGGACTGGTTAGAATGTGAGTATTGTATTTAGGACTGGTTAGAATGTGAGTATTGTATCTGGGACTGGTTAGAATGTGAGTATTCCAGGATATTCCAGTATACCCAGAATAATGTAGAAAAAATCTAAACGAAAATTCTCTTTTGATTTACACATTTCAAGAACTCCAAACATAATTACAACAAGCAGTATTACTATGAATTCAGATTTTTATTCCCTCTAGTTTTAAAACATATAATTAACTTCTAGGATATTAGAAATTACATTTATTACAAATCAAAATTTTCATCCCTGGCACTTTGCTATAGTGTGTTTTATTGCACCGGGTTAATAGTAGTGTAATGATACAGATCTGCATTTTCTTTGTTTGATGACAGTACATGTAATTAATTATAAAACTTTTCAATATAAAATTAAAATAGATAGTAAGAAATTGATTCCTCTTCTCATATAAGCATATATTTCTGTTATTTCTGATTAATTCTTTAAAACTGACAGATACACCAAGCCAAAGGGCCAGCTGCCTGACTATACAGCACCAGTGGTTGTCAAAAGAGATAAGTGTACGGTGGAAGATTTCTGTAACAAACTGCACAGATCCCTCATCAAAGAGTTCAAATAGTGAGTACAACTAACAAAGGCAATACTTAACCTGGTTGAAAATGTGTCAGATTATTTTTCAGCAATGGAAAGTAAATGCAAATTTCAAAGGCATTGTAATAATTTAAAATATGTAATTCAGTTAACTGGTGACTTATTATTTCATTGCCTTTAATAGTTAGTAATTATTCAATTAACTGATGACTTATTTTTTACTGTGCCTGAGTTCGTTATTTTACAGTTAATTGAAGACTTGTTTATTTCAGTGCCTGAGTTAGTTATTTAAAAGTTAACTGATGACTTATTTTTTACAGTGCCCGAGTTAGTTATAATATTTTACAGTTAAATGAAGACTTGTTCATTTCAGCGGCTGAGTTAGTTATTTTACAGTTAACTGATGACTTATTATTTACAGTGCCTGAGTTAGTTATTTTACAGTTAACTGATGACTTATTTTTTACAGTGCCTGAGTTAGTTATTTTACAGTTAACTGATGACTTATTATTTACAGTGACTGAGTTAGTTATTTTACAGTTAACTGATGACTTGTTTATTTCAGTGCCTTAGTTTGGGGTTCCTCTGTAAAACACCAGCCCCAGAAAGTAGGAAAAGAGCACACACTAGCTGACGAGGATGTGGTTCAAGTTGTCAAAAAGTAAGGGCAATAACTCAGAACCAATTTTCTCCAAAAAAAGAAATAAGGAGAATCTCTGTAATGAATTTTAAGCTTAACTTAACAAAGATTTTGTGTATGCATTGGCAATGAATCAATTGAATACATGTACATAGTGAATTTTATTTTATTTTTTAGTGTTTTTAATATATTATATTCCATTCCAGGGTGTGATGTAAAAACTATCCATAAGTGGAATTATTTTGATGCCAAGATTCCAGCATTGTTGACTCTTACATCTCTTGCAATATGACCCTTACAGGAATCAAGTGACATGAACAGTTTACAAACTTCTTGTTGATAAGCTAAATAAGACAGTTAATACTTTATTTCTTTCTAGTTCTATCATCTGTAGGTGATAAAAGAAGGATCATTGCAAAATTGTAGGACCCGCCTATGATGTGAAATTTCAAATTTCTGATAAAGATAAGAGTGTTTTCCATTAAGATATTCTGGTGCGTTTGTCTTTCATATGTATGTACCATTACTACATTTATTTCTAATTTGAATCATTACATTGAATGAAATAAATGGACAATAAGGTATGTTAAATTTTGTTATTTTTTTTTCTCTCAGCTGAGCTAATTTCTGATCAAAATTCATCTGTTTTCATTGTGATTGTAATTAACCTTTTAGAATTCATCTTCTCCAGAACCACTGTGGGAATTTTGTTCAATTGTAGGGCCACAAACTCTACCAAGAGGAGATAATTGAGAAAAAAGTAAAAAAATGTGTGGAGTCATTTAAAAATCTTTTTCTCAAGAACCACTAGGCCAGAAGAAATGAAAATTATATGAGACCTTTTAGACATGTTGTAGGCTCAAAGTTGTTCAAATTAACATTACCCCCCCCCCCTCCCCCGGCAAATAATATGATATGGGGTATACATACAAAAAAAAAATTTCCAGGAACAACAAAGTCATCATTAGTTATATCTATCAGAAATGGGACCTTGAATAGTGTAGATTCGAGTTTGTTCAAATTATTATTTCCAGAAATAGGCTGGAACTACAACGGGTGATAAAATTTTACATGGAAATATATGGGAAAAAGAATCTACAAATAAACAAGAGGGGACACAGTTACTCATGTGAGCATTGTGGCCCTCGGGCCTCTTGTTTTTGTGAAACATGTCAGTGCTTCTCAAAGAAAAGTTCAAAATTGAAAGGGTACAAGACTGTACCAAAAAGGGTCAATATAACCGCTGGTGAAGTTCTTAAGTCCTGTTAGATTATTACATTGTATCTCAAACCGGGTGATCTGTGATGTGAGACAATAATTCAATATTCTTTAGTTACACAGAGCAGGCAAATTAGTAACATTATTCAGGGAGCCAGAACAGGAGCACTTTTTACGTACATGAGCATTTTACCTTCTGGTAAGAGAGGTAACTCTTACCGGACCTGACGCAGTCGCAACATCTCGGGCCGAAAAACAACCTCGTGTCACAGGAGTGGGCATAAAACTGCCTGCTCCTGTGCTCTTGCAGATGCCATGACAACCCCCCTTTTCACAAACTTTGAAATAATGCGTGAAAGCCTCTTATCTGTGGAGTGGGGAGTTTAACTTTGATATAACATGTACATAAATATATTACAGAAGGACTTTCAACCCTGTTTATCCATTACTTAAATAAATAAGAAGTTGTATGAATTTTTAATACCCAGTGATGTTAATACATTCGAGGTTGTTTTCCGACCTCTGATGAAAAGGAACGAGATGATCTGATCTGGACCAGACGCACTCGGCCGATTCGTACGGGACCAGACGGAGATTCGAACACGCGGGTTCCTCTCGCAAGTAAGGAGACCAGTCTCACACTCGTATTCGATCTCAACTATACATCAGATATATTTTCCTGCAGCAGCCTGCATTGATTGAGAGATTTCAAAACCGAAATTATGCCCACGTGTAAAAAGAACAAAAAATTGCTCTCAATTAACTTGACATAAAAATACGCTCGTTTATTATTATTATTTATTTTGATAATAATGAAATTGCTGTTTCAATTTTACATGTGCACTGGTTGGAAAAAAACGTTTTTGCTGGCGCAGATACAGGATTATTTTTCCAAAAGAAGCGTCCTTAATTCCCATACTAAACTAAGCAAACCCAGGGGATCCAGTCTGGGGACCATCAAACGGTGTGTTCCCCGAATGGCTACTCGGAAAAAACAACAAGTAATTATCACACTCAATTAAGGGGCCATCTAAGGGGTACAGGTAGACTTACCTGTGTTTACCTGGATAAACAATATTTTAAAAATCAGCTATATTCATTCAATTTTATTTTAATTAAGAGGGTTTTTTTTATTCTCTGAAATATACTGAATAAAAAAATAGATAAATAAATATGAATAGATAAACTTAAGATTTCAGAAAAATATTTTTTTATTGTACTTAAATTTTATTTTTTCCCAAACTATTCAATAGTATTGATTGAGAATTTACAAACTATTATCCCCTTTTTGTGCTATATATTTCAAACTTTTTTAAATAAATTAAAGATAATGATTTTTTCCTAAAATAATATAGATATTTATGTATGATAAATAAAGTGTTTCTATAAAGTTTTGTGTAGTTTAATTCATTTATTTATCATTTTTAATTATTAAAACATTCTTCCATATCATCATAAAATACAGAAGTTTATGTTTCAATTTTTATAATAAATATAGACGAATCGAGATAAAAACAGATTACTTTAATTTTTAAGGAATTCCTAAGTTAATAAGCTAATTGATGAAGAACCTGTTAATTGATATCAATTCACTTTGAAATTTTTAATAAGCAAAACTATGTTAACAAGTGTCAAAGAAAATGATGTGCTGAACTTGCTTATGATGCAGTCCAAGTTGTAAGTTATACAAGAACGACACAAGCTACAGAACAGTATATATACAGATATATGGAGATGGACTAAATGACTTGTAAATATTGTAAATATGTGTGATATGAAAGTGAAACAGTGCTATTTAATATAATCATGTGAAAATCAGTGCTGCTAAACAAAAGAACTTCAAGATAATTTATAGCTTTTAATATGTTTTGTGCTTGTAAAATTATTTATTTAAAAACTATGTTTACAAAATATTTATTCATACTAGTGCTCAAAGAAAGAAAATTGAATTAAAAATCCATTCAATTATTTTATTTAAATTCTGGTAGATTATTCATACAGGTAAGTCTACCTGTACCCCTTACAGGGCCCCTTAATTGAGTGTGATAATTACTTGTTGTTTTTTCCGAGTAGCCATTCGGGGAATAAACCCATCAAACTTAGAAGAGCTCACGTTGATCTCAGTGGTGTGTTCCCATTTCATATCATATTCATCTCAGTCTAACTTTTACCAAAGGAATATATAACAGAAAAGTCAGACTGAGATCAAAAGTGAGCTCAAAAGTTTTGTGGATCCCAGGCCCGATTCATGATTCTTTTAGACAAGATTTTTTTCTACATTGTACCGTTTACACAAGTTACATGTGCCTTGCTAAAACATTTTGTTCTTTCCATTGATTTTTTTAATGTCAAACTCTAGTGGCCTTTCGTAGATTGAAAAGTCAAACAATAAAGAGGGTGGACCTGTATCGAACTTGTAGTCTATTGTAAAATCTGCGCAACCTAGAAATGTTTCAACCAAAATTATTCATGACATGTAAATTAAAGCGCGATATTGAGAGCACGGCTCGGGGGTTTATGGTATTCAAGTGATTATGTCCTTTATTGTGAAGAATAAAGTGCACAAATTGATATGGTCAGACTTTGTAAGGGGATTAAAATCCCATCGATATTCATAACTAATGAAACATTAAATGTCCGTTACTTGAAGATCCAACCCACCACACGAGGTCTTATTGGTGAATAAACATCCCTCTGAAGTGACACTAAATTAGCTATGCGGATAGTCCGGGATTAGTTATGTACACAGAGGGCTGAGGGTGGATACCGCCACTACAGGGAAATATGAGAGTTCCATTGTTTTAATTAACACAGGAATATTCAATCTAAGACCACAGTTAATTAGTGTATAAGAGTATACTCCAGCTAAAAGCACTGTTCTTACTGGAATGGATTCATCTTTCTCTCGATTGCTAAAGTAGGAAAAAACCACCGGATGACGTGAGATGCTGATACAGGATATGTTACAGTAAGTGATTGGGGTTTGAGAATTTTTCCGGCACGGGCACCTGTCGTATGGGTGAGAATCGTCTTAAAACATTACAACTTGTCAAGATTCCTTAATTCCTGGCATATTGTTCAATGATTTTATCCTTTTTTCCCTCGCGATTTAATTTTTCAAAGGTTTCAACTATAGAGAATGTGAAGTCGTGTCCACTCTTTATAATGCATCCCTCATTATCAGACAAGCTCTTGTAGACACGTTTCCGTCAACATCATTTCTTGCAGTTCGGGAGTCCTTTAATGAAACAAACGTCTTTGACAAATCTATAAATGCTTGACAGCGTTTTGATGAAGCATGATGGTTTTGAATAATATTGCAAATTTGCAATAGATCTAACACGTTTTAATAAAATTGTTAAAATAAAATTTGACATTTTTATGAAAATCTTGAAGGTAGAAAAGCACACGTGTACAATTAATTAGATGTATGCATTTGACAAGGTGCTATTTATCTTCAAATTTTGCTGATAATGCAACAGGAGAATTTAAAAGACAAATGAAATTGTCCAATAAATTTGATGTGACAGAATACACACTGTGTATATCTCTTTGTAAAAAGTACTAGTAATTATCAAAGGAAACTAAAAATAAGAGCTCAAATCCAGACTTTAATCTCCCTGCACCTGTGGATATTGAAATGCGTATAATTTGTGCACGAATTAAACACACCGAGTTCTCTTTAACATGTGCTGCATAAAGGTTTTTAACAAACAGAACAAAGATGAAGTTTTAAAAATGTCAGCCTCATAATTTTTCAGGTTTTTGTCATTTTTACCCGAAGGTAAAATATTGATTACAACTATCTTTTACATATTATTCTTGTAATTCTCCAAGGTTTTGGAAAAGCTATTCAAGATACGAGGAAGGCATAAAGCCGGCTTTTGATCTTCAAACCTACAGGACTGATTCCAATCGACTTCTGTTGTTTTTCTAATGAATGAAGAAAAAAATCAATTTTCAGAGATATCGGTTGTTGTTTTTTTTTTTAAATCTTTGCGCAAATTTAATTTGTAAACACAATCTGATTAAAGCCTAATTTCTGTTTTGAAAAATTCAAGCCGTTGAAATATATATACATCACATAAAGTTTGTTTATACAACAAATACGAAAATTTAAATACAGTGTATATTTGAGACTTATATTTAAATAAGAAGCTGACACAAAATATAGTTTTAAAAAAGCCATTTTAAAAATATTTAACTCAAATACAACTTAAGAATATAAATAAATGAAATAAATAAATGTGTATATTTTCAACTGAGTCAATGATATGCCTTTGATCGACAGACATTAACTTGTGTATTTCTTCAGGCTAAGTACAATGTAATGATTTTTGCATGTATTTGACATCCATTCTGGCTATTTTATTGATACAACAAACTTTAGATTTATTGTAAACACTATACATAAACGAAATATCGATCTTTGTAATGACAGATCCATTACATGGGGGGAGGCATGAAGATCTTAATTATGCACAATGGCCATACACAATACACCTTTAACTTTAATCCAAATATTGAAATTCTCTGATAATGACTGTTCATTATATTTAAACATATGAACATTATCTACATGATATACATGTATATATTTTTAATCTCTCTCTCTCTCTCTCTCTCTCTCTCTGATAACATGTTCTAGGTAATTGACAAAGACGGAATATAGATAGCTTTTATAGAAGATTTAAACATGCACAACACTTGGAAACTTTTCATTGTTGTGCTGTCAAACAGAGAAAACGGGTCCCCATTGAGAAGAGTTGGTTATTGTTTTTCTTGGTCGTACCAGTCCAATAAATAGTAGTACTCCTATATTGCATTGTTTTTTTGAAGATTCACAATCCCAGCATGTATTGAAGTTTGGAATATCGATACTTATACGACACACAGGATTTTTGAACACGATTACCTTCCATAACATAGATGTATGTACTCGTTTTTGTATTTTGCTTTGATACTTTTTTCTATAAAATGTAAAAGCAGAAATGTTAATACAAGCATGTATAATTAAATCATTAGCCTCAGCCCGTTTTTAAATGATTTCTAAAACACGAAGAAACAAGAAGATGTGTTTGTGAAGCACTGATTTTTTTTCCTCAAATGCATGTCAAACTCCAAAGATCAAGGTCAAAAGGGTTGGTACCCAAAGAAAGGTCTTGTTACAAGGAATACACCTTCGAAATATGAAAGCCCCAGCTCTTACTGTTCAAAAGTTATGACCAAGGTATGACCAAGTTTTAAAAAGTGGGCCAAACTCTTAGGTCAAGGTCAAAATATTTATACTAGCTAAAAGGTCTTGTCATAATAAATACACATGTGAAGTATGAAAGCTGCTAAAAAAGTGTGGTATTTTTTTTTTTTGTAAAAGAAAAAAGTGATTTCATTCATCTAAATATATGCAATCTAGTTATGGACGCACAAAATGATAATATATAGGACGCATAAAAAGTAATTTCATTCATTGAAATATATGCAACCTCGCACAAAAAGGACGCTAACCTGAAAGGCGAGAATATTTTAAAACTCGGGGTAATGGGTAGACATGGCCGATAATTTTGTCATTGTAAATTGATTATTTTATTGTGTCAGTGTTTTTGGATGGTTATCAACTGTTGATACCTGGTGATTGTGTAAAAACAATTGTCTGTGTGTCATATGTTGTCGGGGTTTCAGGGGGGTACCAAGATTTATTAACCCCTGCATAGCGCAATACAGGACTCCTTTTAAATGGTTTTAATTTACACAATCTTTTGTCTTGTACATAATTTATTATTTTTTTAAATACAAGGAGCGTTTATAATTCTTGATAAATATAATTATTGCTATTCATACATCTGTGTTAAACAGGTTTAAATATCAAAGGAAGTAAAGCGACTTATTTTTAAATCAACTAATTGCTCTCCCTACAAAATGTTACATAAACAAACTAAATCAATTATACTTTAGATATTTTCCTTCGGATCGCTTTTTCTGTATTTATTCCGGCGTTCACTAGAATTGTATTCAAAACTTGAATAAGATATAAAAATAACGCTAGAACTTTAGTAAATTATAAACATTCTCATTTGATTTCGTTATTTAATTTTTAAGTCAAAGGAGTGAAAGGATATGATCTTCAAGATTAAACTTCCATGGCCACAAAATATCAAAATTAAGATTGCATGGAAAATATAATACTCATTATACCAATGGGGGAAATGACCTTTTTTGCGAAAGATATAGTGGATAAATAAAAAAAATATCGCTAGATTGTACCAATGGATGAGATAATAAAGTGTAATAAACTCGAAAATAAATTTTAAAAATAATAAAATAGACAAACAACCCCCTTCACACAAAATATGGAGTCAGGCATGGGAGTAAAGACTTTGTATTTTAAGGTGATTTATGATAATGCTTGACATAATCAAACTGAATTTATGGTGCCTTTGATTCAAAGAAGTGTAATTTGTTAAATAAATTTAATGATGACCATGTACAATATAGAAATTTAACATATCTGTAAGAATGGAAGAAAATGGATTTGACCGTAGGATATTGGTCTTGACCTGAACCCCCCCCCCTAATACGGGTATCACCAGAATCGTAAATCATAATATGGATAAAATGAATTAGACCTAGAAACCGTATACTTAGTACATTGCACATCCTTCCATAATGACTAAAGACATTTGGGTACACTAGTACTTTTCATTTTTCTTGCCTCCAAATACTTATTTTCAGAGATTTGGTGACTTATAAATTGATATGGAACTTCTCTGATTTTAAAACGTATAACTCTCACGGAATTCACAACAGATCACCAATGACAGACGCTCACATTCATTTTGACAAGAAGACACGCGTTCTTCTGACGAAGTGTCGATCTATCGAATCGTATTGATGTGAGATCTCACAAACAGTTGATATCAAACCGGAGCTCGGGGTTAAGGTATTCACGCCAGAGTAGCGATCCCAGATATTATCAAATGTCTGCAAATACGGGCATTTACTGGGAACAATCAGTTATGTCTACTCGCACAGAATGTGTCGGATTTAAAAACTTGATAGGTCTTAATTATAAAATATGTACCTAATTAAATGTTTTTATCACTATTGATAAAATATATGCAACTCAGCAGATTGAAGGAATGAAATACAATTTTTTTTTTGGAGAAAAAATATACGAGTTTTTTTTTTAAATTGTAGACGAATACATATACAGTCTTGTACATTTTGGGGGAAATTTTCTTCACATTGTATCACATAGTAGAGATAACCTGGGAAGATCTGATTGATGTTTTTTTTTCTAGGCATGCTGAATCAGGTGAGCTTCGCGGTCTTTAGCAACTATTCACCCCATTTTAACTTCAAATTTCAAACTCCTAATTACGACAAGCACTTTCAAGACACTTACTATTTTTTTGTTATTTATCTTTGCATCATTGATAATACATCAGATCTACAAATTATATCATGATTTGTGACTTTGTATTCAAAAAATTTAAATGGGTATTCGGACATGGGTATTATTTTAAACAAAAGTACTTGTGACTCCCACAAAGTGTTTAATGAAATGGTATTTAAACATCTTTATTGCACTTTACTTATTTCGTGTAACGGACACCAGTTTAACCATTTTTCACTTTTACCTTCTTGAAATGTCATTGTTATACTGTAATACTGCCAGGTTTATTTTCGTATACTGAAAATGTACAGCTGTTCGGTATGTATATGCTTTAAGGATTAACTTTTAATTTCAACAGAGTTTTTTTTTCAAGTGTATAGAAATTAAAACTGAAGTTCTAGCGTTCATTAGTTTCATAAGAATGTCAGAAAATTATTCATATAAACTTGCGATATGGACCACGGATTTTATACTTAGCTTCATAAAATTTAATATTGATAAATTGCCCCAAACTTTGAAGTAGATCTTTTACTCACAGAAAATAAACTTTGGAATGCAGAGAGTTACTTTAAAATTCTTTTATATTAACCAGATAAAACCTTATATAAACTCTCCTTTATTAATCAATAGCCCTAAGACACTGTATATCGCGCTAGGTTATGTTGTTATTATGGGGCTGATGCTGACTATCCTAAAATCCCTTCAAGGTTGTTAGAGGAATAATTGTTGGGTTGTTTACCTTGTGACCAGATTACCATTTACGTACATGCAAAATATTAATTCAAAATTAAAGGATTAGCAATTTAAAAACTGCAGACCTTAGATCACTCCTACAAGTCATTTGGTGCTCATATTTGTGTTCTTATGAAGGCTGAAATACAGCATCATTCAGATATATGGATTTTATCTTTACAGAGGGACTGAGGGGTCGTAGTATCACAAAACTAGGCCTGGAAAGCGAGGATGACGAAGACTTAGAGCATACAATGGATTCCGTGACGACGCCACGGTTACCGGAGATGCCCAATGTCCTTCACAGGCAACTCTCACGTTCCATGACAAACTTAGGAGTCCGGAAATTTCTTATTGACAACCCGAAGGACCAGGAGCTGAAGAAACGCGAGCGATTATGGCAATTCCACAAGAGGAACCGCGGAGCCATGGTGCGCCTGAAAGGACTTAATCCAGTGCTGAGTAAAAGCACAGACAAACTGGACGGAATCGACACGGAGAGGAAATCCGACTCCGAGAACGAGGAAGAAAAATCCCCACGGGAGGCTAAAAAGATCCCCAAAATCCGGTCCAGATTGAAAATGGAGTCCAGAAACTCAAGTGGTGGGCACAGCGACAGCGGCGTCAAGAAAGATTCCAAGGAGTCTAGCAAAGATAGCAATGCCAAATATACTTATTCCTCTGCTCTTACGATAGGCAATAGTATATACTCCCAGCTGCGTGGCAAAGAACATGAGACTATGGAACATATTCCGAGACTTCCGGGTCCTATAGACTGTGGTAAAACCAAGAGGTCAATAGTAAACTCTATTGACAAGCTTCCGGATCTCAGCAATGCTTTAACTAAGTTAGGATACATGAAATTAACCCGAAACGTAGTGCACTATGGGGGCGGGTTCTTTGGACGTTATCAGGAAAAAAGGTACACAGAGCTCGGCAGATCAATGTCCTCGATCGAGGCGGGATCCAGACCGGATGTGACGAACCAGGATGTGACTATGTACGGTTCTATGAACCAATTAGATACGATGGTGGAGACTTCCAGAGTAAAATTCGAGACTCCAAGACCTCTGAATAGATTAGACAGAGGCAACAAAGAGAATCAAGTTCGTAAATCAGACGATAGTCGAAAACTAAAGACAAAAGTAAGTGATTCAGTGAAAAAACCTCTCTCTGAACAACAGAGTTCCTCAAAAGCCATAGATTCTAACGCGGAGTCGGATAATAATGTTACCGAGTTCTCTCAGGAAAACCAAATGTCTAAAGGAGAATCGGATAAAAGTGGTGATGAAGTGACCCAGGAAAAACAGTCATACAAAATGGGTGAACTTACTCGTGAAAAGACCTCTAGGAGAGAATCGTTTAAAAATGGTGAACAGACTCAGGGAAACCAACAGAGCAAAACTAAGGACACCAAACTGGAGGTGAATAGAGTGACTCGGCCTGGTTCCGATATAAGTTTAGACATTCCAAAGGATAAGTATGGGCCGTCCTCCCAGGTTAGAGATGTGAGGACACACAGATCTCCATTGATGTATGGCGTCAACCCTTACCGCTGGACTAATAAGAGTGCAATAACTGACGAGGACCAATCGTGGGTAGAGCACGCCATGCAGAACACGGACGTAATAGACCACACCGTATACGACTGTTTTGCCAGAACCAAACCGAGTAACAAGTGATTTATTTGTACCGGAAATACGCATTGCAATAAATATACATTTTATTATTTGTTGATTTTAATATGTATTTTAATAAGACTAATATACCATGTTACATATAGCATTTCCAAGTTACATAGCATAAACCTGATTCGGAAAAGAAAGTTATTTTTTTCACTTCCTCAGTTTTACTTTGAATGTTGCTAAAAGTTGAAATATAACTTTTTCTGGAAAGGGGTGGTAATACTCTTTATACATGAACACATCGTAAATGGGGGGGATGTTTGCTTTGTGTTTTTTTAATTCAGCCAAAAAACCTTCCATGTAAAGAATTTTTTTTCTTAAATCTACCATAGAATCAAATAAAAGGACTGTGACTTAAGGTTACAGCAGTACAGTATCGAAAATCTATCAATAGACAATGCAATAAGTTTTCTGGCTAAAAAGGCAGCCAAAGTGATCGATGTCTGGAAAAAAAACTTATTCAAAGCGATTTTCAAACCTCCAAAGTTTAATTAAAACCAACATACATGTAGCTTGTCAAGAATGAAACATTATTACACGTACATGTATATCAATACCAAAAGATATTATATTCAAAAAAGAAAAATAATCAATTCTGACATTTAACCTCTGGTGAAAGAAAATTAAAGCAAATATTTGTTATATTTCTCAAAAAAAAAAAAAAAAACCAAAAAAAAAAACAAAAAAACAATCATTCGAAAAAAGATAAAACAAGAAGCTTTTTCAAGATTAAATTAATGTTGCAATATGGATAAGGTTATAGTAAGATGAAAAATCCCAGAAGATTTAATTTTTACAATTTAAATGCCAATCTCATTTGGATCTAGATAATGCACTCGTATGTCCCAATGTTGTTAAGAACCTTTTCAATGTTCCATAGAACATATGTATGTCAATTACTTCAAAAAGGTCAATATCGTCATAATTTCATACGAACCTTGAATGGAATTATTTCACCGTATTTCAACATCCGTAGTTACCAATGATTTTTTGTGGGTTAGCTCACATTGACTTAAAGGGGTCGAGTTTTGTCATTAAATCTCATTCGTCTGTCCGTTACAAAAACGTCAACCTTGTCCATAACTTTTGATTTAGTGGAGCTTTGACTTTTATATTTCATATGTGTATTCTTTGTGATAAGACCTTTCTTTGGGTACCACCAAATTTGACCCTTTGACCTTGACCTAGGAGTTTGACCCACTTTTACGCAAAAATTCCAAACTTTTACTTTGGCCATAACTTTTGAATGGTAAATACTAGGACTTTCATATTTCACATATATATTCTTTGTGACAAGACCTTTCATTGGATACCAACAACTTTGACCTTTTGACCTTGACCTTGGAAATTTCCGTACTTATGAAAAAACTTTAACCTTGACCATAACTTTTGAACGGTAAGGGCTAGGGCTTTCATACTTCATATATGTAATTCTTGTAAGAAGACCTTTCATTGGATACCAAGAACTTTGACTCTTTGACCTTGACCTTGGAGTTTGACCTACTTTTCAAAAACTTTGACCTTGGACAAAACTTTTGAATGGTAGATGCTAGGACTTTCATATTTCACATATGTATTCTTTGTGGCAAAACCTTTCATTTGATATCAACAACCTTTTTACCTTGACCTTGGAGAATTTTCATACTTATAAAAAACTTTAACCTTGACCATAACTTTTGAATGGTAAGGGCTAAGGCTTTCATACTTCACAAATGTAATCCTTGTGAGAAGACTTTTCATTGGATACCAAGAACTTTAATCCTTTGACCTTGACCTTGAAGTTCAGTGATGATTTCTAAATAAAAGACATATGATATGGTGTTCATATTACACAGAATATATCATTAACAATGACACCTCCCCCACAAAGACACCGAAAACGGGGGACCACAATTCCTTGAATTTGCTTGTTAAAAACCTTATTGATAACAGTGCATGTAGTAGAAGTAAAAAATATGAAGACAGAAACGAACTTACTCATTATGCATACACTTTCTACGATTTAGAAAATGAACTATATACATGAAGGGTAGTAGAGGTGGCTTTCTTTTGCAGACTCTATTTTGCAATTTGAACTGTACGTATTGGAATTTTTTTCTTTGTCCTTGATACATTTAGTCTGTCCTTAAAACTTAGAGAGAGAGAGAGAGAGAGAGAGAGAGAGAGAGAGAGAGAGAGAGAGAGATGTTCATTAACATACTGTAAATGTATTGTATTTTGCGTGTACGACATTTGGCGGAAATTCTATATTCAACAAGTTAGCGTAGATTTGATTTAGCGCTGTCTGAATGTGCTAGTTATAAATTTTAATATACAAGATATTTAGCGATGTAATTGAATTAGCGGACTCTGCTTTCCGCCAAAATCTCTAACTAGAGTACACCGCTAAATGTAATACGTTTACAGTAAATCAGAATTCATTTAATTTAGATGATAGAATAGCATAAAGCAACCTTTAGGACTCCCTTCATCCTTAGCATTTGGATTTATAAGGTAATATTTCCATTTGTATTTGTTTTCTCTATGATATCTCTTTGAAAGTTAGTGGAGTTAATTTCTTGATAGAGAGAGAGAGAGAATGTAAATTAGAGAGAAATCGAGAGAGAGAGAGAGAGAGAGAGAGAGAGATATATGAGAGAGAGATAGTATATCGAGAGTTATGCAAATTAGAGAGAGAGTTTCCCACTTTCGTTGATACCCTGGCATACTATACAAACTAAACAGTAATTCTCTTAAGAACCATTGTTTTCGAAGCTTATACTAGTATTGCTAGCAAAGATGTGTGTTGAATCCAGAAATCCTAAAAGATTGATTTACCACACAGGTAACATAAAATACTTCAACTCTAAAAGAGCAATTCTCTGAGAGGTCAAGGTCAATAATCCCACTATAAACAGTTTGTTTCATGAAAGTACATACATGCAAATCAATATCTGTCATGTACCCTATAATAAACAGGAGAGAGAGAGAGAGAGAGAGAGAGATTTTTTTCCAGAGGGGGGGGGGGGGTTCCAGAGAGAGAGAGAAAAAAATTATCCAACCCAGGAAGAGAGAGAGAGAGAGAGAGAGAGAGAGAGAGAGAGAGAGAGAGAGAGAGAGAGAGAGAGAGAGAGAGAGAGAGAGAGAGAGAGAGAGAGAGAGAGAGAGAGAGAGAGAGAGAGATTTCTTGACAAGCAAAAACAAAAAAACCCCGTAAACTCACCCAAACGTTAAAAAAACTTATTTCGTGGGTGGGTGGGGGGATGTAGTCGGTGACTTCTAATGCTTCAAACCTTTGACTTTTCATACCAATTTAACACAAATTCGCGTTTACAAGGGGGGGGGGGGGGGCTGCGTACAAATTTAATAATCTTGCTAATTCCAGGGGTGGGTCCTGACCCCCCCCCCCTTCTAGATCCGCACATGATAAATAAATATAAGACAGTTCAATGAGAAGACACTTCAATTAGACTTGTAGCAAGATTTTTAAAAAATCACAGTATCTTCCTGAGGCCCAGTCTTTTCAGTCCTTTGATTTTAGCATATAGTTGACATTTTTCCAGTGAAAATTACATAGCATATATAACAAGTAATTCTTGTTATATCAACAGAGAGATGTAATCTAACTGAAAGTTTGTAATATGAAGTAATCTACATATGCTGATAAAATTCATTCAAGTAATCGCAGGGATCTAGTGGGGATGAGGGGCCCCTGGAACTTAAGGTTCATCAATACTCTGACAAGAGAGATAACTCTTAATGACATAATTGAATGTCTATTATTCCTTTATAAATTTGTCAAGTTGGAGTGTCTTTTTTGTCCAATTTTGCCCCGCAAGCTATGCTATAATTGTATTTTATTTAACAAATATGTTTCTTTTGGAAAATCATAAAAGTTACAGAAATATTTTATATGAGTGATAAATGAACCTTAAGAGTTAATTTAAGTCCCATGCTATTATAATGAACACTGAGAAACAAAAGCTTGATTAATTTATTTGCCCAATTACTTATGTTTATGTAAAGTATGTAAATTTCATATACACAAATAAATAAAAAATAAACAAGACAATAATATATGAAATATAATTGAAATTCTATGCCCTATTGAATCATTTTTGTAGCAAATTTTAACATCTGTAAATGACCTTCACCTGAACTGTAGCCTTGACCCTGATTAAACAGGAAGTCATTATCTCTTATACAAATGTAATCTACTTTAAAATTTATTCTAATCTTGATCTTCAACATGTGATCATAGTTTGATGGCACATACTTAAATGATGCAGAATATAATAATTATTTATGACATACACAATCACGTAAATGCAAGGTTAACATTGTCCGAGAGAGTAAGGGGGAGGCATCCTTGCTTTCATTATATTCATTAGTAATGTCCTTTAAAACCCGTCCTCTGTTAGTTTTAGTATGTCGGAGGGGGAGGGGGGGGGGGCTTCACCTGCTTCAATAATATACTCTATGAATATTCTCAAAACTACATCAATGTATAAAGCACCATAAATTGTGTTGACAATTATCTTTTTACCTGTATGATGGATCAAACTACAATGTATAAGTACATGATTTCATACATTTCACTGTCAAAGCTTTCATTTCTAGCAAAATATGAACAGATTATTAAAATTTTTACCTTATAAAACTCAATTTTAATTAAATTACAGCTGAAGAAAAGAATTCAATACATTTGGCACTTACTCAAGGTAAAACACTGGGGTATTAATTGACCATAAACATTTTAAAAGAAAATGTTATATTTTCAGCATTTTGCATTATTGCTAAAAGATTATACAAGAAATAAATAATTGGACATTTGCATATAAAGCCTTGATATGTTAAAATAAGAGTATCTAATTTACACACAAAAATATTTGGCTTGAAAATCCTTGGATACAGCTGTTCAAGAACACACATGTAAAAACATTTTTCTGTCAAAGCTGTTTGTATCAACTGTTTGATACACAGTGAAATTCATAACACAAGATGAGCAAGTAAATAAAATTTCATCAGTTGTCTAAGTAAATTAGATCGTAATGAAACATTTTCACACTTTGGCCCTTACATTCACTATCACATGTACATGTTTACGAAATGAATACCAGTATATACTTTAACAAACAGCAAAATTATAAATTGTAATTGATTTCCTGATAAAAACAATGCATATCAACAGACAAAAAGTTCCATGTATGAAATGGAGAAAATCGACAACTCAAATGAACAGGAGATGTACTGGGATACTATAAAAACGTGACTTTATTGGTTGACATACTTAATTGTAGACTTGAGTCAATAGATGACGGAGAACTTGGTGTTTTTATTCCCTTGGTGTCTGTTTCCAGAGAAGTCAGATAGATTTCCTCACTGTCATTCTTATGACCCAGACAGCTGGCAGACTGGGACCTATCAAATAAAGAAAGTACAACATACATGTACCCTCCCATTGCTAAGATAAAATAGAAAAATATACTTTGAGGATAATGTAAATGTCAAGGCCATTTCGAAAATCAAAGTAGGAAAATTTGACCATGTTTACAAGAGTATGTAAATTTGATTCCTGATTTAGGCCAGAGATTGACTCACTGAAACAGAATATCCGATATGTTCTGATTCTCTTTGAATGCTAAATGGATGGATGCTGCTAGTCTCTGGAATTCTTCCTCCTGACTGGCTACTGGATGTAAAACATTCCCTGAAAATTTATACAAGTAGTTTGTTAACAGTAGACATAGTGCTCACATGCAGAATCTTTTATACTATCTTTGCAAACTGTTACACTATTCAAAGGATTTAGCAGATGAGAAAAAGATGGTTGCATGAGGAACTGTCTCTTCTTTTCTTCATTTTTAATCTTAACAAATTCTCAGGTAGATAATACTCATTTGCAGAAATTGAAATCAGAAATAAGTTTTGGACTACATTCAGTGAAGAACATTTTATGAAGTTTCAATCAATAAACAATAGAATATACAGGAAATTCCTAATTAAAAAAAATCTTGGTGTTTAAGCCTTAACATTTATTCTTCTTACCTGAAAGGCTTCTGAAGAAAGAATCATACTTCAGATAAGATGATCCATCCAATGAACTCTAAAATTAAAGTAAAATGAAAGACAATGAATGTATGTTGTATCAATTTTTCATAATTTCAAACTATTACATAAAATTACTCTGAAAATTGAAAAAGGTTAACATGTGTATGAAGTGTTCTTGCAAACTAACCATTGACATCATTTTACTTATTGCCTACTAAAAATGTCTTATTTTTCACTCACCTCATCTAGCTCCTCACTCAAGACATCCTTTAATGAGCTGTCCAGGTCAGCTAATTGAGGAAGGGCATTCTTCCACTGTAAAACAATCAAGTCTTCATTTTTTATGAAATTTTTTGAAATCTTTCCATAACTAATGAAGGCAATTATGTTACAAATTTGCATATGCATGTATACACATTTATTTACAGTGTATTTTAATGATAACATATAAGGAAAAACATCTTACCAAACTCTGAATTATCTTATAGTCAGGAACACTGGAACTCTCCAACAGAAGAAGTAGCGAAATATCAGAGTGACCTTGAACATATAAAATGGCGTCCTGAAGATCATCCAGCTCAGGATACCACGTGGCTTCTTCTTGAAGTGTACTTTCACTGGTGAGAGAATCAAACTGACTGGATTTAAATGAGGAGTATTTAGAGCTTCGTATACTGCTATCAACAGAGCTCGGCGGAACTCTTTCCTCTACCACTGCATCACTCATTTCATCACATGACACCCCTAACCCTGACGACACTCCGCCGGGAAATTCTAGCCTCTCTTTCAGCTGTTCAGAAGAAGAGTGAGAGTCAGCAGTTGTTTGAATTTCAGATTCAGTCCCAGAAAGTCTGCTGTCCATATCAGACAGTTGTTCTGGAGTTATGCACTGTGGCAGCTCATCACCGGAATGTAACAGTGTCACATCTTGTGGAACTTTATCAGATATCTCCCGTATTTTTCCTTCATCAGAATCATTTACTGTTATTCCAATATCAGAATTATTTGCATCACTTTCTTCAATACTATTTGTCTCAACAGTGGAATGGACCTCGGCTAATATTGTCACCTCGGAACTCACATTTTTTCTATTAATATGCTTGACATCATCATTAGAACTGGACAAAATGCTATTTATAACATTATTTTGAGTGCAGTCTTCATCGTTGGTAAATTCCACTTCAATCAGTGTCTCTTTATTTCTATTCTTTGGACTTTCATTCTCTAAGTCACTAATGGAGACCTCTTGTTCTGAGGTATTGTCCGCGTTAGTCGCTGGATCTGACGGAGATTCAAACCCCTGGGTAATCTGTGTGGGGTGATCAGCTGGGGTCCATAGATTGCTATTCTTCCTATTTTTACTTTTCTTTGATTCCACAGAAGTATCAGAGAGATATCCCTTGTCTTTCTCACTCACTGAAATGGATTCTAATTTTTCAGGAATCATTTCCATTTCTTTTCGTTTTGAGTTCTCTCCCCTGCTCTGAGTTCTTGCTGATTGATGGCTTTCAGATTTATAAGTAGTCCATACAAACTTAGAAGTTTTACAGTGCCTGTTCCCAGCATGTTTCTTGAGTCCAACTGTAGAAAATTCCTCATTTGTCAAAAATATGGTAACTAGTCTAATTCCCACGGGAAGATCCACCCCTGTCAAAATAGAAAAAGGCAAGATGAAAAAAATGTAAATATCATAAATAGAATTTGTTTCTAATTTTCAAATGGGCAATATTAGTATTAAATTTCATATAATTTTTTGTTTGATACAATATGTTTTAAAGCAATGATTAATTGATTATCATATTTCAGTTGGTAATCACCTGTATTGACAGACAGACAGGGAAGCTGCAAAGACAAAAATTATAGACTATTAGATTCAGGCCAAAATAAAATTATAGTTTGTTTGGAATTGCCGCCCGCCTCATTGAAATACCCCCCGCTCAAAAAATTTTACTGGCAAAATATTGGAAATATTTTTTTTACCGTCTTATGTCCGACATCGCTTTTTAAAAGTTAGTTCATTCTTCGAAATAGCTTTTTAAAGTCGGGTTTGAGCTCACATAAATTTAACAACACTTGTCAATAAAACGCTTTCTTCATAGTATTTATGATATAGGGAATATAGTTTGCGATTTGACAAAATGAAAGCCGCTAAAATGTCAGACCAAGTTGGATCAGTGGATGTGAAAACATTCAAGCGTTGAAGACCAGAACATTTATGCATCTTCATAAAAATAAAAGGTGAATAAAAAATTAAATGGAATGATACACCGATACCTGGAAAGAGCTATTGTAATAGATTGCCCTTTGAACTTGATAGGATAAGTCCGTCATGTTGAAATTAAAAATGATCGTTCAGTTCCCAGTTGAAAAATTACATGGGTCAGAAATGTTTATTCCCAAATACAAAAGGAACCAGAAGTCTCTGTCGAGACTGTAGCTCTACTGGTTTATACTTAAAACATAGGAAGAGAAAAGAAGCAGTTGGGACTTGAAACTTTAAAACAGCAATAAATAGAAAATGATCCTTGCTGCTCGTCAAAATAAAAACAGATGCACAGAATTATGTATCTTAATATAGTCTACTTGTGTGCCAAGTTATATTGAAATCGGACCAAAACTGTAGGAGGAGTAGCATTTTGAAAGAATTTCACAGAAATATCTATTTTTAGTTACTATGGCAACACTGTTCGTCGAAATCAAAAACCGATGCACAGAATTATGTATCTTAGTGTAGTCTACTTGTGTGCCACGTTATATTGAAATCGGACCAAAACTGTAGGAGGAGTAGCATTTTGAAACAATTTAACAGAAATTTCTATTTTTAGTAACCATGGCAAAACCGTTCATCGAAACAAAAACCGATGCACAGAATTATGTACCTTAGTGTAATCTACTTGTGTGATAAGTTATATTGAAATCGGACCAAAACTGTAAGAAGAGTAGCATTTTGAAAAATTGTTTACAGACAGACAGACAGACGGACGGACGACGGATGCATTACTATCGCATAAGCTCTTCTGGTCTCTGACCAGTAGAGCTAAAAATGTTGTCTGTCAGTATGACAAGTCTTTGAAACCTAATGTTGAAACTGATTCATGGCGAACACTCTAGAACATACCAAGCACCCCCTCCCTTTTTTCCACAAAACATCCCAACTATTCTTAAGAAATTTTGTGAAGGGCTAAATTTCAAAGAGAAATGCTATGAAATACACTAATAAAATTGTTTTAAAAAGATTTGTAAAGAAATTGTTTTAAAAAGATTTTTAAAATAAAGAAAAAAGTTTGACGCTGAAATTTGACTTTTAATAGATAAGCAAATCGAACATCGAAGAAAGATTGATACTTGAGTACCATTCTGTGTATATTTTAGACAAAAATGATATTAACCAAATAAAAGAAAGAGGGAAATTAAGAAAATCACCACTGTTCATTGCGATTTTTAATTTCTATTAATAAGCTTTAATTTGTAAAAAAATAAAAATAAAATAAATTCCCTCCCTCCCTCCTGGGTTTGAAAACCCCCAGGCGGCAATTCCAAACAAACATTCTTTTTAAGGATGGCCTTATATATTCAAAATAACATACATTTTTTTATTATAAGGTGACATTAATTTTAGATTACAACGGATGGAATACATTCATCATTTTGAATGCAAACAAATTACTAGCAAAGCTTTTAATATTGCAATTATTTACCAGGTAATTGTTAAACTTTCATTCTTTTTTAAAAACAAAATAAGTTACCTGTGGTGTTACAAGTATTAACTTCCTACTCAGCTCAGGTGATGCTTGAGTACACAAAACTCTAACAAAGAGTAAAATATGTATAAAATGATAAATTCATTTATAAAAGAAACCAAATACATGTTCTGTATCCATTAGCTAAATTTACCTATTTTTGTACATGACAAGTCCCACCAGGACCCCTGGTCTTCTCTGACTAGACTGTAAAATGTGTGAAGCTTGAAGGAAAAGTTCTCCTCTACCCTGAAAGTTAAAGTGGTCAGTGATTAAAAGGGGAATAACTCCAGACAGCTTAATTCCAAATGACACATGCAGCTCTTTCTAACTGTATATCATAATCATTTTAAAAAAGAAAAAAAGAAAAGCCAATTTATTATACTGTCAAAAATTAATCCCTTTCAATTATTTTTTTTAAATCTACAGATAAATGTATAGCCAATGGGAAAAAATTAATATGGTTCAGCTGCATTCATGTTTACCTTAGGAATGTTTAGGGATGGCTGGATCTGGAATGCTTGTGTAAGAAAACTGTCATGCCACGAGCCACAGGGATACAGTATGTCCCAGATACCCCGCAGCTCTCGTAAAAACCCCTGGTGGTTACCAAGATACTGCTGTGAAAAGATACACACAGGTAAAATAAGTCTTCTTCCTGTTTAGGTAAGGATAAGTGCAGAAATTTATCAAGCATTTTGAAATATTTTTTCACATGCACTTACATTTCTGATATTTACTATACTTCCACAATACAGGACAAAAGCATTGTACAGGAAATCCAGCTGCTGTTTTAACTGGTCATTGGAATCCACCTGATTTCCTTCTAGTCCCTACAAAACCTTATATATCTGTACATTCAATTTTAAGAACTGTGTTAAAACATAAATAGAAATTCTAGGATTTATCTACATGTATTACAAAACTATATACTTCTGTAGCTCACTGATCTGAAAAAGTTGAGATGAGCAACCTTTTTAATTGGTTCCCCAGTTCAACACACTACATACATGTTTCTGCAGCTTTAACTATACTTACTAAACTATAATCTCCAATTCTCTTCAGGCAGTACTTTCCACGCTTTAGAGCAAAGATACATGGGGGTGATTGACTGAGGGTGGTGGACAGGAACTCAGACATTCCCATCAACTGACCACACATGGCACACTGGTCATTCTCCTCCACCTATGTTAATTACAACAAGCTAAGTTTGCACAGATCAAGTCAGGCATAGCTTAGTGTACTACCCAAATACTTATAAGTGCTTAACCAAATACATGTATACATAATATACTATTTGTATCATAATATGCTGTCATTTATTAACAGAAATAGAAAGTACATGCTAAATGGAGTATAGTAGTATATATACTTACAAATGGGGGATAAAAGTAGAGAATTGCATCTTTGAGGTCATCTTCCTCTTTCTGGAGCATCGTGTGATCATATATAAAGAAAACACCCACTCCATTTTTCCTACAAACAAGATGTGTTTGTGAAACACTGATGCCCCCATATGGCAACATAGTGAAGGTGAAGCTTTCTCAAATGCAGATCAAATATGTTGGTACCAAAGTAAGGCCTTTTCACAAGAAATGTGAAATATAAAAAACTAGCTACACCTGTTTCAGGGTTATGACCAAGGTTAACATTTTATAATATAGGATAAACTCCGGGTCAAGGTCAAAGGGTCAAGGTTGTTGGGTTCTAAAGAAAGGCCTTGTCTCAAAGATTACGTATGGGAAGTATGAAAGTGCTGGCCCTTACCGTTCAAAAGTTATGGCCAAGGTTAAAGTTTGTAAAAAGTAGGTCAAACTGTAAGATCAAGGTCGAAGGGTCAAGATTCTTGATATCCAGTGAAAGGACTTGTCACAAGGATTACACATATGAAATGTGAAAGCTATAGCCCCTACTGTTCAAAAGTTATGGTCAAGGTTAAAGATTATAAAAAGTAGGTCAAACTCCAAGATCAAGGTCAAAGAGTCAAGGTTCTTGATATCAAATGAAAGGTCTTGTCACAAGAATTAAATTTGTGAAGTATGAATGCCCTAGTCCAAACCCTTCAAAAATTATGGTCAATGTTGTAATTTTAATGTAGGTCAAACTCCAAGGTCAAGGTCAAAGGGTCAAGGTTCTTGGTATCCAATGAAAGGTCTTTTCATCAGAATTATATATGTGAAGTATGAAAGCCCTAGTACTTAATGTTTAAAAGTTATAGCCAAAGTTAAAGTATTTTCATAGATACGGAAATCTCCAAGGTCAAAGTCAAGAGGTAAAGTTTGTTGGTATCGAATGAAAGGTCTTTCCACAAAAAATACATATATCAAATATAAATGTCCTGGTATCTATTGTTCAAAAGATATGGCCAAAGTGGGTTAAACTCCAAGGTCATGGTCAAAAGGTCAAATTTGGTGGTACCCAAAGAAAGGTCTTGTCACAAAGAATACACAGGTGAAATATGAATGTCATAGCTCCACTTAATCACAAGTTATGCGCAAGGTTAAAGTTTTTGTGGACAAACAGACAGACAGACAGATGGACACGACAAAAACTATATACCCCGAAACTTCGCATAAAAAGTTGGGTTTTTTTTAATGATTGGAAAATATACCAAGTTTGATGTAAGCATAACAAGAATCTGGATATACCTAGATAAAGTAAGGTTAAACAAAAGTTTGCAGAGTCACTTGACTTTTTTTCACCTCTAACTAGACATCCAACATTTTGTTTACCAATAATAATTCACAAGGCTATCAACAGAAATAAATTTATCATGCATGAGGTATACAAAATATCATGCCAAATACCTGAAAATTTACTAAGATAGCATTGTTGTGAAGTTTACCATCATTGTCATATCACAGTTGTTTGAGGTAATAAGCAGGGTCATATGAATAAAGCATGGAATGTACATTTTCTCATTATTTCTTAAGGGCTTGCTCTTCATAATCATATCAAAGCATCAGATGTTTTAATGGACCTAAGCTTTTGATAAGTTTGATTTCTCTTAGCAGCTCACAGTTCTTGACTGGAAGTGGTTATACGGTCCACTGCTTCAAAGGTTCACTAGTCTGGCGGCCCACTAGTCTGAAGGTTCACTAGTCCAGAGACATGTAATAGAGGGTCTAAATTATACATGTATGTCTCTGAAAAGTCCAAAAATCCAATATGTTACATGTTCTCAATCGGACTAGTGAACCTTTGGACTAGAGGACCATCGGACTAGTGAACCTTTGGACTATAGGACCGTCGGACCTGTGAACCTTCAGACTAGTGGACCGTCGGACTTGTGAACCTTCAGACTAGTGGGCAGACGGGAGCCAGTCAAAGCGTTCCCAATTAAAACCGTCCCGGTCAAAGCGTTCCCAGATTTTGGTCAAAGCGTACCATGATTTTGGTCAAAATGTCCCCAGATTTTGGTCAAAGCGCCCCCTGACATATTTTATAGAAATATGATACTACGAAACCGCCCCCTGATTTTGGTCAAAGCCCCTGGTCAAAGCGCCCCCTGAATTTGGTCAAAGCGCCCCCTGACATATTTTTATAGAAAAAGGAAGTTTCCAAAGCACCCCCAAATATTGGTCAAAGCGCCCCCTGATTTTGGTCAAAGCGCCCCCGGACATATTTTTATAGAAAAACAATGTTTGAGGTTTGGTCAAAGCGCCCCCAAATTTTGGTCAAAGCGCCCCCTGATTGTGGTCAAAGCGCCCCCTGACATATTTTTATAGAAAAACGAAGTTTCCAAATTGCCCCAAATATTGGTCAATGCGTCCCCTGATTTTGGTCAAAGCGCCCCCTGATTTTGGTCAAAGCGCCCCCTGACATATTTTTATAGAAAAACGAAGTTTCCAAAGCGCCCCCAAATATTGGTCAATGCGTCCCCAAATTTTGGTTAAAGCGCCCCCTGACATATTTTTATAGAAAAACGAAGTTTCCAAAGCGCCCCCAAATATTGGTCAAAGCACCCCCTGATTTTGGTCAAAGCGCGCCCCCAAATATTGGTCAATGCATCCCCAAATTTTGGTCAAAGCGCCCCCTGACATATTTTTAATACAAAAACAACGTTTGAAGTTTGGTCAAAGCGCTCCTTATGGAAAATTTATGTTTGAATACCATCCCAAATTTTCAAAGCGCCTCCAAATCGATTTTTTTAACTTTTTTGAGCCGACACATGTTTTGGCAAAACGCAACGGCAAAACATAAAAGAGAAGTACCCCCAAAGCGTAACAGACGGACGGACACCCCGATCACTATATACCCTCCCATTTCTCAAGCGAGGGTAAAAAAAATCTAAAATCAAAGAAAATTGAAAGAGGCATATCATGTAACCCCGAAATAGGGAGTAATTCATATGTTCTTTAAAAAGACCCAACATTTATAGCACTGTCGTTTGTTGGAATAAAAGGGGTAGGGTGGGGGGTTTCTGTTGATAGCTTTTACATTGCCAAAAAAAAATCCAACTTCATAAACAATACGTTCAATTCTTTAAGTACTCACCTCATTTCATCTGGATGAATAAAGTTTCGTAGACTAGCGTGTTTGGTACAATCGTTTGTTAATTAATTTTCCTAAAATTATTAAACTATTTCAAACTATCAACGATGTATGATAAATTGAAAGAAAGTTCAAAATGGTTTACTGGAATATTTGTAGGATTAAGTACATAGTTCTGGGTTAAGAGAATTTACAGATTTCATTTAATAACGTCGTGATGACGTCGTTACGTCAAAAGTTGTAATTATTAAAGAAAATGCACCATTTTCCCAAACCTCTGGCGGAAAAAACGGTAAGAGATAATTCCAAAAAATAAAATGATTTTGAAAGGACAAATCGTGGGCATGTTTGTAAAAAACTTCAATCAGATTTAGAGACAGGGCCGCCTCGTTATTCATACCGTACAGTACTACACAGTTCTTTTCAAAATATAAAACACATTAGTTTTTTATCTTAATTAACATTTCAAAGTTTCACAATATCTTAGTCTAGGCAAGAACTCGATGATTTAAGAAAAGTGATGAAAGTTATCTATTTTATTTATTTATTTCAATTAGAGAGAAAATAATCCATCGAAAGTTCCAAATATTCTCGCTATATACGGTATATTATTGTTCTATCAAAATTCATTACTGTTAAAATTTGTTTACAATGATATGAATGTCTGAATTCATGTTTACTGTGTATACACGGACTTCAAATCTCAATGAAACTTAATGATCGATCTTCCTGTATACCTACCTGTGCGTAATATTATGTGGTATTACATAATTAGGTACATGACAAGTGAGAAGATTGGCACGTGCGCTATACACACTCCAAGGTGGGATATCATGAACCAGAACCACAAAATCAGAATTAGTAAATAGTAAACATTTTTTCTTTTTTTTGATTTGTTTATAATTAATTAAATGACAGCCAAATAATTTATTAAAGTCATATATATATTTTTTAAATAGTACATAATAAAAGAAACAACACCGCGGGCGTGTAGATTTTCTCGGCAGGCGTGCTCTAAGACGGAAGCTTATAAAACGAATAAAGCATCGGACATGACATGCTTTTTAAATTATTTTTGTTTGGTAAAACATTAAGTAAATAGTCTATTAAATTAATAAATGTAATAACTTTAGTCAATAAATAACAAGACAGGCATATAGATTTTCTCGGCAGGCGTATTTTCCCCTGGCAGGCGTCGACAGGCGTATTTTAGACCGAATAAAAGTTATCAGATGTTATTGACACCTAGGGGACACAATTTAAGTTTAAAGTAGCAAATGTACGTATATTAAATTGACCTTGAAATACTTCGGAAGTACTACATGACCCCCCCCCTTTCCAATTTAATAACATCATTTTTTTCACACAAATTTTGACTGGGGGCGCTTTGACCAAAAACAGGGGGCGGTTTAGAAACTGTGTTTTTCTATCAAAATATGTCAGGGGGCGCTTTGACCAAAATCAGGGGGCGCTTTGACCAAAAACAGGGGGTGGTTTAATTTATCAAAATTTGTCAGGGGGCGCTTTGACCAAAATCAGGGGGCGCATTGACCAAAATCAGGGGGCGGTTTAGAAACTACGTTTTCCTATCAAAATATGCCAGGGGACGGTTTGACCAAAATTAGGGGACGGTTTGACCAAAATCAGGGGAACCAAAATCAATATTTCTATTAAATATGTCAGGGGGCGCTTTGACCAAAATCTGGGGACATTTTGACCAAAATCATGGTACGCTTTGACCAAAATCTGGGAACGCTTTGACCGGGGCGGTTTTCATTGGGAACGGTTTGACTGGATTTCGGGCAGACCCCCTGGAAGTAAACTAAAAGCTTCATAAACGTCAAGTTTCGCAGACACATGCATTAATTATGGGGAAAAGCCTTGACTACTGTCCATATTGCAGAGTTGTACCAGCTCTCAACTATTCTTCAAGTGGATTAGGCATATACATGATAAACGACCTGGCATATATAAACCATTTTGACAGTTTTGAAAGATATGCAAGGATGTATTTCATTTATTTCAACACCGCGATGCAGACTAATGAGTAAAGTGATAATAAAACATTCTGTACTTTATCAAATGTTGATTATTAATTTAGCTTCAGACAATTCTCATTTATTTTTATGCATATAAATTAAATAAAAACAAACCTGAGAGCGGACATGTTTTGATCACATGACTAATCATAAGACGGGAAACCACCACAAGATGGCGCTATCGTCTTGATAGTTGTACCTTGAGTTATTCGAACATCTTCCACTTTCTCCAACTTTTCTTAATATTAAAAAATACATTATAATTTAAGATAAAATGAAAAACATATTTTTAAATAAACAAAATATTTACAATCACTTTTTATTTTGATTTTTAGGCTATAATTCCACTTTCTCCAACTTTTCTTAATATTAAAAAATACATTATAATTTAAGATAAAATGATAAACATATTTTTAAATAAACAAAATATTTACAATCACTTTTTATTTTGATTTTTAGGCTATAATTTTTTCAACCAGTGTTTTTTACCCAAACATTTTAATCGGGAAAAATTAATTTGGACCAAATTAAATAAAAAACAAAACCATAGCTATTTTCATATGCATATGTAAAACCGCAGAACGCCTGGGGAGCCCTCCCATTTTTATTTATTTATTTTTTTTTTTAGTAAATTATTTTGCTTTAGTTTTAGACCCCCTCCCATGAATAAGAAATTCTATAAATTGAAAAAAAAATAAATAAAATTTCTCCAGGAAGAAAAGAAAAGAAAAATTCATCTCTCATCAGGTACAACATTCGTGGAAAAAGGAGGGGGAGGGGGGTCTGAGAGCTGAGGAATTTTTATAGTAAAAAAGAAAAAATAATACATTCCTATTTTTCAATTTTTATCATCTTTGCTAGTCAAGGGTTTCTGATACGCTACTCTCCTAATGAGAAGAGTAGCATATCAGACACCCTTGGCTAGCGAAGATGAATTTTTATTAATTTTTTTTAATCCATTTGTAAGGAAACAGTAAAATTTTTACGTACTTTTTAAAAAAAGATGATTTTAGCACCTTAAAATACGAACTCTTCTGTTTAAATTATACGAATACATGTAAATACAAAAAATAATTCATGACTCAAGTGACTAAAGTACAACATTGATTTTATCTCAACTTTTGAACTCAAGTTTATATTTAAAAAATTCTCTCTCAGCTTTTCTTTCTTTAGACGAAGATAGCTCTGGATGTACAGGCGTATGCCAATATAATTCAAAACACTCTGTACTATAGATGAAATGTTTTATAGTGTTTTGCCACACAAAATGCATGAAATACAATGTTTATATTTCATGTATTATTTTATTGAAAGCATTTTATCGTTCTTGCATAACAATTAAATCAATACAATGTATCAAAATTAGGCTATCGAGATATACATGTATATATGCAATGTACAACAGAAGAAATGAACACACTGGTTCGCACAATTACTGATGAAAATGAATAATGCACTACAATATTATTCACATCCATAATTTCCACGCAGAATTTTCTTCATTGGGGGAAGGAATAAAGGTATTCAAGAATGATACACATGATGAATAAATACATAAATAATGTGCTATACTTGTACCACAATTGCCCTATGACATTCTGTAAGAGATTTAGTGTGACGGTAAAGCAGGTATACACACATATTTCAATCACGGAATAGTTTCTATCATCAATGAAACAATAACGTCTCTTCTTAGGTATTGAAAATATTGACAAACACAAGTGTCTTGTTATGACAAACAGTACAAGAAAACTTAGACGTGTACAGGAATGAGGAATGGACGAATGAAGGAACGGTGACGAACACATCGGTCATTTGTGTAGTTCTGTCAATTTTCCAATCAGTGACGTAAACGTCAAAGTTCCCTACGGCGGAGGCGCTCTCACGGGACTAGGTGTCCTTGACCTCAGGCGATCTTTGCCCTCTCTTTCGTACTTGTCCCTATTTTCGGACGAGAACTTCTGTAGATAGTCTCTTGCGTACGAGTTGTAATACTTCATGGAGTCACTGCTGTGTTTGCTTAGTGGTCCCGCAGGCGTGTCACCTGTAAGGTGCAAAATAGTACCCCTGGTAGGTTATATCCAGATAACAGGTACTCAAAGACAATTAATATACTTGATTTGATGAAACTTTCACAAATCTTTATTACATATTGCCATTGTGCATATTTTACTTTTTGATCTGACATATATTTTGGACCATAAAAAAAAATGTATTATATTAAACAATGATTATGCATTGCTCACATATTTTTATATTCATTTGAAAAAATAATTTTTAAAAGTACTTGCAAATTATGATTAAAAGTTACATGCATAGATTTTCAGAAAAATTTAAAAATGTTTTCTTAGTATATTTTTTTAAAATAATTTGATATTTGATAAATGAACAATTCCTACCTTTATAAGAAGGTCTGACCGGTAAAAGTGGAGAAATGGGAAACATCGGTGGCATGGAGAGAGGAAGCCGGGGTAACCATGGAAACAGAGATGGACGGACGGAGGAAAATGCTGAAGGGCTGTAAGACAGAGGGTGGGGCATGATGGGAAACGGGTCAATCCGGTGTCGGAAGACATCAAACATCCTGACGATGTTTTTCTCCTGTTTCCTCCATTTTGCTCGTCTGTTTTGAAACCAAACCTTAAAGCAAATTTCATTTAATATATTTAAAATATAGAATTGTACAAAATATAGAGCATAAGAAAAAAATTTGTTATTGTTAGTTTAAGATTTTTTTTTTTAAATAGTTGACTTTATTTGAACACAGAAAAAAAAGTTTATCTTTACATAAATTTGATGTGCGCAGATTGAATCTTTTCATTATCAAATAATTATTGCATAAAGAAACCGATAACGATTCTATACTTTTAAAGTAAACCCCCCATCTCCCTAAAAACTTTTCGCGTTTCCCCTTCTAATCCTTTGTCCCTCGTCTTGGATTAAGACACCATGCTAAACTTTTGACTCATATTAAACAATAAACAAACTTGTTTAGACAGATTATACAAAAATTGTTTTTTGTGATAAATAAACCAAGATCTAATAATGTATCGTAAGGGATTTTCTGATTAAGAGGATAGTACTAGCTGTGTATTGTATAACGCTATCTACTGGTGATAACTCGAGATTAGGAAACGTGCTTCAGTGTTTTGGGGGATTACTTTAACAGACTTTTTTATTATTTACAAAAGATTAAAAGCGTCAAGTTTTGGCCATAAATCGCCTTAATCAGCTGCAGTTCAGATGTCAAAAGTTTGCTGATCGTTTATTAGAATGATATTACGCCAATTATAGACGGATTAGGCAATAATTCTTCACTAAGTTTATGTTTTAATTTTCAGATTTGAATTTATAATCTTAATCGGCTTCCTAAACCGCATATCCGTGTGACTAATTATGAAAGTTTTGCAAAGTGATTTGAAAACATGTATTCTAAAGTCCAACATATTTGAACGATTGAAAGAGAGATTAAGATAGAAACTGGATTAGGATTTACGAGAGAACAGCGATGATCTCAGAGTAAAGCCCCATATAACTAAAGAAAACTTCCAATACACTCCAATTAGTGTGATTAAACTTTACATTACAGCACTAATTTGATGAATTAAAATCAGAACATTTTATTATTTACTTAATCCCCAAAATCAAATGTTTGAGGGTATATACATAATTAAATCCCTGAGTCCTAAGTAGTTTCTTTAAGTTCATATGCAATTTTAAATGAATCTCGTTAAATTATCCGACACAACCTTAAAACACTGGCACTTAATCAAAAGTTTAATGAGATGCCGTTAAACGTTCTCTATCTTGTTACACACTACAAAAGATTTCTATAAAATCCAATATACATGTTTATTGTTTAAAAATTAGATTTTTCCTTTACTTTCCATGCATTTTTATATAAATAGTCATTTTAAAAGTTACAATATATGTTATTCAATTAAAATTAATTAGATTAAAATCATAAATGGAAAGATTTTAAGATTTTGATTTTCTAGAAATTATATTTTTTTAAAAAACACAATAAACAAATTCTTTTTCTCATTATTAATTATAATACAAATATATCAAATATGAAAAGATATGATTCAATATAATTGTTAATATGTTTTATCTATGAAATTGTTTCCTATATAAATATATACTTTAAAAGTCTTACGTTTACAAAGTTTATCTGAACTGTCCAAAAAATGGATATTGGACCTGTCGATGAAATACTGGACCATTGTGAAGTTAATCATTTTAACGGGAAAAAGAATTGTTAAGTTCATGTGTCCGACAAATTGCCCTTGCATCCAGTCAATAAATGTTTAATTTTTAAATAATTTCTTATTTAACATACTGAGACAAAAAAGTATTCTTTCATCTATGAGGGGAATGGGGGGGGGGGTTGAGTCGACCCTCTTTTTTTCCGGGGAGATGGTAATGGAGCCAGTGACGCAACCTCGATGAAAATATAATTTTATCAGAACTTTCTGATTTCGATCATTATATTTCTCTTCACATAAACTTGTGAATTTTCTTGGTGCAGGTTGTATTCCAATTCTCAGAGGGATGAATTCTTGTGGCAGACAACGTATTTTCGGGAAAACAAATGCTGATTATTAAAATACTAGTATACATAAAAATGTTATTTTGTGTTTTATCAAAAACATGTATGCATATTTTTATACTTGTACAAGAAATCAGCGCAGGAATTTGTATACTGGGGTATATAATAAAGGACACTGAAAAAAAGTGAAAAAAAAGTGAAGAAAAAATTTAGGTCCCAAGCACCTGACTTCCTTTCTTCTCGGTTTCATAAGAAGACAAATCATCGCCACGCACTTCTCTTAGTAATCCCCATCCCGACGCATAACCCAAATACTTATTTCTTTAAATGTTTACTTTGAAAAGTTGTTGACGTGTTTTATATATTGTATTCTAATGAAATCAGATTGATAATGGTCCTTTAAATTCTAAATACACGTGGATTGGTATTTCTAAGGAGATTTTGTGTTAAATCGCTGAATTTACCCCCGTTTTCAAATAAAGTAAGACACTAATCCATCGTTAATTAGCTCATCACTTCTGCCCAGGAGCAGGAATTAGTTCCTCCCTCGTTTCAAATTCCTCGCGCCCAGCAGGTCATTTTTAAAGTCTCTAATATCGCTCTACAATCTTGGCGGGTTTACTTGAGTCAATAATGATTTGAATTACTCCCTTGGAATAAAAGCGTTTAGCGCATGATAAACAGACAATGCATCGTAACCAATCCTCTTATGAATTTGTCGAAAGGACAGTTGTGTGCTTTCTACGTCCTGCTGTTTTTAATGTATTGCTGGCCAGTGCCTGAAGCTGTCTTTATGATGGACAAAAGTGGTCAAAATTTGTCAGCTTCTCTAGATACGAGGGGATTACCATATCTAATAATTATGAGTCTTTTGGATACTTTGTCAAGTATTGCCGAATAAGGTTAACAAAATCTAAATCCATATAAATTTTATGTAAATGTGTCGGTTTAAAAAAAAAAGGGGTTTTGCGATGAGTACATATGCATGTAATGGTATAATTAAATTGTGTGTACACAATAAATAAATTTCTTGGAATTCAATATCAATTTTTTTTTTATAAAAGTAATTTTTAAAAAAAAATTACATTCGAAATCTTTCATTGAAATTCTTAAAATTAATTTTGTTTTCTAATTATTTTTTTTTACCCCATTCTTTTCATGATCTTTATTCTCACTTACTATTTATTGTCAGATAGTGAGGATTTTTTTTTTTCGTTTTTGCTTTTATCATTTTCTTTGAGCGAAATAATTGGAATCAATATAGAATAATAAAAAACATCTTTTACTTTATTTATTGACTACATGTAGATAGAAGATAAAGTACATTGCAAGCAATTTCAATTTCATTGTCTGAAATTGTGATTATTATAAGTTATAAAACTGTAAGTTATAGAGTTATAAAACTTTGTAATGCAGATATTACAAAATATAACTCTGTAAACACATATTTGCAAAAAATGAATAAATACATATAAAATAAAGTGAAAAATAATAAAATTTGGTTTTAAAAACTTTGAATTACTAGCCCAAATACTTAGTAAGTCGTGCAATTTCTTAGATCAATATTTTCTGGATAAACCAAGTGCCTGTATATCTTATTTAATTTAATAATATTAATAAAAAAGTAAACAAACAAAATTATTTTTTTTTTAAAAAATCCTTTAAATGGAATGGGATGGACAATGATCAGTTTTCTTAAGAAATTTTAAGGATGCTTGCTTTCAAACTTTATGTATTAAAATTTAAACAACGTATGCCTTTAGTCCTGATTTTAAGAACAAAAGAAGGAGGGTAAATTTGGTCATAATCTTGCACATTTGTTGTCTTTTATTTTTTGTAATAACAATAAAATATTCAATATAACTTTTATACATTGATTTGTTATAAACTTACTGGAAGTTCCTAATTTATTCATTTGAATATACTAGTATTCGCAAATATATGAACAACTAGATTTTTTGAATATACTAAAGTTTCATGAAAATTATTTCCGAGAACTCGCCTCAAAATGCTATAATAATGTTGAAAAGAAACCTAAGAAAAACGATAAGGTCTTCAACTGAAGACGGAAGACCTTAATTGCTATTTAGGTAAAAAAAAATCAACAGAGGTATTCAGAAAGAGATTTTTTTATGTATACCTGCACTCTGGCCTCTGTTAGATCCACCTTTTCAGCGATCTGTTCCCGGAGCGTACAGTCCGGGTAGTGGGTGTGTTGGAACACCGCCTCTAACTCCCGGAGCTGGTCCGAGGTGAACGTCGTGCGGTTCCGGCGCTGTTTCTTCGCTGCGGAGACCTCGTCTGTGTCATCATCATCCGCAGTTGGAGATTCTGTAAAAAAAAATTTGGTCTGAAATTAAAATATTTTTAGGGATAAGGATTTGACATTGTTTTATGAAATCCGCTTAATAAACAAATTAAAAATTATTTTTGTTGAATGTAAAATTCTGAATATGAATTTTTGAAGAAACAAATGTTTTTTGACTTTGAAAGTTGTAAAAAAAACGTAAATAATTACAGTGAAGTAATATCACAGTTATGAAGAGAAAACTAGAATTCGAAATGTTTTGAATAAAGAGAGATTGTTTAGACTGAAGGAAATTTCTTCACATGATAGTTTAAAATTTCCCTACTTCATCTGACAAAAAATTGTCCAACAAAACTTAAATATTTATCAAAAAATTTTCTACTTTTTAGGAAAATGTTACAGGTTTTAAATATTTATCAATAACTTTTGCTGCCTTTATTATAAAGGAATTTTTTTGTTTTTTTTTTTTTACATATTTCATTACAAAGAAATGAAGATTTTTAAAATGAGTACCTGGGGTTTCCGTGGAGTCGTTTATAGAGTCTGTTTCGTCGACGACATCAATTTCTTCGTCCTCTTCTTCCGTAAAATTCTTAACAAGTTTCTGGTTCTCAGTCCGCGATTTTTCAATCTCTGATGTCATTATAAAATATCAAATGTCAATAAATCTATACTTATCACATAATTTACATTTAAAAATAAATTTAAAAATATCCAGCACTAAATAAATATTTTCTTCACTTTTCGGTAAAGTAGCAAATGCTGAGTCCGTCGTTTGGCGTGTCTAATTAAGAATTAATGATGTCGGTTTCATGTCTGATAGAATTATCCTCAGTATGTGGATTGTGAATGTTGATCCATGCATTTAAATTTAACGAGTTTGGTCAGGGATAGGGCTATTTTCAGCCAAGTGTGGAGTATCAGCTTAGAGCTCGGTGGGATACGCCCCCTTAGTACAATCCGATCATTTACCATTCAGTTTGGTTATTCTTGTAAAACATAAAACTTTAAGAGTTAGAGAAATTATAGTTGATTATTTAAAAAAGAGAAGACTTTGAAATTTTCGACAAACTGAAAGTGTCTCAAACATATGTATTTTTTTTATCTTATTAACAATCAGAATCACATGTCATAATTTATTACATTATAAGATAATAAGTATATGCTTTAACTTTTTTAAAGAAACAATTTAATCCTTAAGGAACTCGATCAACCTGTATAATTTTATTTCAATACATTTCCATATGAAGAAATAATTATTTTGTTGAAAAGGATACCTCAACCTACACAGAATCGATAAAATTTAATAAATTTTTCACATATCTCTGTATAGTTGCATACTATACTTCATAAGTTTCATAAAGCGAATTTGGAGTATCTGTGACGAGAGAGAGAGAGAGAGGGGGGGGGGGGGGGGAACATACATTTTTGTGGGTTTGTGGATCGTACAAACGTTGCCGATGAGAAGAAGAAAAAATTAAAACCAAAACAGAACACTAGATCATATACTGACAGGTGACAGGGTTACACTGGATTTAGGCCTACTGCATCCACATTATTTAGACTAACTTTTGATCAGTTTCTTAACCCCCCCCCCCCCCCCACAAAAAAAAAATTACAATAAACAATGCTAAAACAAATTTTGGAAAAAGAAATATACAAGTTTACTGATTAATCAATTAAGCATTTTTTTCAAAAGTGTGATTTATCAGTATTTTCAGACTAGCTGGCCCCTTTAATGGCTTTATTAGGCTACCGCTGAGTAAGCTGTACTGTAGACTAGTGAACAGACAGTATACAAATTGAAAACTCTGACATTTTACATCCAAAACTTTCCCAAAAAACTGTCCAATAAAATTTCAGAAATGATAAATATATATTGATCATTTAAATACTTTCTTCTATAAAATTATTAAACACGTCTCTGTCAAAATATTACCACTCACCAACTTTCCCACGCTTTGTCATATTCACCGGAAGAAGACTTTTCCCACAATGCAAGGTTTGTAGCAGACGCCCGGTCCGGCAAAGGCGTCTACTTTTGAGGTAAAATATACGATATTTATGCAAATTTTGATCCAAGATGAATTGCATTCTTTAGGTAATATGCAGATCATGTAAACGTACATTGTGATGCGTATCATATGATACATGTAATTGTAATATAGCATAGTAACTTAAAAGTTATATGATATCACGTGAGCATGTCATTTTCGCATTGCTTGCATCTTGGTTGTTGATTTCATCAGTAGGCACATTAAATTTACATCTAGGCGTATGTTTACAAATACAAATATACACAGAAATAAAACTTTGTTTTAGAACCTGTATCCAGTGATCTGACTCCCTTAAAACAACATGGAAACGAGGAGGAAGAGACATCTCTCTTCAATGGAATCAAGCTCGAAGTCCAAAAGACCCAGGAAAAGGAACGAAGTTTCACTGCAAGAAACCAAAGAAAGTTCGGATCCAGGTAAAGTATGAAGATGAAGTCTGGCCCGTAGGAAGCAATTTTTGTTTTCATGTTGGGGGGGGGGGGGGGGAGGGACACGGCCCTACATTTTCAGTTTGGGTTAGGCCTACCAAAAATTAAAAAAAGGGTCATCAGACAATATTTTTGAGGGGGCTTAAGTGTATGGAAAGTCCCTAGCTGTGTTTTGTACATGTCAGCAAAATTATTGGGAGACACACCCCCTTTCCCTCTGCTTAGAACATCATAAGAATATCCAGGTCAAGTTCTGTTTTGGGAACAATCCAGCTCTATTTGATAGAGTTATGCCCCTTGGACTAGAAAAATTCCAATCTATTTGCAGTTTCCATTCATTTCATCTTCTCACTTCTCAAAGCTTACACCTACTGAAATGAGCCTACATATTCCCATGAGAATTAGAATATCTAGGTTAATTTTTGGTTTGGGTAAGTACTATAAAGTCATTTTTGGCAGAGTTATGCCCCTTGGACTTAGAAAAATTTCAATTATTTGCAGTTTCCATTCATTTTCTTTGCATAGGTTGCACACATTGAAATGAACTTTGGTATAGAGATTTATCATAAGAATATCTAGGTCAAGTTCTGTTTTGGGTACTATAAATCCATTTTGGATAGAGTTATGCCCCTTGGACTTAGAAAAATTCTAATTATTTGAGGGAGGGGGCATAAGTGTTTTATAAACATCTCTTGTTAGCTCTACTGGTCAGAGACCAGAAGAGCTTATGCGATAGTAATGCGTCAATTCCGTCCGTCTGTTTATCAGGTCTTGCTGTAAATGTATCTGATCTGTGGCAAACCGTGTCTGTAAACAATTTTTCAAACGCTACTCCTCCTACAATTTTAGTCTGATTTCAATATTACTTGGCACACAAGTAGACTACACTAAGATACATAGAATAGTGCATCGGTTTTTAATTTCGATGAACGATGTTGCCATGGTTACTAAAAATAGAATTTTCTGTGAAATTCCTTTAAACGCTATCCTTCTACAGTTTTGGTCTGATTTCAATATTACTTGGCACAAAAGTAGACTACACTAAGATACATAGAATAGTGCATCGGTTTTTAATTTCGATGAACGGTGTTGCCATGGTTACTAAAAATAGAATTTTCTGTGAAATTCCTTTAAAACGCTACTCCTCCTACAGTTTTGGTCTGATTTCAATATAACTTGGCACACAAGTAGACTACACTAAGATACATAGAATAGTGCATCGGTTTTTGATTTCGATGAACGGTGTTGCCATGGTTACTAAAAATAGAATTTTCTGTGAAATTCCTTTAAAACGCTACTCCTTCTACAGTTTTGGTCTGATTTCAAAATAACTTGGCACACAAGTAGACTACACTAAGATACATAGAATAGTGCATCGGTTTTAGATTTCGATGAACGGTGTTGCCATGGTTACTATTTTTTCTGTGAAATTCCTTAAAAACGCTACTCCTTCTACAGTTTTGGTCGATTTCAATATAACTTGGCACACAAGTAAACTACACTAAGTGTGAATAGTGCATCAGTTTTTAATTTCGATGAACGATGTTGCCATGGTTACTAAAAATAGAATTTTCTATGAAATTCCTTTAAAACGCTACTCCTTCTACAGTTTTGGTCTGATTTCAAAATAACTTGGCACACAGGTAGACTACATTAAGATACATAGAACAGTGCATCGGTTTTTGATTTCAATGAACGGTGTTGCCATGGTTACTAAAAATAGAATTTTCTGTGAAATTCCTTAAAAACGCTACTCCTTCTACAGTTTGGGTCTGATTTCAATATAACTTGGCACACTGGTAGACTACACTCAGATACATAGAATAGTGCATCGGTTTCTGATTTCGATGAACGGTGTTGCCATGGTTACTAAAAATAGAATTTTCTGTGAAATTCCTTAAAAACGCTACTCCTTCTACAGTTTGGGTCTGATTTCAATATAACTTGGCACACAAGTAAACTACACTAAGATACATAGAATAGTGCATCAGTTTTTAATTTCGATGAACGATGTTGCCATGGTTACTAAAAATAGAATTTTCTGTGAAATTCTTTAAAAAACGCTACTCCTTCTACAGTTTTGGTCTGATTTCAATATAACTTTGCACACAAGTAGACTACACTAAGATACATAGAATATTGCATCGTTTTCTTATTTCGATGAACGGTGTTACCATGGTTACTAAAAATAGAATTTTCTGTGAAATTCCTTAAAAACGCTACTCCTTCTACAGTTCTAGTTTGATTTCAAAATAAGTTGGCACACAAGTAGACTACACAAAGATACATAAAATAGTGCAATGGTTTTTGATAAGTACAAACCAGTAGAGCTACAGTCTCGACAGAGACTTCTGGTTTTTTATTGGACTGGATATAAACCTTTAACTCTCCTGCCAGAAAACTGAGTCACCTCGAAGGGTGATTTAGCAACTGTGGCTATTTGCTCAAAAATTAAATATACATTTTTTTATCATTAAAATTTTGATTTTCAGGTTAATTTTTAGCTCTACTGGTCAGAGACCAGAAGACCTTATGCGATAGTGAGGTGTCCGTCGTCCGTCCGTCTGTCTGTCTGTCTGTAAACAATTTTTCAAAATGCTACTCCTCTTACAGTTTTCGTCTGATTTTAATATAACTTAGCACACAAGTAGACTACACTAAGATACATAAAATAGTGCATCGGTTTTTTGATTTCGATGAACGGTGTTGCCATGGTTACTAAAAATAGAATTTTCTGTGAAATTCCTTTAAAACGCTACTCCTTCTACAGTTTTGGTCTGATTTCAATATTACTTGGCACACAAGTAGACTGCACTGAGATACATAAAATAGAGCATCGGTTTTTGATTTCGGTGAACGGTGTTGCCGTGGTAACTAAAAATAGAATTTTCTGTGAAATTCCTGTAAAACGCTACTTCTTCTACAGTTCTGGTCTGATTTCAATATTACTTGGCACACAAGTAGACTACACTAAGATACATAAAATAGTGCATCAGATTTTGATTTCGATGAACGGTGTTGCCATGGTGACTAAAAATAGAATTTTCTGTGAAATTCCTTTAAAACGCTACTCCTCTTACAATTTTGGTCTGATTTCAATATTACTTGGCACACAAGTAGACTGCACTGAGATACATAAAATAGGGCATCGGTTTTTGATTTCGGTGAATGGTGTTGCCATGGTGACTAAAAATAGAATTTTCTGTGAAATTCCTTTAAAACGCTACTCCTCTTACAATTTTGGTCTGATTTCAATATAACTTGGCACACAAGTAGACTACATTAAGATACATAGAATAGTGCATCGGTTTTTGATTTCGATGAACGGTGTTACCATGGTTACTAAAAATAGAATTTTCTGTGAATTTTTTTTAAAACGCTACTCCTTCTACAGTTTTAGTTTGATTTCAAAATAAGTTGGCACACAAGTAGACTACATAAAATAATGCAATGGTTTTTGACAAGTACAAACCAGTAGAGCTACAGTCTCGACAGAGACTTCTGGTTAAATTTTTTACTAGTAGCTAATATATATTATTTTTATAATTTATACAAATAATATATGACCCATATAAATTTCAGTAATTATAATTTTTGATTTTCACTTCCAAATTAAGAAAAATAGTATGTAATCAGAAGTAAAATTTTAATATTTCAGAGGACATAAATACAAAGAACTTGAAGACAGATGATGAGATAATTACAGTAGAATTAGATGAGAATGAAACTATAGACTACCCATCAAAAAAGACAAGAAAATCCAGTAATCGAAAGGATCGTGTGTCAAAAGCTGATAAATACTCTTCTAAAGAGCACATCAAGGTCCTACTAGATGATGAAGACTCTCCTGATAAAGAAGAAACACCAAACCAACTACTGGTCAACAAGCATGCTTTTCTGAATGTATCAGAGATAGCAACAGAGCAGAGTGGTGATAAGGATGTAGAGAGACCTTTATCTGCAGAATCACCTCTATCTGGTAAGGATATTAGAGCCTCAAATGAATCACTGATTAAGCAGACTACCTATGAACAAACAGAACAGGGAACTACAGTACCACTGGTAACTCCCTCCAGCAGGACAACAAGAAAACAACTGTTAACCAATAGAGATGAGGAGTCTCTAGTTGCTGCTCAATCAATGACGAGCTTAGCCAATGGACACAGTTCAAAGGAAGCAGATGTACCAGTGGAGAACCAAAGTCCAGGCATTGCTGAGGAAGATAGGTCCCCAGTAAATAGGGGAAATGATAATGAGGAACAGATTCCTAGCATCAGATACAGAATGGACCCCACCTACCAAGATCTCAGTGGAGAACCAAATACAAATCATACAGAAAAAGAGGGGATTGAGGAATCATCACTTCCTTCAATACAGCCAGGCAATGAGTGGAATGCACAAGGAGTTCCTCTACAGAGCAGTAACTTTAACAATCGCTGGAACTATCATTCTCACGACTACAGCTGCAATGAAAGCAATGTTCTACCACCGGCTTCCAGCCTGCTGAAAGTTCCTCGCATATATGATGAAAATATGAACATACAACATGGAGCCAACAGCTACCAGACAGCCAGACCAGGGCCAATGCCAGGGTTTACCAATAACCTGGGTCAGGCCATACAAACAGTATCTACCCCTACAAGAATGGAAAACCAGTATGAAGGTCCCCATCTCTCTGTGCCAGAGTCCCATCTCCCTTACCACAATCAAATGATGAATAACCCAGAATACTATATGATGCCCAGCAATCATGGCTCAGCCATCATGTCTTCTGGATCAGGCCATTCTGCCCATATCTTTAACAGCTTTCCACATGGTGATCAACAATTTCCTCCCGCAGCAAACATTGAAATTCCAGAGTCTGGCCAGTACCATGAATCAGGTGGCTCTAATTATCACAGACGTACCAGATCATCCAAGTCAAAGTCTAACCAAAACTACCTGGACATTGTTAAAAACTTTGTCTATGGCCCCAAAGAAGATTACATCATGACCCGTCCAAGAGATGACTACATTGTTGCTCCTCACGATGTGTTTGGTAAGCCTCCCGATGACAAGGATACGTTTTACATGGCCGTTTCTCCTGAGGTTAATCCCGCAGAGGTACGATCCATTGACCACAAAGGTCTTATCTCAAAATACATCGATTACCTTCTAATCGAGAATGAACACATCACAGAGATGTCCAAATCTGTCTCCATACCTATTGAGAACTGTGTGATGGATGACCCTTACTTGATGGATATTGTACGAGTCAAGATTCCCTTCCCAACCCCTAAGTATCTACAGTGGCTGAGCTCCTATTACCCCACCATTCAGGTAGACTGGCCAGCAATCAGAAAGGAACTGGCAGCCTATAATGGAGTGGGAGGGAGGAAACCAAAGAGGACCTATTTTGTAGATCGTAGACCCTGCCACATCCTTCTTGGAGAATCCTTCTATTACTTCCAAAGGGAGAAAGACAAGCAATCCACTGAGAAGTGATTTCAGCTTACAAACTTCTTGCATGAAATAATGCCAGTTCACGTTGCATATTTTACTATTATTTTATGTCATTACTGTGTTGTCTACATGGCCAAGCCACTCAAGGGATCACTGTCCATCACAAAATGCCCATACTGATTAATGAATGGACTTGGACTGAATGGATTCTGACCAATGCCAATTTTAAGAAATCTTTTTTCTTTAAATCAGGAGTTTTGCAAAGTTCCAAAATATTATTTGCAGATCATTGATTCTTTTATGTTGCAATGTTTAACAATGCTGTAGAGTTACATTACTAAATTTTTACAACAGTGGGGGAAAAAAGGGAAAATTTATGAATTGTAACACTATACAATGGAAACTTCCCATGATAAGTATCTCAATTTAGGAAATCTTTTACCTAGGAAAGTCAATGTATGACAAATTCACCAAGTGTTTTTTCTTTTATAGTTTCATTTTTAGCTCTACTGGTCAGAGACCAGAAGAGCTTATGCGATAGTAATGCGTCCGGCGTCCGTCCGTCTGTCTGTCTGTCTGTCCGTCTGTCTGTAAACAATTTTTCAAAACGCTACTCCTCCTACAATTTTAGTCTGATTTCAATATTACTTGGCACACAAGTAGACTACACTAAGATACATAGAATAATGCATCGGTTTTTGATTTCGATGAACGGTGTTGCCATGGTTACTAAAAATAGAATTTTCTGTGAAATTCCTTAAAAACGCTACTCCTTCTACAGTTTTGGTCTGATTTCAATATTACTTGGCACACAAGTAGACTACACTAAGAGACAAAGAATAGTGCATTGGTATTTCATTTCGATGAACGGTGTTGCCATGGTTACTAAAAATAGATTTTTCTGTGAAATTCCTTAAAAATGCTACTTCTTCTACAGTTTTGGTCTGATTTCAATATAACTTGGCACACAGGTAGACTACACTAAGATACATAGAATAGGGCATCGGTTTTTGATTTCAATGAACAGTGTTGCCATGGTTACTAAAAATAGAATTTTCTGTGAAATTCCTTTAAAACGCTACTCCTCCTACAATTTTAGTCTGATTTCAATATTACTTGGCACACAAGTAGACTACACTAAGATACATAGAATAGTGCATTGGTTTTTGATTTCAATGAACGGTGTTGCCATGGTTACTAAAAATAGAATTTTCTGTGAAATTCCTTAAAAACGCTACTCCTTCTACAGTTTTGGTCTGATTTCAATATAACTTGGCACACAAGTAGACCTAAGATGTAGTGCATTTTTTTCATTTCGATGAACGGTGTTGCCATGGTTACTAAAAATAGATTTTTCTTTAAAATTCCTTTAAAATGCTACTTCTTCTACAGTTTTGGTCTGATTTCAATATAACTTGGCACACAAGTAGACTACACTAAGATACATAGAATAGTGCATCGGTTTTTCATTTTGATGAACGGTGTTGCCATGGTGACTAAAAATAGAATTTTCTATGAAATTCCTTAAAAATGCTACTCCTTCTACAGTTTTGGTCTGATTTCAATATAACTTGACACACAAGTAAACTACACTAAGATACATAGAATAGTGCATCGGTTTTTGATGAATGGTGTTGCCATGGTTACTAAAAATAGAATTTTCTGTGAAATTCCTTTAAAACACTACTCCTTCTACAGTTTTGGTCTGATTTCATTGTAGCTTGGCACACAAGTAGACTACACTAAGATACATAGAATAGTGCATTGGTTTTTTATTTCGATGAACAACAGTGTTGCCATGTTTATTAAAAATAGAATTTTTCTGTGAAATTCCTTTGAAACACTTCTCCTTCTACAGTTTTGGTCTGATTTCAATATAACTTGGCACACAAGTAGACTACACTAAGATACATAGAATATTGCAGGTGTTACCACGGTTACTAAAAATAGAATTTTCTGTGAAATTCCTTTAAAACGCTACTCCTTCTACAGTTTTAGTTTGATTTCAAAATAAGTTGGCACACAAGTAGACTGCACAAACATACATAAAATAGTGCAATGGTTTTTGATAAGTACAAACCAGTAGAGCCACAGTCTCGACAGAGACTTCTGGTTTGTTTTAATGATAGACATTTTCTTTTTTGCATGACATTGTTGAAATTGTATTACATCAGCCTGCACTGTATTTTATTTTTTGAAAAAAATTTGTGTACCGAATAAAATTTTAAAGATGTATGAAAACCAGTCATCCTCTGTAAAAAATTTTAAAGTGCAAAAATTTATTTGTGGAATGGAAGAATTTGAATAAAACGCAAAATCATATACCCAACAAACAAAAAGGAGTGCAACAAAAATACTTCAAAATCAACATGGACGTCTTGGTCAACTAACTATCACAGAGGTTTATGGCTGTAGAGGTGTGCAGTGCGAGACATTTTACATTATGAAATAACAGCACCTTTATTTCCCATTATAGGAATATGCTTTTAATGTTTGGCACACAATGATATCACAGTTCTATTCATATAATATACCAAACCCTGTTTTACTTTAAAACATACAATGTGATGCATAATTAACACAAATGGCTTCAATAAATACTGACTAGAATGCTTAATACATTTGACAGCCATCCTCATACTTAAATACAAGCACACATTTATGATCAGTTACATACCAAAGATACACACAATAATGGATTCAAAAATATCTTGCAATTGTAAAATAACCCTTGCAGTTCATAGAGGTTCATTAGAATTATTCAGAACAGTTCTGAGTTTTGAAGCCTTGCTCTCAGTAACATGTACTAGGCTATAACATTTGATTTCCTGGCGTTTTTTCCCTGGGACCTGGTGATGGGGGTGGGGAGCTGGGAGGGTTTAAACATTGGAGGTTCTGTGGGCGGCAGGTAAAACTGGACTGACTTCCTCACTTTCTCAATCCGTTCAAAACAAACTTCTTTCCATGCCAAAAATGCCTAAAAAGTACAAGTAGTTTGTATTTAACAATGGCTTTTTGATTTGATTGAATGTAAATAAATTCTCTTTACAAGTCCCTGTATAGTATTTTTTGTACCTGTGACAATATCTGCCTATCGCTGTAGGCTGTCACTTTGTTTGCTGCCCGACGCTTAGCGAAGGCTATTCTCCATGTATCCCAAGATTGTAGTAAAAGTCTCTCTTCCTCCTGTCAAATTAAGTCAAATTTTGTCAATGCATATAAGCTCAGATTAATTCTCTTTATGAAGAATTTCAGTGCTTGGACCCTGGGGACCAAAAATTTTCAATATTGGTAATCATTGTCATGTCTGTAATAACTGTCAAAGATGACTGAATTTCAAAGACAACAATTAGTTCAATACATGACCAAATTAACCCCACCCTTGGTACAAGAATTGGTAAGTTTTTGGTAAAACATTACCTGTGATCGATAATCACCCCATTTTACTGCCAAATAATTTGGAGATATGAGATAGTGAAGAACTGAAGAATAATTACTTGAAATGTTGAAACATTTCCAATTAAAAAGCTAGGTTTTAAAGAGTAGATAGAAATAAGTCACTAAAGTAAACAAAAAATGACTTTACTAAATATCCCCAGGTGTTGTAGTGGAGTAAACTAATTAACAGATTGAAAGTCAAAGGAGAAAATAATAATGTTAACATTATTTATAACTTCATCAAGACTGTTCCATCTAACCTGGTGCAACCTAAGTATCTACATAACTGTCACCTCTGCTAATTTTACCCACCTTCAGCTCCTGTGAATGGAGTTTGATATGGGGCTTAAAGTTTTTGTTTTTGTTGTTATATACAAGTACTATAATTTTAATCACAAGTTTAATACAGAAATTATTGTCATAAACATTCAATAAATCTTTTATCAAGTTCTCTGCAAGTAAACTATTTCTGTGAACAGAAAAAAACAGCTAAATACATACCACACATTTGGCAGTGTACATCAAGTCCACTCTGTGTTTCCAGAGATTTCCATACTTTATTTGTATCCTCAGTTTGTGTCTTTGTAGCTGGTGCTTGACCTTGACCTCATTGTGTAGGGCTCTGAAGGCCAATTTACTGAAAGGGAAATCATACATTGTGTTTCATTTGTAAATCAAAAAATAAACACGAGAAGCATTATCCCTTTAGAAATTTTCTTTCCTTGTGTTTATTTCTTACCAGATGTGTCTGTTGTGATGTAAAATGGCCTCTTCATTCTTCTGTCTCTCTATTTCCCGTTCTTCTTTCTTTTTCTCCACAAACCATCTCCATTGCCTCACAGTTCTCCTGGCTAGGAGATGGTGATAACAGCGGCCCGCGACGATACGGTTCAGTCGCTCCCACCATACAGACAACGCCAGCCTCATAGTCTCCTGGTTCTTCTCCATGATCACCTAAAACCAGAAAACAACACTGGAGACCCCACAATGTTACAGAAGCATAGACTCCAGACCATGCCTTTTTCTTGGAATAAAAATTGAATCTATCTGCATATACATGTAAATATGCCATGTATGAACATGGTTGCATAGAAGCACCTTTAATTTAGAGTTTTTTCTCCAAATTCAACAAAAGGATGATCGGGAGAAAAAAATTGATCAAATACATGAAATGTTTGTATAATTTTACATTTATAACTAAAATTCTCTTCAATTTTTAAAGCCCGTTTTGAAAATGGGATAAGTGAAAATTCTTATTTCATTTGCACTATTTACAATATTTAATAGAATCCTTTCACATGGAAGGGTTAAACAAATTCAAATTCAAATAAGCAAATGGCTCAAGGGCCACTATGTAACCTGAGTATGATACAACAATATAAATGATTTATTTATTTTAAACATTTGAGCTCTACCCCTCAGACTCTTGGAAAAAGGGATTCATAAATAAGTATTTTTATACCCCTCTTCCAAAACTGTTATTTACCAAAATTAGCTAGGTTTTGTTAAGTTCCAGAGAAGGAGCTAGAAAATGTTCAAATGTGCGCACACAACATGATGAAAGAAATAAGATGGCAATAGGTCACCCAAGTGAATTAGGTGCCTTTGATGTCCATGAATAGAAATGCTTACTTTATTAGCAGTTTCATTCAGATTCTGGCAATAATCAGCTCGAGTTTTCATTGTGTACCATGTCCTCTTTAATGTGTTCATCTGTATGTACTTTGTAAGCACTGTCCCTAATGTCGCCAACTGACGGCGTCGATGGGCATACATATGCCACTCCTTCAGCACTCTGTAATGAGAAAAGAACAGCATACATAAACAAAGTCAACATTATACAATTAATTACCCCTTTTGAGTTCAACATGGTGAAATAAGGACCCGAGACCTGGCCCAAGAGGTGACCTGTCCTGACCGAGGCTGCGTAGCAGCCGAGGTCAGGGCAGGTTATCGAGTGGGCCAGGTCTCGGGTCCTTATTTCACCATGTTGAACTTAAAAGGGGTAATCAATTGTTTTATTATACCGATATATTGAAAAGTATGAATCTCTAACCGTTATCAATTCTTTCTTTGATCGGGATTCGTTAGCGAAGTTGTTAACATTGACATCTGCAAGTCATGTAACTTACTGTAAGTTTTCGCATCATGATTTACTGATTAAAACAATATTTGGTTGTTAGCGACATACATTGCTATAACTAACGATTACTTTTCCTCTATACAGTCAAAATCTAACACGGAATTCAACTCTTTAAAGAGCCGCTTCTACATATATCCATTGAAATGTAGGCCTATAACGATACATGTTTTTTTGAAATGAGTAAATCGTTAAATTAACGATAAAATTTTACCGTATTCTGTATGGTAATGCAAAACAGACCATGAACAATTTTAAAAACATGTTGTTTTTCTCGAATCATTATTATTTTAAATGCATTGACTTTACTCAAAAAGGAATTTCTGATTAAGAGCCCATAATTTAGAGGTCATTAATCATAATGACCGGGTCATTATTTCCCACGTGCAATGATTCCTAGGTCATTATTGCAGTAAACAGTATCATTTGGAGTCATTGTTGTGTTTTAAAGTTTTCTTACCAGCCAATCAAATTCGAGTATTATCAATAGAGGTATAATAAATCAGATTATAGTCATAATAGGCTCTGAGCATTATATATTAAAGTAACTTGTACCTGATCTGTGTTTACAGTGACTTGTACCTGATCTGTGATTATAGTGACTTGTACCTGATCTGTGATTATAGTGACTTGTACTTGATCTGTGTTTGTTGTGACTTGTACCTGAACTGTGTTTACAGTGACTGATGCCTGATCTGTGTTAACAGTGACTTGAACCTGATCTGTAGTTTGAGAAGGCAGTGTTTACAGTGACTTGTACCTGATCTGTAGATTGAGATGGCAGTGTTTACAGTGACTTGTAGCTGATCAGTAGTTTGAGATGGCAGTGTTTACAGTGACTTGTAGCTGATCAGTAGTTTGAGATGGCAGTGTTTACAGTGACTTGTAGCTGATCTTTGTTTACAGTGACTTGTAGCTGATCTTTGTTTACAGTGATTTTAGCTGATCTTTGTTTACAGTGACTTGTAGCTGATCTTTGTTTACAGTGACTTGTAACTGATCTGTGTTTACAGTGACTTGTAGCTGATCTTTGTTTACAGTGACTTGTAGCTGATCTGTGTTTACAGTGACTTGAACCTGATCTGTGTTTATAGTGACTTGTACCTGTTCTGTAGTTTGAGTTGGTTGTGTTTACAGTGACTTGTATCTGTGTTTATAGTGACTGTGCTTACAGTGACTGTTCTGTTAGTTTGAGTTGGTTGTGTTTTACAGTGACTTGTACCTGATCTGTAGATTGTGTTTTACAGTGGCTTGTACCTGATCTTTGTTTACAGTGACTTGTAGCTGATCTTTGTTTACAGTGAGTTTAGCTGATCTTTGTTTACAGTGACTTGTAGCTGATCTTTGTTTACAGTGACTTGTAACTGATCTGTGTTTACAGTGACTGTAGCTGATCTTTGTTTACAGTGACTTGTAGCTGATCTGTGTTTACAGTGACTTGAACCTGATCTGTGTTTATAGTGACTTGTACCTGTTCTGTAGTTTGAGTTGGTTGTGTTTACAGTGACTTGTACCTGAGCTGTGTTTACAGTGACTTGTACCTGATCTGTGCTTACAGTGACTTATGCCTGATCTGTTAACAGTGACTTGAACCAGATCTGTAGTTTGAGATGGCAGTGTTTACAGTGACTTGTACCTGATCTGTAGATTAAGATGGCAGTGTTTACAGTGACTTGTAGCTGATCTTTGTTTACAGTGACTTGTAGCTGATCTTTGTTTACAGTGACTTGTAGCTGATCTTTGTTTACAGTGACTTGTAGCTGATCTGTGTTTACAGTGACTTGTAACTGATCTGTGTTTACAGTGACTTGTAGCTGAACTTTATTTACAGTGACTTGTAGCTGATCTGTGTTTACAGTGACTTGTAGCTGGTCTGTGTTTACAGTGACTTGAACCTGATATGTGTTTATAGTGACTTGTACCTGATCTGTGTTTACAGTGACTTGTACCTGATCTGGAGTTTGAGGTGACAATGTTTCTTGATGTCGTTCTGGACCTGTGTTAGACTGTACCAATACTTGAAGTATGTCTTCAGACTTTGTTGCTCCAGTGCTCTCTGGTACACAGCACAGGTATGTCTCCTCTGTTTAGATTCTGTCAAAGAAAACCAGTCAACTTGTTACATATGAGGCCAAATAATATAATACCCAAAATCTGGAATATTCTAACTTAACCATTAAAAAATTGTTTACAAGCTACTTACCAGAAGCAAATACATGCCATTCACTAAAGAATGTTCCTAATAGTTTGACATTAAAGTGCCTTGTAGCCTGATTTGAGAGTAACTTGATTTTCCAGTCATCAAGGTAAGTTCCCAGAATCTTTCTATTCCTGCGAACGATGTACTTATTCAACTGATTCTCCCTCTCCAGGTTTCTCTCGTAACCATACCTCCACTTGGCAAAACAGGTGGCAACCTATAACAGACATACTTAAACAATGTGTACTTGTATTACTAAGGACAATTTTGACATGTTCATGTATATATTCAGCAAATAGGTTTACATTACATATATATACAACTAATAAGGATTCTAATATGCAAGTAGTAAAATGAACTTATGAAACAGTAACCTCTTAAGATACAATGTCGCAAGATACAATGTCCCCCCCCCCTTCCAAAGGAATATTTTTGCAGAAAAAAATCCATTCAGTTTAAATGAGTTCAAAATATATGTTTTTACCTGTCTATACATGAAGACCTGCTGGAGTCGTCTGCCCCTGGCCTTCTGAGCCTGCTTCCTCCAATGCCTGCCATACTCCAGCACACACCTCCTGATGTAGGCCTCATGCTCCTCATGCTGCTGTACACGCTCCATATACTGACTGTGCCAAATCTTAAACATCCTTATCACCTGAAATCAAAAATGTTACTCATTTAAGTCTGATGCAGTTCTTTCAACCTTTTCTATACTTGTGGTAGTTGAAAAGTTTAAATGTATCTAACCTGTTTGGTGTAAGATTTCACTTGGAAGGAGAGAACTTTCTGTCTCATTTGTTTCTTCCATTCTGCTACTTCCTGCCACTCTCGGATTACTCTGAAACCACGCAAAACAAAATAACCTCTATGTTCTTAAAAAAATAAACAAACACATCAATTTTTTTACCTGCATCAGAAATTGAACCATTCTGACCTGATCATCAGTCTTTGCTGACACCACTTGGATAACTGTCGACATTTCTCTGTCTGGATTCTCCAGGTTGTGAAGGTTCTCATCACAAGGTTTCTCTGTGAGGTCTGCATCACCAGTACACTCGCCAGCTTCCTCTTCTTGTGTTCTAAAAAGGTTAGAAATAAGTAAATACCTCCCAAAAAGTCATAAGATTCTCATTATTTACTTAACTGAGAATGGTAATTTCATTTTGCTACTTTGGATTAATTAGGTACATGTTTTTATTTTATTTTATATACATATGTACACATGTACCTGATGCCCAGTGGTGCCAGCTCTGTAACAACAACCTCATGTGTTGTGTTTGAGTGTCCTTGACCTTTTGATCAATGACAACCATTTGTTGTTGACGAAGTATCCAAGTGTTGAAAGCCTAAGAAAGAACCAGTCATGATATTTAGCATCAGTAAATAAAATTCCACATGCTTTTTTATATGGAAAAACAATGTTGCATACATACCCAAGTTTGTACTCTGTGACTGCTGAAATTCTGGCTCTCTCTGCGCAAGTGAGCTTTTCTTTCAGCCCATTCTCTCCAAACTTCAAAGAATCTGTTTAAAACAGATTAGCCAGTAGAATTATAAAGGGACAGAGAGGTTCTTAATGACATTCCCTGTACTGATATCTCAAGCATTAAATTCAAAGAACTTGATATATTACTCATTTTGATACAATTATGAATGTATTCTTTGTAATATCTTCTAAAGTGAGCATTTTAAAATTGCTAAAATTTCTTCTAGCTAAAAATAAAATACTAATTTTTAAGGAGAAATACTAAATTTGTGTCTTGCTAAAACTTGTACAGTACGTTATCCTGAACTGAACAAATATAGAAATTTAACAAAAGTCCTACCTTTTCTGTACAGTCTTGTTATACATTTTTCTGAGTCTGTCAATTTGTAGGAATTTAAGTCGCCATACAGCAAAACACTTCCTTAAGGTCCTTTTAGACAGTCGGTGATGAAGAGTATCTTCCAAGGGAAGTAACCCCTGTTCCTGTTCTGTTCTTGTGTTCCAGATACGAATAACACTGCGGGTATGTCTCATTTCTTGTGCCTAAAATGATCAGTCATTGAAGACCTCATACTGTAAAACACTCTTAGGAACTCAAAGTACAACATTTAAATGAATCAATCAAAACTGAACTAAAATTTATTTTGTATGATCAGAAATTCTATGTCTATACCTTTTCAAACCAGATTGGAAATATTTTTCTGAACACCATAAGTGAATGATAATCATGAGCAAGCGCAGTCATCTCTTTCTTGTATTTCATCATCTTTTTGTTTTCCTCCAGTGCTTCAAAAACATGTCTCTTCAGACATTCCTCCTGTAAAATTTATTAAAAAAAAATTATTGGCAATTGAAGAAAGATTATACCATTATCAATAGAAAAAAAATGCTCCAATAAATGACATTTTCTTCATTACCAGTCTTTGTGTAGACATTTGACTTTACTGTACTTACCCTGAACTGCCTAGCCTGAGTCTCTCTCTGATAGAGTGACCTCCAGACCCTGAAGGCGAACTTTAACCTTTGCCTCTGAATGACATCACTGGCCTGTTTACAAAGTGTTCGGAGCTCCCTCTGGTGAACAGTGTACTCCCACCACTGATCAAATACAATACTGACCGGCCAAAACCGGATCCTCTTTACTGCTGTTGTCACCAAAGTCTTAAACATAACGTTACACTCAATAAAGTTATTTATTATAAATATTTACATGTATATTTAGCCAATTCTCATAAATCAAAAGCATTTAAATCAAAATGAAGCAAAATGTTTGAATACATGTATTCTATTTTAGGCCAGGTAAAATTAATCTTTAGATTCTCATCCTAATTTGCTAAAAAATTGGGGCAGGTGGGTGGATTTTATTTTTTATAATTGTAAAATTTTAAGTATCAACAGAACATGGACTTTTTCGTAGACATTTTTTCATTATGTTAATGCAAATATGAATATTTTTTTTTCATATTCTTTTGAATATTCAAAGAAAATTCTTGCTTAAATTACTAGTATTAGATATTTATTGCTAATTAACAAATTATCAAGTACACATATACGGCACACACAAAACACAATGAGGTGGGGTTCTGATACCAATAAATTTTGTATGTATGACTTCTCATTGGCCTTTCCCCAAATACCCTTTAGTTTTACCAACAAAGCCCTCTGTTTTCTGTAAAATATCATAGATTTCCAACTTCCTAAAAAATTTGATCGTTCTTGAGACTTGAGTTGTTCGACAATGAAATAGGTCATATTTACACTAATAAAATATTCTACTGAAAAACCTAGACCTGAACTGTTTTAAGATTTAACATTTTCTTAGCACTAAACATTCTCTAAAGTCTCTCCTACGATGTTTTATTTTTTTTCAAATCAAAATCACACACATACAGTCGGAGATCGTTAAAACTTGAACAGGTGTCATTTTCCATGTCTATTTTTATACTAAGTTTTAAAAAATCTTTAAAAAAAAAAAAACTTGCTCATGCCAGTGATGGTAGATCTATAGATGTGTTTATGCTATTATTTTTTCTCTGCCTTCTCTATACTGACAAATTATCTTTTCCTTACATGTTTAAACTGGTTTTATTGCCAATTTTTCTCCTTTCTTCACATGGCTCTTTTGCTATAAATAGCGACACACAACTTTTAATACAGACGGGAGATAACTCTTAAACTTTACCCAAATTCTTACTGAATAAAAATACATGAAAATTTATTATAACACCCAAAACTCAAAATAAAAAACATCGGGGTGGGCCACTTTGAGAGGGGGCGGGAAGGGATGAGAATCTAAAGATGAATTTTATCTGGCCTTATCTGAATGAAAAGCAAATTAACTTTGTAACCTCACCTTCATTCTTTCTGTCTTGACTGCCTGTTCCATCTCGAATCTGGCGTCAATAAAACTGGTGTTAGCCAGGGAGGGTTTGAGGTCCAGTTCTGGAATGGACCTATCTAAGTCTAGACTCACCCGACTCAAGGCTGGGCTAAATAACCTAAAATAGACATATCTATTTGTACATCTCTGACCAAAAAAATAATAAAATTGTGCTTCCATTTTCATCTAAGGAATTAAAAAGTCTTTTAAAATAATTTACAGTTTGTCCCTCTCCTCCCTGAAACTCAGTAATACATGAATAATTATATTAAAAGGGTCAATCACAGTATGTCACATAATGTCATTCACATCACTTCATACATTAAATATCACGTATCAGCTTGATATAGTAAACTTTACATAAATAACACATAGTAAAGTAACTGAAAGCAAATACATCAACAAAACAAAATACTCAGTATAATGATTCAAAGAGTACTTTAAAATTAAACCAAACACCCCCCTCCAAAAAAAAATGAATAAACATTTAGTAAATTGTGTATAAAATGATGGTGTTGATTTGTGGTCAATATTATTCAGTGGAATATTTGGTAAAGTTTTTTCACTACCATTTAATGCAATATTTCAATCCTGCCTTTGGTCAAAGATGTGTAGCAGTGATTAGATAACACAGCAATGAAGAATATAAGAATGTCAAAGTAAAATGTTGATGAGGTGAATTTTACCCTACCTCTGAATGCACAAACCTAGTAATTATTTTTCATAACAGCTTCATGTGCTGTGTGAAAATTCTACTTGAGGACTGATAAATGAATATGAGATGCTGTAAAGTTTAGTTAAGTAAGGTGAAGAAAATTTCAATCTTTGAAAGAAAACATGAAGACCATGCTGGAAGCCACACTCACTCTAGAGACAGACCTATAAGTCTGGCTTCTAAAACCTACCTCTTCTTTCTGGGCGATTCCAAAATACTTCAAAGAAAAGGGAGAGTTTTGAATATTGGTTTTTCATTATAAAGTCAATCTTTAATCTCAACCAACTATTTTTATTACTCCTCCTTATGGCTGTAATAATCAGCATTTGCACTAAATGTAGATGCTTAGTGTTTGTGCTTTGAGTTGTCTCTGAGTGATCTCCCTTACCTCTTCATGGGCGTGCCCAGTGTAGAGGACGCCACAGGACTGTGTATTCCACTGGTGTTCTCACTGGCCAGGATCATGTCAGTCAGCAGCTGGAGTCTCTCAGGAGTATCAGCTATACAAGAGAAAATAAAAAATTAGTCAGATATTCAAATCAGTATCTAGACTGGTGTCCCTCAATTTCTTTTAAATTTCAGCCATAATTTAGCTTGTGCTGGGAATGGATTTCTTTTAAAATAAATGATCTAATCACTCTCATTAAGTGGGGGTATTAAAAATTCTCAAGGACCAAGATGCTTTGAATTCTGAATAAAAGTAATGACCAGCATTATAATATGTGTATACCGGTAATTATAAACGTCATTGTAAAACATATACATGTATAAAGCGATGTATTAACTTCTTGGTTTATATTTATCCAATATGAAATACATGTTTTACTTGTGTACCCACCCGAATCTCCTGACACATTGAGGGCTTCCCCTGAGTAATCCTCGGGAGTTTGGAGTCCAATACGGACAGCGAACTCGTGAACGGCTCGTCTGATGCCCCGCTCTGAGATACTCCGCCATTCTACAATCACCTGTACCATCAACTTCCTCTGTAACATCTTCTGGTGCTCTCTGAAAAAAGGGGGACAGCACATATTTTAGCTAATATTGATGTAACATGCAAGCATATTCAGATAAAAAATGGTTCTATTAAATTTGATTATTTATTGAACTTGTACATGCATTTCTTCATGCAGCTAAAGAAGGAAAGAATAGTAAATTAAAGCTCAAAAAGTAACCTCTTGGGGGGGGGATAGAAATGCTTCTTAGGAAAATTTTGAAATTTTGACAGACTGAACAAGAGATATGAGCTTATGGCCACTGTACCTTGCGACCAGAGTGGCCCTGAGATGGTGCCTCCAGAACCTGAAGGAGGACCCGATCTGTGAGTTCCTCTGGCTCTCCTCCGCCCTGTCTATAATGTCCTGCTCATATCTCCTCTGTTGTTGAGCATTGGTTAGCCATAAATTGAAATAGGATTTGAGCAAGAAATTGTTGTATTCCTAAAACAAAAATAGTTTTCAAATGATTCCTATATAATATTCCAAGAACTTTAAAATGAAATTAAAAATGATTCCTAAATAATATTCAGAAAACATTTCTGAATTTGGTCACCTATAGCTCTGTAATAGAAAGCTGTGTTAAACACAAGAATTAGAAAATAAAAGATGCATTTTGAAACAATGAAAAACATTGAGGGGACTGAAACATTTTGCTGGAAAACAAAAGATACCAAAGCATTCACCCACTACCAACACCAAATAACTTCTTTCATTTACATGTTTTTCATACTACTGGTATAGCTTTATTAGAATGTAAGGCAGAGCTTTGTTTTATAAATGGTGACACTTTTGTACCTGCTCCTCTTTTGTAGCCAGCCTCTCTTTCATCTTCCTGATGGCTTTGTAGTGCCACTCAATGAACGTCTGCTTCAGAAGTTGTCTGCTGTGGAACTGCTGTGCTTCCTTCTTCCTCCTGATCACCTCTCTCCATCCCATCAGGCACTTCCTCACAAAGCCTGACTCTACTTTCTTCTTCAGATCTTTCTCCACAGCTTGTAACAGGAATTGTCTCCTGTAATATGAAGAAAGTACCATTATATTCAGTAAAAGAGTTTGTTTGCAAGTATGTTTCAGAATTAGAATCCAGACTTCAGATACAAAGCAATATGTCTGACCTCCAGGCATTGAAGCACTTTCTGAGTTTGGATTTCATGAAGATCGTATTGTTTCTTCTACATTCCTTCTTCTGCTGCACCAAAGAATGCCAAGCTTTAAATGATCTGGAAGAACAAGAAAATGTGTCAAACACAGAAAATTTTCAACAATACAATTTTTCATATTATCCCTTGAGTTTTATCAGGAGTACGAGATTATTTGTTCAGTGTTGGCTACTGACTCTGTGACTAGCACTTTCTGCCTGCGCTGAACCAGCGGTCTGATTCGTATCCTCAGTAGTGTCTCAGCCTTCCAGTGACTGAATCGTGTCTGGAGCTGCGTCCTGTCTAATATCGACCTTGTCTGCTCCACCTCCTGATTCTCGGACTCGATCTGCTCCTTCACACTCCACCACTTCTGGAACATTCCTGTCAGGGAACAGTCAATCATAATGTTATGTTTTGAAATTCTAAACCAGGTCTATTGAAGATGACTTCGAATTAGGTAATAATCCCATTTTTTCAAAAATTTCTTGCATTGAAGGAAATAAGAATGAGAACAGTCAAGAAACTATAAAACTATTTCATCCAGGTACTTGAACAATGGGTTAATTTCCTATGAGCACTAACTACATGTACATGTATTATCGATAATTTATCCAATACTATCTTACGTCGGAGTAGATTCTGTTTTCTGATTGGCTCTGTATCGTTGAGCAGCCTACATAGGGATCTCTTGTGACACACCTTCTTCCACTGGACAACTGACTTCCTATAAATTCGTCATGTATGTCACAAATGAAACCATTCCACAATAAAGGGATTTGAAAAGTTATGTTTAATGTTGATTAATTTTTTAATATATTTTAATTTTAAAAACTACCAAATTTTCCCATTTGAATTATATCTTAATTGTATAACAATATTAATTTTGTTGTTATTTTTTAAACAAGTGTTAATTTTTCAACTCATAAGCTCAAAATCAGCATGCACAAAACTTGTCAATAAACTGGAAGGTGTTAGAATTATCAACATGTTAGCTACCTGGCACAAGTATTAGACCAAAATGTTTGAGCGCGGCGTAAATTGAGCCTCTCTTCCACTTGTCGTTTCCATAGAGACATAACCTTCTTTTGTATTTTAATGTTCAAGCGATATGTCAAAGTCTCCTGAATTGTTCTGAATGAAAACATCACAAAAATTAACAGCTAGTTGAAGCATTAAAGTTAAAACACATTTCAAATGTACAAATCAAAATTAATATTAGATAACACATCATAGTTTACATTTCAACCACTTGCAGCAATGAAAATGCTCACAGAACATTGCATTATACATGTTTCTCCATATGATGATGAAATTTTGAACATACCACCACCATGATTCAATGAAACCATGCATTGATATCAACAAAACAATTGAGTAGTTTCTCAGAAACATAAATTTACATCTAAAAAATAAATAATATCAAAAATCTAAAAAATAAATAATATCAAAAACAATGTCTTCTTTTAACCGAGTGATAAATTTTCAAAAGTTAGACTGATTCTCATTTTTTTCTTACTTGATTTTCTCTACCATTACAAACATTTCAAAACTTCTTAAGTATTATTTTAGAGCAACTAAAAATACATCTTCAAAAAATAAAATTTGAAATATTATCCATTGAAAAGATTGAATAAGAAACCATATCATTTTCTCCTTAAAAAATCTTAATGAATATTCTAGATGTCTGAGAAACATCACAACCAATACCCCAAAGGGTGGAAATAAAACAAAAAATGTGAAATAAATAAACTCAAGCATAATTATTTGAATGCATTACCTTAAAAATGCCATCTTAATGCTAAAAATATTAATCAAAGATTTTTACTGATTTATCTCCCTTAATTTATTTCTCAATTTTTTAAGATTCTTCTCATTACTTAAAGGTTAAAGGTATGAAATGGAAGGGACACAAACTCTTTTGGTTTGGGTTATCAAAGTTTCTTCAAAATTGCACAAAACATTTCAAAGCATGCAGGTGAGGGAAACTTTAAAACTGTTCAATCTTTAAGGGGTTTTTGGACTGACCGGTAGATTGCCTGTATCGGGAGAGGATGAAATCTGATGTCAGTATGATGTCATAGCAGATATATCCCCCTACCTGAGCTGTCTTTTGTGCTGTGTGTAATCTCGCCAGCCGTGTAAACTATGTCTCACGAGAACTCGCTGTAGGAAAACCACTGCTGCCTCGCGGCGCTTCTTCAACATGGCCACATTTTCTTTCCAGCAGTTCAGAGATGTAGACAGGATCTTGTGACGGATGCGAGCGTGAATTTCTTCTCGATATCGAACCTGATGCTGCCAGCTCGTACTCCAGATAATAAATGCATTTCTGTGGTACAATAAAAAACTTTGTTCAGGCAATAAATTAATGTTTTATTCATGTTTCATTCCCTAGAAGCCCCCTCATCCCCTTAAATTATAACTAGTTAAAAATTTGAATAATGTAAAAAAAAATCCCAAGGAACATGAATATCCAACTAAGGGCTATAATTTACATTCCAAAATGAAAATTTGAAGGGAACATCATTTACAGTTTAAGAACTGAAACTGACCTCAATTCAAGATAAATGTAAATGCAGATGGATTGATTAATAAATGTACAGTAAAACACATATATACGGAACACAGTTATAAGCAGTTGACATGTACAGTCAAATATATTTTTTTTCAATTTTCCATGGCTTTAAAATAAAGTGAGCTTAATGGATTAAAAAATCATGTTTAAAGCAAAATTTGTCCATCTCTGGCTCTTCATCTTAAGCATGCTTTACAATATATAGTTTGAAGAGGGACATGACAAATTATCTTCCCCACCATTTCTACATGATAGAGCATAAAATACTTAAAAGACCTGGTGGACAAACCTGACAAGTTTCTGGTTTCCTGCTTTGATTGCCCTCTCGGTCAGCAGTAGGTCGTGCCAGTGCTGGAAGCGACGTTGGAGCTGATTTTTTACCCAGTGTTCCTGGCTCAGCACCAGGTTCCTCTCGTACTCCTTACGACTGACGGAGGCTGCCTGCTTCCACTCAAGTAACAGCTTTTGTAGAAAATGGTCTCTGAAAATGAAGAATGGACTCATTGATTAAAGTGCACATCATAAACAGTACTCATCAAAGTACAATATGAAAAGTTGTCATTTGAGAATATTCAGACAACATGTACCTGTGATGAAGTTTGGCCAGGGACATTTTTCTGTACTGTATCACCATACTAGTTAACATCTTGCTCTGCAGTCTCTCACAGTACAAATTTCTACAAAATAAAAATATATCCAGGTTTAATTTTTTTCCCTTAATTCCTCATCCATCCCTAACATGTCTGTCTTGTCATGGTTTAACTTTACCTTGCCATCTCGTCTCTTCTTTGTTTTTCCTTAGACTCCAGGGTATAGATTCTCCATGCTGTCAGACTCTGAGTTAAAACCCTCCTCCTGAAACCCAAGCCAATTCAAAATACAACAAAGCAATAAAAATCAACTCACTGCATCTTTATTATAAAAAGTTTTTTTTAGATCGAGAAGTATGGGAATTCCTGCCTTGTACCTGAAGTGATTATGAGCGGAGTTCTCCTTCACTCGAATCTGGAATTTTTCTCTCCAGATGTTCATTGTTCGGATCAACAGCTTGTGATCCATGGAGTCTTGTAGGTAGCGAATCCTAAAAGGTGAGAAAAAACAGGCATTATTTCCTGAAAGGATTCCTTCTATTTATAAAGCAGCCTATGTGGTTATGTGACATATAGAAATAGCAGCTACAAACATATCATAAGCTCTATAATGTAAGTACATGTACAATAAAAATCATAAAGAATATCGCTGAAGGAAAACTTATTTATGAGTTTTGTTTTCAAGTTATTCCTCATGTTTCAAATAATGCAATTCAACATCAACATGAACAAAGTACCCTTTTATAGTCTATAATATTTTACATCTCATCTAAACCAGACCAGTTTCCTCAATCAATCTGTGTTTTAATGTGGTAGAAAACCTTTAAATCACACCGTGATGAACACGTGATTTGTCTAATGATCCATGTACACAAGTACTTACTTTTTAATCTTGGTGTTAAGTCTAGGAAATATGAAATTCAATCTCATAAGGATGATATTGATCATTATCAATGTTAGAGAAAAAAAATTGTAAAAAAATAAATATCTAAGACTTCAAGAAGAATAATTATATTGATATTAATTTTTATTGCTCTTTTAGCAGTATGTTAATTTCAAACCTTATATTTGCATATTACTACTTTTTAAAAATTGTCATGCTGCCAAATTTGCTCAATTTGATACATGTATAGTTGACTCAGGAATACTTTTGATAAATAATTTTGAAAAATCCCTTAAAGAAAATCATAGCATTAAAACCTGCAAATTAGCTTTTAATTATTGTGTTATACTATTGACAATTAAAACATTTACAATTACAGATGAAAACTAAAAATATCTTTCTGAACAAATCACACATCTTGCCCTGTATAAATTCCTTTGGGCTAATGAGTAAAAAAAAAAAAAAACAACAAAAATTATGGTAAAAATGCTATAATGGTACCTTGCAAGTAAATACACAAAAAATAGATTCTGTGAAAGCTGTTTCTCTTAGGTTAAAGACCAAAAGATGAAATAAATCTTGTTTGAATGCAACATGAAAAATGAAACAAATTTAAGATAAAGAATATTTTTCTTCAACACCCCCTTCCCAAATTATTAAATATTCCTTCATTCCATGCCCCACTGCATGACCCCTTGACCTTTAGTAAAGGTTTTCCAAGTTTTGGTTTCTAAGGCGACAATATATTGAAGATTTTCTCCAGATCTGTTTCAGCGTATCATGGGTTACTACATAAATTTCTATGTTAAATTACCTTTAGAATGTAAGTAGAATTTTTAAACAACTTTGGAAGAGACAAATATATTGTTCTAACAGAAATAATTATCATGCACATTATACACTGTAGTAAGAACAAATAAAGATTGGAGAGGATAAAAACAGTCAGAAACTAAAGAGAAAACACACTTTTACTGTATACTGGAAAATGTTTGTCCATTGCCCCAACATCCTTATAATGGGTGATTTAAACAATGTAGGTTATTGTAAATTGGCATATTTTGAGTGTCTTTATATTTCAAGACAAGGGACACTGTTACATGTATTATTTATGAGACAAAATTTTGTATATATTTTATAATAAATCTAAGTACATGTAAATTTTAACATTATTGTCAAGGCATCTAAATAAATATGCCAAAAATAAAGTTTTCTCATGAAATATTATTTTAATACGGTATCCAAAAAAAAAAAGTTTAAAAAAAACCATAAATCAAACAAAATGACTTTGGGTAAAATACTAAATGAATAGTATCCAGTATACAGTGGTTTATTATATAGAAAAGAAATGCAGTAAATCTAAATACATGTATAAATAAAATTACAGAAAATCTAAAATCTATACAAACTGTTTTGCTTTTCTATGAAAAAAAGATGGATAATTTAGTTGCATAATTTTCATGCATGAAGTGCAAAACTTGATTGATATAAAGCTTAACTTAAATCTCTAAAAAGTCACACAATTAACCAACAAAAAGTGTACATTCCAAAAATGAAAATATTTAAGCATTTTTTATTTAAAAAATCATTGTCTATAAAGTGTTCTACTTGGATTCTGGAACTATAAAAATGTTATACTGGGGGTGCAGTGCTATATAAAGCTATTAGTCAATATTCAAAATAATTCGACGTGTTGGTGGTAATTGGGGAGGGGTGGGGGTAGATGCATCCTTAGATGTATCATCCATGCAAGTTTGGTCAACATAGGGCTTATAGTTACTTGGAAATGAAACCTGCACCAAAAACTTTTACCTGTTCACTCAACCGGAAAATGTAGGTCAGATTCAGCATCCGAAGCAAGCCTGGTAGTATGCATCCTTAGATGTATCATCCATGCAAGTTTGGACAACATAGGACTTATAGTTACTTGTGAAACCTCACCAAAAACTTTAACCTGTTCAAAACCGGAAAATGTAGGTCAGATTCAGCATGAAGCATTAGTATCCATCCTTAATGTATCATCCATGCTTCAACATAGGACTGACTCAACCGGAAAATGTAGGTCTCCATCTGGTAAAATGTCTCCATGCAAGTTTGTCAACATAAAAAGACTTAAAGTTAATTGGAAATAAAACCTGCACCAAAAACTTTAACCTGTTCACTCAACCGGAAAATGTAGGTCAGATTCAGCATCGACAGCCTGGTCTCTCCACTGATTTGAAGAATTCAAAGTAAAATAATAACCTTTTTTTTACACTGGAGACTATACCTGAATTTGTTACACATTTTATAAATGACTGACCAAATGAACAATAAAAATTCTATTTCTTGCAGATTTCATTACAGTTTAATACAGAACTGAAACATTCACACACACACACACACACACACCTCCCCCCACCCCAAAAAAAACCAAAATTTAAAAACAAAATGCATAAACAGATACTGATGATAAGGTACTGCAGATAATGTATCAAAATGCATTAGGCCTAATGCCTCAATGAACAGTTTAAATTTTTAGTTTCCTGACCTTGTAGAAGGTAGCGGTGACCAGTATACCCTTCAGTTTATTCTGATAGATGTCCACCATGATTCTGGAGCGGTTGATGGCCCACTTGAAGGCATTCATTCCTTTCTTCAGAGAGTGTAATCTATGGAGGTTGTCAGCAGCCCTGATGATCACATGCTCCGCTGCGTTTTTCTTCCATTTCAGAAAAAAGTCCCTTTGGACTCTACGGCGATGAAACATTTCAGCACTGCAATGACAGAAACATCTCTATATTTCTTTTCCTCAAGTGGTAAAAGCAAGTGGTAAATCTTTGCCCATTTAACCTATTTAATCACAAAATTAAATTCAAATTTCCCTAGAAGTAACACTTTGCTATTCAACCAGATTTCCAATACAATACAGTTGAACTTCATTATCTCAAACACTGATATCTTGAATACCATGGATATGTCAAGTGATTTGGAAATCCAAACTACTTATTCTTTAAATATTTTGCTCTTGATATCCCAAGTTCTTCGACAGCTCAAGTTTGAGATGACGAAGCTTGACTGTATAATGTTTTAGCTTTGACACTCACCTCTGCAGACAGACCCCGTAATTAGCGGTGTCCAGAAGCTGTGTGAAGCTCTCAGACACCGAGGGTAGGACCAGATTAGTGGCCCGCCCCAGTCTCCTAGCAATTCTAGCACTATCTGTCACACACTTGCTAGCAGAACACGTCACAGGCTGAGAAGCAGGCACACAGGCCACACGTGCTACACTGTCCGAGAAAATCGGAACCCGTGGTTCACCATTAAAATTGTCATAGTGTGTCTGAGGGTAAAGTATTTTGTCTGTGCTTTGAACTGCTTGACCAGTGCTATTTCCCCTTGTTACCCGTGATCGAGGAGTTGGGGGATTTCCATTTTCTCCAGGGGAATTTTTCTCATTTGCTGGACATGGCCTAACAATGGTGAATGCAGAGGGTCCATCATTTAAATGAATACTGGAAAAAGGTTGCATATTACTTTGCACTATTTGGGTGTGTCTTTCTAAATTCTCCTTTGTAATGGGTGCAACTTTTGTGGTAATTTTTTCACCAGGTGTGCGATGCTCACCAAACTTTGTGTCATATCTAATGAAATTAGTGCCTTCATACTCTATAGTGTTCCTATTTAAGCCCACACCATTTGGTTCATAAGTTTGCAGATTGTCATGTGGAAAACTCAGCAAAGCATTGTCCCTTAAGTCTGTCTCAGTCAGCTGTGCAGAGCCTAGCAAACCACCCAGCCCCTGTCTGGGGCCCCCTACATACGATTCTCGGGCAGACTGAGCGTACGGATCCTTCTCATCTATGGACTGCATTGACTGCACATTCTTCAGCCACCGTCTAAAGCACTTGGCCTGTAATTAAACAGCAACCATGATACATGTACTTTTATATATTGTTCAATTAACATTTTTTACTTTTCAGATTTTATCTCTTTTTTAAAACAATCGAACATTACCATCAAGATCTAATATTGGTCTGTGAGAACGGAAAATATGACAAAATAGATTTTAACTTTCTTTTTGGCAAACTGAACATGGCACAAAATTTATTCTGCATAAGGTATTTCAGCTAAGAATATTCCAAGAACATTTACCTTTAACATTGATACATATAAAGTTAAACCACTGGCCAAATTAATTTGTTCTAGTACTTACAATAATGGTGTTAATCTTACTTTAAGAACAAGATCTTGTCTGGTTCTTGGGTCCACATTATACAGCTTCCTCAGAAGCTCGACGGCCATGATAGTGGAGGATTGAGACCCTGTAGATCGGACTGACCCACTCATACTGCCCTCAGTAGGTCTGTAAACATTACCACAATCGCTGTTATTGTTTATTGGAACATTTGTAATTTTAACTCTACTTTTTTTGTATGCAAGAGTTAATTGGCAAATTACTAATAAATTCCTACACTTCAATTAAACTTCATACATCACTGATCTGTCTCCATGGCCAAAAAAACCTTGATGACCTCACTTTTGATTGCAGTCTCACTTTTCAGCTATAAATTCCTTTTGTAAAATTGAGACTGTGATCAGAAGTGAGCTTGTCTGTTTTATGGCCAGAGAGCCAGGTGACGGAAGTAAGTTGTTACATTGAATATAATATAATATCACAATATATCATATGTACCAAATAACAGCAAACAATTCAATGAAACACTTTTTAGTGATATCGCCATACCTCCATCCCCCTTCTCTCTTGGCCCCTTCAGTCTCTGGGTGCCTGGGACCAAACACAGCCTTCCTGGTTGTTTGAGCATTAGGGCCCCTCATATCCACCACCCCGGTCATCTTAGGTTCATCTGTACCTTCCACTATCTCATTGATTTCCTTGCGGTCCCTGCTTATTTTGCGTCTCCTTGATGAAACTTTATCATTCTCTTTTGAGGAATCGGAAATGTTTAGATCTTCTTTCAATTCTTTGATATTTTTCCTAATCTTTTCCTCAGATTTTTGTCTCTCCTTAGTTTTTCCTCTGCTAGACTTAACTTTACTTGGAGATGAAGCCAGGTCCTGCAGGGTTAAGACCCCACCATCTCCCTTGCTAGCTGACTGAGGAGTACCACTGTGTGAAGTCTTGCCTGAGCGAGACTTAGTGAAGACCACTTCCCCTGTCCTGATTCCTTCACACAGTCCCAGTCCTTTAGAGTTTGGCTGTTTACTCAAAGATTTCACAGACTCAGAAGGAGGTTCCTTTGTTGATACATATGATGGATGATAATGAGGAACATTGGACTGTATTGAAACTTTTCCTATTTTCCTATTTAGGGTACTTGTAGAACCCATAGTGTCATTTAAAAGGAGTCCCTGTTCTTGTAATGGATTATTTTGGCACAATGGAATTTTATCACAGTTCGTCTGACAAGGGGACTCTTTCTGAGGAACTTTGTCAAGATCAGCATCATTTTGGTGGCTAGCTTCCCTCTGCTGGCTTGACGACCTAATGCTAGTCCTTTCTGACAAAAATTTATCTAGATAATCCTCATCTCTACTTTCACTTTTGTTTTCAGTCTTTGGCACATCAACCCTTCCATCCTGTGAATCGGACACACTTTCGAGCTGTAGCTGAGCACGGTAGTTCCTGTATGACATCCTAGCTAGTTTCTCATCAGCCAGCCTACTGAGTAGTCTCCGTGCTTCCCTTGACCTTGGTAATCCATTTTCACTGGGCGGACCCCCTCCCTCTGCGTCCCTAACATGACGCCTCCCCACTTCACCAGTGTACCTATTCCCAAAGTTCTTCCTATTTCTTTCAGCATCTCGCTCGGAATCTTTCTTCAGAAGTTCCCTAAAAGCAGCCATCTTGTCTGTGAAATCAAACCCTGGTGTCGGTTGGAAATCGTCATCACTGTCCAGGAAGTTCAGCCTCCTTCTGACTGCTGGTCGTACAGAGGGACGAGGCACTGCATGAGCCTCAGGGACACCGATCGGTTTCCTTGCTGACACACCCACTAAGTAGGTCTCATTTTTCTGTGCGCTGTCCTTCTTCCTTGAAGAGGAACTCCCCAATTTACTCCTGTCTAACACCGGGAGGTCACCCAGTCTCCTCTCCAAGAACAACGACGAAGTCATCATTGAAGTTTCATTTCACATTATCTAGGTTGTTTCTCTCCATTCATTTAAAGTTTGGAAAGTCATTTTCTAACACTGCTCAACACTCCCTTTGTGTTTCCTGAAAAAGGAAAAAAATCATGAAGGTACAGATTCTCATAAATTTCATCAAGCAGTATAGACTGAATTCAATAGATCAGAAAATTTCAGTCATTAAATTCCACTTTTCACATTTTAAATCAAGATTAAATTCAGGTAGTGTCATGGAATTTTAAATTAATTTTACATTTAGACTAAAATAAGAACAACCTCTACTTTATCTTTTAAAATCAGTTTAAATCATAGTATATATATCCCAGGTGTGTGTCATCTTGTCCAATATAAAGGCAGTTAGATAATTCACATACCAAAATGTCAAGAAGCTTTAACTTTTTATAAAATTTACTTTCTCATCTTAGAAACACCCCTAATACCTGTAAACTCTATGAGATAACTTTTTTCAAGTAGCAGTGGTGATTCATTCACCAGTTAAAACTTCTGCAATCTTCAAAAACACCCTATCAGGTTTTTAGCAATGTTCTTATGTTACTTACATACGTAGATATCTAGTAACTGTCAACCATATCATTATAGTAAATAAAGATATGTTCAATAAATCATTTTATTTTTAAATAGAGACTTTTAATCTCAATAAACAAAATACTACTGTATTTTAGATCAGTCATATTTTATTTTCATGATTATAAACAAAAAAATTAATTATATTTTAATAATATCTCATTCTTGAAAATAATTGTTCTACATTTTTCTTTTCCACAGAGGTGGACAAATAAAAAAACAATGAATCCGGCTCCAAGGGGGTTGCTGAGAAAACTGTGAAGAAAATTTGTTATGGACAGGAAGACACACAGACAGAAACACAAGGGTAAAACAGTACATGTATTATACCCCCCTTTCTTTTTGAATGGAATGAATTAAAACTCAGCAGTAGTTTATTGGAAGACTAGTAGAGATGGAACAAACTTAAGTATTGATCAATCTAGTTCATTTTAATACAGAAATGCATCTTATTATTTTTACATTACCTCATACGATATCTCCATGCAAAGCTGATATTTAAATGGTGAAATCAATACATTTTCAGTTATAAAAGTAGTTCATTACTTGACATTCATGGCACATAATAAATATTTAAAAGCAGTTTTTCTGCTTATCAATCATTCCCTTACTTACAATGAAAGATTCTATGGACAAAGGAAATTTCAAAATTAAAATACACAATATTAGACTGAAAAGAAATCCTTTTTCTTAAGTGCATGTCATAAACTGCACACAGAGCATTCTATAAAAGCTTTATAAAAGGTTCTGTCTGAATCTTAATAAGTAGGCAGTGCACAAATTCTCTTTAAACCGGTATACATGTGGAGGTTTATATACAATGAACCAGGGCATTCCAATGTTGTCCAGTGTACGATAGACACAAAATATTAGTACACTGTATACACATTGAACAGGTATTATTTACGAGTTCAAGTTGGTAAATATTGGTATGGATTAGCGTCAAAGGCATGTATATTTAGGATGTTTAACAGAATGTTGCAAAAATCAAACATGAAAAATTTTGCCACAAGGAATTTAACATTTTAAATGCATAAATACACAGGAAATATCAACAACAAGGACTAGACAAATAAATTATATGGAATACATGTGGCAGACAATATGACTGCTTTCAATTTAGAAAAAAGCTAATTTTCTCATAAAAAAAACATTATATTTGTCCTAGTGCACAATGAGGCAATGGTACTATGGGATTTCAGAATCAGCTATGACATCCATCAATTGTGATACATTGATAAAACGAAGCATTGATAGATGCATTTTTAACAATCCACCAATGATATAACTGTATCCAAAATCAACAATATCATCATGATCATGCAACATACACAGATAATACAATCAAATTATACCATTTATGGATTCGAACCAGTGACTAAATGATAAAACTGCGTACTCTGGGACTCAAGAGAAAAAGCAAGACCTTCACTGTAGACTAACCATTAAACCAAATGAGTGACTGTCTGACAATTAAGAACTGGTGCATTTCATTGATGGACACAAAGGCATTGAATTATTTCGCCAATGCTACGTACATGTAATTATGTCTAAACTTTCATCATAGAAGTATTTTATTATCATCTTTAATATTGTTGCTAGTTAATCATAATCTTTATTATGAATGAATTCTATATTTTATGAAACCGGTAGTTATATTAAAAAGTTGCCAACATTTCAATAAGAGCTTCAATACCAGACAGGTACACATTTATGTTCCTTGTCCTACATATATTTAAAAAATGCTAATAGTCAGTAATGTGCCAATTGAAAAACACCAAAGATAACTGATCAAATCAAACACATCTTTTGATAAACAAGCAATATAATCACACACTTGATACACTGTAATTGTTCAACGATGAAGAAAAAATAAAACTGCAAAATCAATTTTTGAAAAAAAGGCACATTCTAATACAGGTAAATCATATTTGAAAATTTTTTTTTTTTTTTACTGGACATTCAAAATAATTGACAAAACTTTACCTATATCTGTGATAACATTGTCCACACCTTGTTAAACATTGAGCAAGCCACCATTATTGACTTCTAAGTTACCCAGAGAACATGAACACAATCATTCTTTATCTGCCCCAGAAAACAATTATCACCCTCAGTTCCAGCATTTCTGGGTAACTTCTGAGAGGATCTGAACAAAAATAATCAAAAATACCAAAAGAGAATGTAGACATTTAAAAATTTAAACACCACTCTTTGTCAAATTAAGTTAATTTTGATCCCAGAAAGCAAAACTTTCAATCCTTTAATCCTATTTAACCCTGGAGAAGAATTTTACCCTAAACCGGGGCCTAGCCACTTCAATATCTCAATGTCAAATCAGTAACAATAAAGGTCCTCCATTGTGTTATAATGTTGTGTATTGGACATACAGTTTTGTTATAGCATTGTAATCAGCTATAATGTGATAATGAGTAAACACTAAAACAGGTCCTACCATTGTGTTATAATGTTGTGTATTGGACTTTGAAATTTGTTATAACATTAATCCATCAAATAATTTTATCAATGAAAAAAATCTGCTGACCTGCTGTTTTTGCTATAACAATAGGGCCCATGTTATAAAATATATTATGTCACCAAGTTACTTTTCACGACATTCAGACTTTTGACAAAGTCACAAAATGAAAGAAAAAGAAATGATTTATGTTAAAAGGTAACAGATGGATAGATGACAAGACATTATTATAGCATGACCTCTTGTGGTCTCTGACCAGGGACCCCCCCCCCCCCTCAAACCCCGAATGATGGACATTACTTCAGGCTTCAGCAGATATAAGCTCTCTCCCCCCCCCCCCCCCACCCCCCTTTTGGACTTGTGAAACAACATTTCTTTTCAGATTGAAGTTACAAAATAGGATTACATGCATCATCGTCGCAAGCCACAGGTTTTGTGTCCATTCTATTTCCACAAACCGTGGCGGTCTGTGGAGAATGGACACAAAACCCGTGGCTTGCCACGATGTTCATGCATGAAATACAGATATTTTTGCCAGGGACGGGGTTAAAAATGTCAATTTTCCTTCTACACCAATTAAAGGCATCAATCGTCACTCAATACAGAAAAAGAATTTGAAGCATATATTATACATTTGAGAATTTAATCTTATTATATTAGACTTGATGGGAACAAGAAAAATACACAGATATCTGAAGATTGGAGATATTGAGGGTAAAATGCTATAAGAATACCGTACAAGGGTTACTTTCATCCCGCTTTATGTTTGCCCTTTCAATCTAGCAAACAATTTTGCCCCATTTTAAATTTACCCAGTCACACTTTTGTTCAAGAAATTATACTGTATTTTTTTCAATTTGCCCTAGTTTTAATTTCACCTCACCGAAGTAAGGGCAAAGGGGCTAAAATAAAACTGGGTTGAAAATTTCCCTGTATACAGTATTTAATTTTTACTAAAATGTTTTGATCAAAATCAATCTCAAGGTGAAATCAATTCAAGGGCAGTTTTCTACACTAGAGGTACTGTGAGCAAAGAGCTCACTAAATGATACCCCCCGCCTCCCATATGAGTAAAATGGCAAAGTCGCATGTTTTATTGTGGCCGGGAAACCCAAAATATGTGTCGGATCAAAAAGTAAAATAGGAGGTGCACAATGGCAATATGTAATCAAGATTCTGTGAAAGTTTCATCAAATTTCACTCAGTGGTATAAGAGTTGCTGATAAGAGATGGGTACCCCAAAGCGTAAGAGACAGACGGACGGACACACCGATTACAGTATACCCTCCCACTTTTCAAGCAGGGGTATAATAAACATCCAAGGCATATACGTACTAGTATCATGGTCAAAGAAAGTTGAACATGTTAGAAGTCCAAAACAATGTTTTCCTAAATTTTCTGTCGGTCTTGATTATTTCGATTTTCCTGGCCCTGTAAAATCTGAGATAATGATGTTTGACTGTATTCTAGGTTTGAAGTTAAAAGAAGAATCCACATACACTCACAAAATAAGAGTTACTAGCTGATAAATGACAGTCAGATTTCAGAAACCACCAAAAAACCCATTCAGTTCTTTTATAAATGCTAGCATTAAATTGAGGTCAAGTTTTGAAATGTGCAAAAACATTTCTTCATTACCCCTCCCCCCTTCTTCCCCATAAAAGAAGAAATTAAAAGTATTTCAGATGAATTTAGACACTTATACTCACTATAAGATTAAACAAAAGAATTCCATGCTCACCGTTATAACCATACTCAACTAAACAAGAGCATGAAATGGACTCAGTGACATAAACCCATTAGAGTCCTATCCAAAATACACACAAACATTAACAAACATTACATAACCCAAATATCCATTAATGCTTACCTTGAAAATCAAAATCATATTCTCAAAACTATATCCCAAAGAATGAAATAACCCATATATCATCTGCCTGTCCCTTCTACCGGGGAAGGACAAAATTCAATATTGTGCTCCAATGCATATTCAAAAGTTGAAAAGGAATTTAAAGGCCAGCCTGTTCTTACAAATAGCATTATTTGTCGTGTGTATACACCCTTTAGTGTTTATGAATTAAAGACTTCTCGCTGACAGAATTGGTAGGCTGTAGGGGTACCTGCACAGACCTGCATGTTAAATTTTGCGAGTGTTTTAAACAGTCCTAATCTGCCCCCGTCATTTCATGCATATCGAACTTTAAAAATCGCCTTTTCAACGCCACAGATAAGATCAAGAACCTTCCAACACTTCAGATTAGGCCATCAAATCATCAATTCAATTTTTCAAAATTTAACTTCTATTAAAACCACTAAGAAAATATTTCCTTAGGACAATTTCTGTAAAAATATTGAGACAGTCTTTAATGTGATTATAGATCACAAAAGCAATTAAGAAGGCTATCGTTTGATCTGCATATCTCAGTAGAGATATATAGTGTTGAGAGAGATAAATAAAACAATTATCATTACACAATCAGAGACATATCACAGATATTAAATAAGATATCTGTAACATCCTGACTTTGCCATGAATGATGTCTTTGAATTTTATTGCAGACAGTGTGGGAATTCGTAAAGCAAACAAATTTCATGTCGCAAAGAATGCACAAATGAGTTTTACAAGAAAATTGATGCTGCTTCCCAAGGCCACATTACAATTAATTTTTTGAATGCTCATTGCCATTTGCCCTCTAAAATTGATCTATCCAGAATCAAAACAAAAGCTTTATTTCATACTGTTAAAAGAAATGGTTTAGATACATACATATATAGCCTATCCCTCCAATGTTACGAATTTAAGAAGGGTCAACCAGTGTACCAAGTTTGATGTCTGTCATTGGGTCTTGAAACATTTGCAGAGACAAAATCTTCCTATGTCCTGACTCCCAAGAGGATTGAATGTTGAATTTTTGATCTCAAAATCAACTGAGGTCATCTACTCTTTAAGAAGAACCAAAGACCCAAGTTTGATAATTGTTAAGCGAAAGGATTCAGAAGATATTAAGCCGACAATATTTTCTGGTGTCCATTTGACCTCTAACCTTGACTTTGTGACCTTAAAAAATCAATAGGGGTCATATTCACCTTAAGAAGATCTAGTATACCTAGTTTGATGCCTGTCAAACGAATATTTTTCAAGATATTGAGCTGCCAATATATTCCACGTAGAGTTTGCCCTTTGACCTCAAAAACAAAAAGGTCATCATTTACTCCTTGTACCTAGCTTGATGACTGTCAAGCAAAGAGCTCTAAAGAAACTGAGTAGAAAATATCATCCTATGTCTAGAGTACTTTGACCCTTGACTTTCTGGCCTCAAGAACAATAATTGTCATCTATTTCTTAATTTTCGCGACACCTTAATTTCGAGACAAAATTTTCATGAATTGTGATCATTGCTCTATATAACCTTAAGGAATACTATTATTTGTGAGAATGAAATTTTCAAGTTTGGTTACGTCCACAGTATTTCTTAGTGGGAACTAGTATAACAAGTTTGGTGTCCACCTTATCTACCCCCCCCCCCCCTTAAAAAAGACTGATTGATAGGTGCAAATCAATATGCCCTATTTCTTCCCGAGTGGGATGGTAGGAGTGCATAATTTTGTGCAAAAATAACAGGTGGAAAAAAATCCATGTGCACATCTTCATCAATCTGAATAAAATCAGATCCTTTGATCCACTCACATTGATCGCAATCTATGTGAGTGGATGCGGTTTTAATCAGACTGACATCTTCATATACCCGGTAAGCATTTCAAAGAGAAACAAGATCCAACAATCCTCAAAATGTATTTTGTTTATAGTATTATTTTGGAGATGTAAATTCTAGTTAACTCGAGGGACCCACAAATTCCTTGACTACATTATTTGTTTTCCATAACCAATAATGAATCTACAATATCTTATGAGAGACAAATCATGACAAATTACTACTCCTAAAATTAGATATGGTGTGACAACAATTTGCATCAAAGTATGGACAAAACTTTCATGTGTAATGGAAAGGAAACAATAATGAAACATTGATCAACCAAGGGCTGCATCTTAACGGACCCTGACTATATAGTTGGAAAACCAGTGTTCATTCCTAAATAACATGTACCAGACCTATTTATTTTCATCATCATTGAATTCTAGCTGCTGAACAGCATGTACAGTTAAAATAATTGGCCAATATATATGCTTAAACTTTTAGTGAGGTGATTTCATTCCCCTAAGTGTTAATGTAATAATCAGAATACATACCTCTTGTTATTATCAACAACACTATTTTGAAACTAAATTCAGATACCACAACAGGTTGGTATTTGTGTTCTACAAGAAATACCAGTAGCTAAATTTCCTTTGTATTTATTCAAATGAATTCACAATTTTATCTTATATTCATTTCTTGAATTGCAAAAAAATTTGTCTACCATAAATTCTCTTTAAAAAATTCGTCGAAGGTGTGATTAAAAAGCAATTACCAGATATTCACATTAAAGTGTCTGAATTAAAAATATTACTTTGGCATTGATGTAAAATCTTTATCTAATTACAATTCTATTACCTGGTACTATAAATTCAAAATATCAAAGCACTGATTCAGAAAATATTTATAGAATCAAACAAAAAATATGCTATTACGTGATTGCTTGCTTTACCTTCTAAAATCAGCTGTATCCTGATTTTTTGAATGAAGTTTTAATTGACATATATCACATTAGGTCTAATGTCAGAATATAGAGTGTGTCAAAGAAAAATATTTGAATTTCTTCAGCTCATTACCAGCTTAAGAGAGGGTAAAAATTAATGTCCATTTGTCTGTACAATGACTATATCAACCTTTAAAAGAAAATGAGACCCAAAATGTTTTTAGTCACAATATCTGATCTAAAATTAAATGTTTTGACAAGTGTGTCATTAATGAAAAGGAAAACACATTATCGCTTGATAAAATAATATTATACACTTGATTTATTGAATTCTAATCAAAGAAAAGAACACATCATTTCTGGGTGTTATTTTACAACACAAACTTTAAACTGGAATTGAATAACACTAGTGCTGAAGCCTGACCTTCATTTGAGTCTCTGTATACAAAAACAGCAAGATAAAGAAATAACTTCATCAATCACATTTTCTTATTACAATTTTTATTCTTTCCTCTCTAATCTATCATAACATTGAAATATACTTTAAAAATCTCAATAGAAATAAAAAAAAATATACCCGGCCTGTATCTGCATTCTTTATTCAATTCTCCCAAAGAGCTAAATCTTATGATTTTTCTTTGTCCATGGAAATTTACACTGAAATCAGTCAAACATTTTCATACATTTTATTTTACTAGGAAAAGATTTTAAAACTGACAGACATTCAACGACTTTCCACATCTGTAGACAAAGACAATTCAGGAATTTGTGTAGATCAATAAAGGGTGTGTTCTCCAAAGAACAAGCTCTCAATTCAAAAATATAGCCATAACTTTTGAGATAGAAATGAAATTATTCCCTTGACTTCAATGTTATACAAAGTCCCTGTGTAGGTAACAGCTTCTGATAGAGGAATGACTGAACATGGAACACTCAGAAACTGATAACACACTCAAGAGTCTTAAATGTTTGCCTTTTCAGTGTACACCTGATAAATTGGCCTTCTTTTGTACATAGATCTTGGGGCAATACAAAATGAAGGGGGCTTATTTAGATAAGATACACAGTTTTGTACTTTGTGGATTCCATTGTGTCAGACTTCTGTAACTTCAGATGTATATATCCCTACCAACACTGCCAAACATCATGAATGTTGACCATGTTTAAATAATCCCCTGTCAAAGTTAACTTCATATAAAAGTAAATCTTTTGTTTTCCAAGATGATTGCCTCTGATGAGACTGTAGCTCTACTGGTTTGTAATTAGCAATTTACCACAGACAGACTGATAGACAAAGCACACATTACCACCAAAAAAGCTTCGTCTTTTACAACTAAATTAAAATTGCATTGAAGGAATAAGTTTCTAATTGAGGGTAATTGCAATTGCTAGGAATTTGTAGGGATTCTTTTCTTTTTCTTCACAAAATATTCTGTGACTCAGCACAAATTTAAATGTCAAGCACCAAGTTGTTATGTCTAGGCATGAAAAAAAAAATAATGTCCATGCAGAAACCTTTACTTTCCACATATATATATACAATCAAAAAAATAGAGAGTCTTTAAATTCTTTAATATTTCCAGGTTATAAATTTTCAAATTATTTGAAAAGGTAATTTCTTTAAAAAAATTTTGTGCAAAACTGAAAACTGAAAGCTTTTGTTTAAAAAAATGTAATAGTGCAATGAATACAGTATAACTGCAGAGAGAGAGAGAGAGAGAGAGAGAGAGAGAAGGGGGATTATTCTGTTCTTTGCCAGCATCCATTATTTTTTTTAAAACAAAACAATTAAAGAAATTTAAACTGGAATTCCTCCCACTAACACTAAGTATGGCCTGTTCTGTCTGGTAAAGATTAAAACTGCAGGTAATCTACTTGCCCTTTCATAATTAAATCAAACAAATATGTAATTAATAAGCAGCTTAGGCCTAACCCATGCTGATTTATCTTTAAAATCAGTGTTTTAATAAAAGAGTTGCTGATCCATACTCTTGTGTATATTCACATATCTTGAATTTTACATCATTTTCAAAAAGCATTAATACGATAACAATGTAAAGACTTTGGCTATGTGCCTGTATCTTAGTCAAATATTTTACACCTTATATTTAACTTGTTAATGAAATCTTCTTTAATTAATAGCTACATAGAAATCAAAGTAAGTTTTGTTTCTATTCTGTGAAAGTAAAACTGACATCAAGGGTTCATGGGGGAAAAATAATCAAATGACAACTTTTTAAATAAAGTAGCACTAGCAGCAATAAAAGTCAACTTGTATAAATGGTACAAACTGCTTTGTCTAGAACTCATG